CGGCCATGTCTTGGTCTTTGGGAGGCAGAGTAGCCTGGATGGCGCTAGGCCCAGCCTGCGGCAGGAAGATCGTGTTACCGATGTATCCCTTCTGCCTCTCGTCTCGCGGCAGTGACAAAGGTTGCAAGACGGTCACCTGCATGCAAACCCGCACGATGGGAAGCAGCCGTTTTGTTCCAGCCGAGAGGTTGCTGAGCTCGGGCAATACGCGTCCGATCCAAAGGTCGTTGGCCAGCGCATGCCTGGGAAGCGTGAGAATACTGCTCTTCAAACTCCTGCGACAGTCTCTGCAAACCGTACAGGGGTCCGTGAAAGATGCCGGCATGCGGCGGCGATGCAGCAGCAGAAACTCGCCTTCAATGTACGGATGCTCCACAGCAGAGGCCTTCAGTTCGGAAAGAGCTATCTGCGGCCAGCGCTCCGCATACCGAGCGACGCCCAACAATCGGCAAAGACGGTGCTGCTGATTCGGGGCCAGCGTCTCGGCGCCGGCAGGTACCTCGATTGTCGACGCATCTTCATCCGGCCTCTGAAAGAGAACCATGGAAAACAACTCGTTCATCCAGAAACGGCGAGCGCACACCACGCAGCCTCCTTCCGCTCGGCCACCGTCCATTTCAAGAGGGCATCGCAGCTCCTCGTCGAAATTGGCAGCGATTGCACGCTGACGACTCATCCCAGGCACCTGACTGTGATCGTTCCTAACACGTTATTACGCACGTCGACCCTTTACCGTAACCGAAAGCAAGAAGGCGCAGCATGCGACAAGAAGCCATCGGACCGGCATGCTCCACCATCGCCAGGATTTTCTTGCGGTATTCAACGAAGGCGAGCTCCACATCCAGCGGCCGCACGAGATGAGTGTCCACGACGTGTTGCTTCAGCTCCGATTGCTTCCGGCAACTGAAGTCGCATAAGCGGCAGCAACACCGTTCGCACGTCACCGAGGCATCGTCCGAAAAAGTCTGGAGCAGGCGACGAGCTACCGCCTCGCTTACGGCAGGTACGCTCCGAGAGCAATTCAGCAGCACAGCGACGCGATCCAGCTTCAAAGGCAACGACACCTCGGAGTCTCGCAAGATCCCGAGCGCTTGCCGCCCCGCCTCGTCCGCGTTCCGAAGCAAGTCTTCCACGGGCAAGAAACGTTGCTTCATACGCCTGCCCTCACACCACCCGGGGACGGCGAACAGCACTGCCCGCTCCACGGCCGAACGCCAGAGAATGCCGTCTAGCGCCTCCGAGCCATCACCAAGGCAGTCAAGTGCCAGCCAGCACAACGGATCGAAATCCGGCGGATAAGCCTTTCTCATGGCCCGGGCCCTCGCAGTGGCACCGTCAGGGTAGTACGCTTCAACACCCTTGGCCAGGACTGGATTCTCCTCTCGCGAAGGCAAACGGTAACACCCTTCAGTCGTCTGCCAGTCCAGAAGCTGATTCCGCAAGGTGAGCGTGTCTTTATCTATGCCTTGCTCGCTAGCCCTGGCTGCCGACACTGTGTTAGGATTGTGCAAGTCACGAATGCCGATGCCAGCCAGCGGGTGCAACAGCTCCGTCACCAAAAACCAAGCAAATTGCGACCAGTCTTCAGACTTCCGCACGTCCCCGAAGGTCTGGTACCAGTACAAAGGTTCGTCCGGCTGTGCTTGTCGCTCCCACCCATACCGACGCATCAGCCCCCGAAGCAGTGTGGTATCGGCCCGATCGAACTTGCGAGTGCGAAACTTGTGCTGGATAATGCTCAGGACAGCCTGCCAGGACCCGATGAAACAAACATGAGCGAGGAACGCACAGCAACGCGTGCGCACATGAAGCTACAGTCCAACTTAATCCTCATTATGTCCATGACCCCATGCACGATCACGTCCCAGACTCTCTATGTTTCGGGACGGCTTCGCGCGGGTTGCCTCCAACACCTCTTGGCGATCTTCGTACCCGTCCGTTGCACACGCTCGCGGCTCCGCCTCGAGGTTGGCCAGATACCAGAGCCGGCGAGCAACGTCCACGGGGTCCACTCGCTCGAGGCAATCTGCAAGACGCCACCAACCTGTTTCCCGAACTCACACGCACAACGCACGACAGCAACACGGCATCCAAGACATTACACGAAGATCGTGATTTGCGATAATGCTCGCCTGTCCGCTGATCCACGTGATCTTCCAACACGGCTGCAAGAAGACAATGCTGCATGGAAGAAGTCAGACACGGCACAGTCGCGTCTCTCAAGCCGGCAACAGCAACCTCCCACGTAGAACTCACTTCTCGAGACAGCGCCGTGTCGACCTGTGACCAATGCTGCAGACTGTCCAGAATCTTTTGCGCAAGTAGATCTCTCTCCGAATCGGAAGACAGATGTCTCGCGGAAAATGATTCTACCGTAATGTCCAACGAGTACGCAGCCGCGGATTGGCGCACGTTGGCATCCTCGAAGATGTCGCAAGCAGCTGCAACCACCGCTTCAGCATCCTGTGCTCCGGCTCTGCGAACCGCGTAGAGGGATCTCCACATTAGGTACTTGATGTCACCGTCTGCACTCGGAACGCGCAGGGGGCACAACGCCATGACAATCCGCTGAATCAAGACCTGCTTGCTCACGTCCTCATACGCCACACCCAGATCTTCGGCCACTCGCTGCATACAGGGTCCATCGGCCCGCAAGGGCAAGACACGAAGCCGCGCCCGAATTCGAGGTGGTGCCTTTTCCCCGAGCTCTCCTGCCAAGCGCCGCAAGCCATCTGCCGTGAAGAGGTCCTCGATATTCACCTGTAAGCACTGAAACAAACAGACACACACACACACACACACATGCACGCACACGCCCCCCTTCCCCCCGTCATACCTCCTCCTGGATGATGCCCAGCGACAAAGCTTCCAACAGATCCGCTTTGGAAAGCGTGTGCCCGGCGCGGTGTCGTCGCACACTCGCAACGACACAGAGCCCAACCAGCTCATCCTTGCCGTGCTTGTCCAGCTCGCCGCGGAGCCAGGCTTCGCCCTGCTCGGCATAACCCGTGCGCAGCTCGAGCAGCCTTTGCTGCGACGCCGCTTCATCGGCCTGACACCAAGAACTGCTTCACTGCAGAGCACTAAACATCCCACCCGACGACGACGCTGACAGCTCACTGCAACCGAAGCTGACATGGACAATCCTAAAAAACGCCGCTTCCCCATGAAGCCTGCTCCCCGGCAATGCTCTGTGATAGAGCTTTCGACAACTCCGGCTTGGTAAGCGTGCACCCGGCACGGTGTCGTTGCAAACCCGCAGCGACACAGAGCCCAACCAGCTCCGCCCGACTCTGCTTCCCCAACTCGCCGCGGAGCCAGGCTTCGCCCTGCTCGGCATAACCCGTGCGCAGCTCGAGCAGCCTTTGCTGCGACGCCGCTTCATCGGCCTGACACCAAGAACTGCTTCATTGCAGAGCACTAAACATCCCACCCGACGACGACGCTGACAGCTCACTGCAACCGAAGCTGACATGGACAATCCTAAAAAACGCCGCTTCCCCATGAAGCCTGCTCCCCGGCAATGCTCTGTGATAGAGCTTTCGACAACTCCGGCTTGGTAAGCGTGCACCCGGCACGGTGTCGTTGCAAACCCGCAGCGACACAGAGCCCAACCAGCTCATCCTTGCCGTGCTTCCCCAACTCGCCGCTGAGCCAGGCTTCGCCCTGCTCGGCATAACCCGTGCGCAGCTCGAGCAGCCTTTGCTGCGACGCCGCTTCATCGGCCTGACACCAAGAACTGCTTCATTGCAGAGCACTAAACATCCCACCCGACGACGACGCTGACAGCTCACTGCAACCGAAGCTGACATGGACAATCCTCAAGAACGCCGCTTCCCCATGAAGCCTGCTCCCCGGCAATGCTCTGTGATAGAGCTTCCAACAGCTCCGCTCTGGAGAGCTTGCGCCCGGCGGACTTCTGTCGCACCTCCGAAGCGACGCAGAGCTTAGCCAGCTCATCCCGACTCTGCTTCTCCAGCTCGGTGCGGAGCCAGGCTTCGCCCTGCTCGGCATAACCCGTGCGCAGCTCGAGCAGCCTTTGCTGCGACGCCGCTTCATCGGCCTAACACCAAGAACTGCTTCATTGCAGAGCACTAAACATCCCACCCGACGACGACGCTGACAGCTCACTGCAACCGAAGCTGACATGGACAATCCTCAAGAACGCCGCTTCCCCATGAAGCCTGCTCCCCGGCAATGCTCTGTGATAGAGCTTCCAACAGCTCCGCTCTGGAGAGCTTGCGCCCGGCTGACTTCTGTCGCACCTCCGAAGCGACGCAGAGCTTAGCCAGCTCATCCCGACTCTGCTTCTCCAGCTCGGTGCGGAGCCAGGCTTCGCCCTGCTCGGCATAACCCGTGCGCAGTTCCTGCAGCTTTCGCTGCGAGGCCGCTTCATCGGCCTGACACCAAGAACTGCTTCACTGCAGAGCACTAAGCATCCCACCCGACGACGACGCTGACGGTTCACTGCAACCGAAGCTGACATGGACAATCCTCAAGAACGCCGCTTCCCCATGAAGCCTGCTCCCCGGCAATGCTCTTTGATAGAGCTTCCAACAGCTCCGCTCTGGTAAGCGTGTGCCCGGCAGACTTCTGTTGCACACCCGCAGCGACACAGAGCCCACGCAGGTCCTGCCGGTTTTGCTTGTCCAGCTCGGCGCGGAGCCAGTCTTCGCCCTGCGGAGCCAGTCTTCGCCCTGCTGGGCATAATCGGCGCGGAACTTCTGCAACCGCGAATCCATGGGATGGAAGAAGGCGTCCACGCCGGCCCTTTCGCAAGACAGCGTCGAGGCAAGCAAAACACTGTCCCAAGTATGTTCAAATGCAAAAGTGTCTGCACCGACCCTTTCGCAAGACAGCGTCGAGGCGGGCAAACAACTGTCCTAAGTATGGTCAGCTGAGAAGATGAGAATAAGCTGAGAATAATCTCCACACCGGCCCTTTCGCAAGACAGCGTCAAGGCAGGCAAGGAAGCGTACTAGGTGTAGTAAGATGCTGCAATGTGTGCAAAATACTGCAACGCGTTTTCCCTTTCTTCCCCTTCTTCTGCCTTTCGAGCCAAACGAGGCAGGCAAACGTGCAAGGAGAAAGCCTTTACAGAGCAGCAAGAAACTCCGAGCCTGCAGAAGTCATCGGCCAGGCAGCCTGCGAGTCGAACGTGTGCAAGGAGAAAGCCTCTACAAAGCAGGAGGAAGCTCCGAGCCTGCAGGTCATCGACCAGGCAGCCTGCGAGTCAAACGTGTGCAAGGAGAAAGCCTCTACAAAGCAGGAAGAAGCTCCGAGCCTGCAGGTCATCGACCAGGCAGCCTGCGAGTCAAACGTGTGCAAGGAGAAAGCCTCTACAAAGCAGGAAGAAGCTCCGAGCCTGCAGGTCATCGGCCAGGCAGCGGCGCGTTGCGCCGTCGCAAGACAGCGTACGCGCCGTACAGGCGCATGAATATATGTCTATCTATCTATCTATCTATATATCTATTATCTATCTATCTATCTATCTATATATGGATAGATAGAAAGATAGATATATATATATATATATATATATATATGTGCGTATATTATCGATATATGCATCTGCCAATCCCTCTGAAGGGTTGCCAATTGCACCTCGCAGAGATGCAAGTTCCTGCAATCGACCACATATATATATATATATATGTGCGTATATTATCGATATATGCATCTGCCAATCCCTCTGAAGGGTTGCCAATTGCACCTCGCAGAGATGCAAGTTCCTGCAATCGACCACATATATATATATATATATATGTGCGTATATTATCGATATATGCATCTGCCAATCCCTCTGAAGGGTTGCCAATTGCACCTCGCAGAGATGCAAGTTCCTGCAATCGACCACGCCACTCCCTGTGGAGAGTTGCACGGCGGAAAGCATACAAGTAGTAGTTTGCACACACGTTTCAACCCTGGACCACTCCAATCCATGCAGAGGGTTACACGCAGCGCCCAAAGACCATGCAACAGTACCTGCACACCTTCCGATTAGAACATTCGAGGAAGCTAATCCCTCTCAATGAAGGATTGCGCGGGGCACCGCAAAATGTGTAACTTTACCTTGCGTTCGACCACTCGACCACGCCAATCCCTGTGAGGGGTTGCAAAATTCATTTCAATGCTCATCAAAAATTGCAACTTTACCTCGCGTTCGAACACTCCACCACGCCAATCCCTGTGAAGGGTTGCAAAATTCATCTCAATGCTCATCAAAAATTGCAACTTTACCTCGCGTTCAACCACTCGACCACGCCAATCCCTGTGAGGGGTTGCAAAATTCATCTCAATGCTCATCAAAAATTGCAACTTTACCTCGCGTTCGAACACTCCACCACGCCAATCCTTGTGAAGGGTTGCAAAATTCATCTCGATGCTCATCAAAAATTGCAACTTTACCTCGCGTTCGAACACCCGACCACGCCAATCCCTGTGAAGGGTTGCAAAATTCATTTCAATGCAAATCAAAAATTGCAACTTTACCTCGCGTTCGAACACCCGACCACGCCAATCCCTGTGAAGGGTTGCAAAATGCAAATCCCTGTGAAGGGTTGCAAAAAAAAATTGAACTGCACCCAAACCCTGTGAAGGGTTGCGCGGCGCCCGCAAGAAGTGTAACTTTACCTCGCGTTTGAACGCCCGAGGAGGCGAATCCCTGTGAAGGGTTGCGCGGCGCCCGCAAGAAGTGTAACTTTACCTTCGCGTTTGAACGCCCGAGGAGGCGAATCCCTGTGAAGGGTTGCGCGGGAACCCTAAAATGTGTAACTTTACCTAGCGTTTGGGCGCTCGAGAGTTCCAATCCCTGTGAAGGGTTGCGCGGGAACCGCAAAATGTGTAACTTTACCTCGCGTTTGAACGCCCGAGGCAGCGAATCCCTGGGAAGGGTTGCGCGGGCGCCTAAAATGTGTCACTTTACCTAGCGTTTGAACGCCCGAGAGTTCCAATCCCTGTGAAGGGTTGCGCCGGGCGCCTAAAATGTGTACTTTACCTAGCGTTTGAACGCCCGAGGCAGCGAATCCCTGGGAAGGGTTGCGCCGGGCGCCTAAAATGTGTCACTTTACCTAGCGTTTGAACGCCCGAGGCAGCGAATCCCTGGGAAGGGTTGCATTCCCGATGGACCCCGACGGTGCCACCCCCGCCAATATTAAGAAATATTAAGATACCGAGATGTAGAGAGTAAGTCATAAGTCATAGTAAGTCATAGATGCATAGAGAGTCAGTCATAAGTAAGTAAGTAAGTAAGTAAGTATAAGTAAGCAAGTCAAGTAAGTAAGTCATAAGTCATAGTAAGTCATAGTATAGAGAGTCAGTCATAAGTAAGTAAGTATAGTAAGTATAAGTAAGCAAGTCAAGTAAGTAAGTAAGTAAGTATAGAGATAGCATAACATAGAGTCCAGTGTCAAGTGTCAAGTGTCAAGTAAGTTAGTAAGTAGATTGAAGTAAGTAAGTAAGTAAGTCGTAAGCATAACATAGAGTCAAGTATCAAGTGTAGAGTCAAGTATCATAGAGTCAAGTGTCAAGTGTAGAGAGTCAGTCATAAGGGTCAAGTAAGTAAGTAAGTATCAAGTGTAGAGTCAAGTATCAAGTGTAGAGTGTAGAGTAAAGTATGGAATCAAGTGAGTTGATTCTATGTCTGTCATCTATGTACTCAGCTGCGGCGTTCCACACGGAAGAACCCTTCGCGATGCTTTCGGGAAAACTTTCGTAGTCTTGTTTAAAGACAAAAAACAAACTTTCCGAGTCCCGGGTAGGCACAATTCGTATGGCTTCTTTTTCTGTGTTGGAAATTTGTGTCGTTTTCGCTTTATATCATTCTGGTTGTCTTAGCTTCTTAGCTTTTTATCTAAAGCGATTTCGTAAATCGATTTCGTATGGCTTCTCCGTTGTACTTCATTTACCTTTTTCTTCGCTCTTGACCCCCCTGAAGCGAGTTCGTGTAGCCTCTTCGTTCGTGTTGGAAAAGACGTTTTTGTGTACTCTTCAGCTATACAGTATTTACTTTCTTTTCTTCGCTTTTAACCATTTGAAGCGAGTTCGTGCAGCTCTGCTTCTTCTTCTTGTAGGAAAGACAAGCTCCACTTTTCTTCTCTTTTTGCCTTCCTAAAGGGATTTCGTGTGGCTTCTTCCTTGACGCTGATGAAATGTTTGTGCTTAGTTTTCGGTTGTACCTCATGTACTTTCTTCTTCGCTCTTAACCCCCCTGCAGCGATTTCGGGTAGCCTCTTCGTTCTTCAACCCCCTGAAACGATTTCGTGCGGCTCGTCTTCTTCTTGTAGGAAAGACGAGCTTCACTTTTCCTCTACCTTTCTAAAGCAATTTCGTGTGGCTTCTTCCTTCATGTTGATGAAATGTTTTGCTTTAATTTTCGGTTGTACCTCATTTGCTTTTTTCTTCGCTCTTCACGCCCCTGGAGCGATTTGGTGTGGCCTCTTCGATCGTGTTGGAAAAGACGTTCGCTTCGGACTTCCTGAAACGATTTCGTGAGGCTCTTCTTCTTTTGTAAAAAAGACAAGCGCCACTTCTTTGTTTAGCTTTGTACCTTTCTGAAGCGGTTTTGCGTGGCTTCTTCCTTCATATTGATGAAATGTTGTTTATTTACTTTGTTCTTCGCTTTTAGCCCACCTAAAGCGATTTTATGTGGCCTCTTCGTTTGTGTTGGCAAAGACGTTTTTGTGTAATGTTCTGCTATACAATGTCGAATCTTGTTCGTCGCTTCTGACCCCCGGAAGCGATTTCGTGTGGCTGAATTCTTCGTGTTGGAGATAACGTTTTCAATAAATTTTTGGTTATGCAGTATTTACTTTCTTTTCTTTGCTTGTAACTCCGTGAAACGATTTCGTGCGGCTAATCCTTGTAGGAAGGACAACCTCCACCATCCGAGTGTGTTCATCTTCCCTCGGAGTTTGTTTGGAGTGTGTTTTTCCTTGGACCAACAAACCGTTCCCCCCAGAGTTTGTTTTCTGTAGGAAACACAAAACCCTCCCCCCAGAGTTTGTTTTTGTAGGAAAAACAAATCCTCCTCTACCCCCGCGCCGCCCAAACCACTCCCCCTAGCATCACTGAAACAAACAAACTTCTCCCATAGGAGTTTGTTTTTCACCGCTGAAACAAACTCACCTGGTCAGGGTTTGTTTGTACCCGCTGAAACAAACTCGTCGAGACGGAGTTTCAAGTTGGTTTGTTTTCCTCGCCTCCCCAACCTGGCTCTTCGTGACCCAACCAAAAGATGATCCGCAAACGTTTGTTTTCTTCCGGCGAAACAAACCCAACCCCTCCTCCCAGTGTTTGTTTCTTTTTGCGGAAAAAACAAACTCGCCTGGCCCCCCCCCCCCCCTTCGGAGTTTGTTCTTCCTAGTGAAAACGAAGCCCTCCCCCCAGGGTTTGTTTTCTGTAGGAAACACAAAGCCCTCCCCCAAAGTTTGTTTTTTGTAGGAAAAACAAAGCCCTCCCCCCAGAGTTTGTTTTCTGTAGGAAAAAACAAACTCCCCTGCACCCCGCCTTCGGAGTTTGTTTTCCTAGTGAAAACAAAATCCTCCCCCCAGAGTTTGTTTTTGTAGGAAAAACAAACCCGGGGCACAAGAATCCGCGTGTTTGTGGTTGAGTAAGTCCTCGTGGCTAGGGTAGCACGCGTGTCTGTAGTTGGAGCGACTCTTTCTGTATAGGTTGAACGAAGCAGTTGTTTGGGTTGAAGGAATCATTCCCGGGGGCGTGGTTGAGTGAATCTGCGTTCTGAGGTTGAAGGAATCAGGTTTTGAGGTTGAAGGCATCCGCGTTGGCGGGTTGACAGAATCCGCGGGCAGTGGTTGACGGAATAATCGGCGAAAAGTTGAAGAAATCCGCGCGCGACCATTATGGTCCCTTTTGGGGTCTCTAATAGAGTACGGCACCTCATGTTTAGGGCACCCAAATAGGGGCCCTAATTTTGACTATCCAGGTAGGGTTGAATCGGGTTGAAGGATCGGGGTTCGGGTTTTCGGCGGCTTTAGGCTTTGCGCTTTGGGGTTGCAGGCCTCAGAGTCGCAGGGCAGAGAAAGGTGCGGTTGGAGCGATGACGAAGGCGGTAGAACTCGCATGTTTGAGGCCTGAGTTGTGCGTTACAATACACCACCTGCAGTATCTCTGTTCCGCTGCAGGTAGGGTTTGGGGGAGTTTTGAATCTGTAGAAAGCAAACTTGAGCAGAGCGAAGGTTGCTTGATCATGCGCTTAAATGATGATTGGTGTCTTGATTACGGTTGGGGACCTCTAACCGCGCCCTGAGTCGAGGCACACAGATGTCGAGATAGAGCTTGGCGACTATGATCGTGTCCAGCAGAGGCCAGCAAGTTATCTTGACTTCGGGCCTAAGTCATGTCATTCGAAAACTACGGGAAACACAAGCGCCGCTTGATAAATGTGCAAGTTTCGGAACTGTAGCCCTTTAGTCGGTGGTGAGCCTGACATCCGGCTTTTGCGACGTCCCCTTCGCCACTGTTCACTTGGCCCTCGGCTTGGAAGCTCTAAGAACTGCGCTGGAAGTTTCCCAACCCGGTTCTCCGATTTGAAGGCACCTCTCATTGAATCCGGAAGCCATTGCATTAGTAGGTGAGTCTACATAGTTGCTTAGTCCCCCGATCATCGAAGTAGAGTCAGAACCGTTACGGGATTACGGCTGAATGCTTTAAGTATGTAAGCTTGAATATTTGTCTCGACAAGGTTTGTTGCAGGACTCCCGGTGATAAACAACTCTGCTGTACGCTGCGTGTGTGTTAGTAAGTGGAGTTTGTGCAACAGCACGCGCGTTTAGGGGCCGTGATACACGTCATCTTAGTTGACTGGTAGATCCGCACCTAAGCCACTCGACAATCGTCTAGCCATGTTACCCTCAAAATTTTTCACTCTGAACCCAACCACTTGAGCTTCTACAGCCGCCACTTCCTTCGGCTTCATCCCTCGAGGTGGGCCGACATGACCTCAAAGCTCCTACGCCATGACGACGAGGTGCCATGGGGAAGGGAGGCGATGGGTTTGGGGTTTAGTGCTTTATGGTCTAGGGTATCTCGGTATCTGGAGGTAGAGTTAGGCTTATACTATGTAAGGTATGTATCTAGAGGTTAAGAGTTAAGATTCTTATAGGGGTTGTGACGGGTTCTTGAAGTTCTTCTCTGAGGCTTTACGGGCTACTGCAAGGGTTCTGCGGGTTGTCTTCGGGTGGTTCGGGTTGCTGTGGTTGGGTTGCGGTGCTGGTGGCTGCCTGGCAAGAAAGGTTTTGTCAAGAAATTTGGAGGTCGTTCGGGGTTGAAGGGTGGATGAACCCTACACCCTAAACCCCGAAACCCTAAACCCCTGAACCCTAAACCCGTAAACCCTAAACCCCTAAACCGGGTTCCATGACGAGTGTGGGATTGAAGGATTTGGGGGCTTCAGATTACTGAGGTTGACGGTTGTTGGAGGGTTGTTAGGGATGTGGGCTTTGGGTTTAGGGTTTAGGGGTGAGGGCTTTGGGTTTAGCGTTCAGGGCTTTGGGTGTAGGGTTTAGGGTCTAGGGTTTAGGGCTTTGGGTGTAGGGTTTAGTGTTTAGGGTCTAGGGAGTTGGATGTCTGCTGGGCTTCCGGGGAAAGAGCCTTGAGCTGGGCTTTGCAGCGTGTTCTCTTTGTTTGGATTCTGGGGTGTAGCTGGATTGTGGTGTTTCAATCAGAAGGGGCCCCCACCCTGTAATAGTGGGGGGAGCTTCTAATGTTTCAAGCTGCAGCAATCTCCCTGGCGGGCTACTGTTTCAAATTGATCTCACCTTGGTGGTTCGATACTTCGTCTGGATTGTCCAACTAGGCCTGCTTCAGAAAGCTCCCCCACGCCGGAGCCTTAACCCTAAACCCCTAAAACAAGACCCTAACACCTGAAAGCAATCTCGTGAGGTGCTGGATGGCCACGCGCCACTGCATCTCGCTCGCAGTCGAGTTTAGCCCATAGTTTCATCTGGTAAACAGGTAAACAGTTTGCAGGTCTGGTTTATTGGGAGTTAGGGAAAAAGCTTTAAATTTGTATTTCCGGGTTACTGGGATTTCAGGTTTAAGGTTCAGGTTTCTAAAAATGAACCCCAAAATGGAACTATTTTGGGACCTTTGGGTAGGGTTGTAGGATCCTACAACCGGCAAGGCCAAAACCCCACTGCCCACGTTCAACTCCGCAACTTCCCGACACCGAAACCAGAATCCCATAGCAAACCCCAAACCCTAAAAGACCTAAACCCTAAACCGCTAAACCCTAAAGCCTACAACCCTAAAGCCTATAACCCTAAACCCTAAACCTCTAAACCCTTAAACCCTAAAGCCTACAACCTTAAAGCCCCAAGCAAAGCCTGCGGTAAGGATGCCTCATTGGCACGTTCTCCGCCTCCACAGCACCTGGCAAATCTCTCTGGAGGCCTTTCCCGTCTAGGGTGAAGGGGGTTGGACGGTGGGGTAAAGGGGTATAATTCAATAATGACATTAGCAATAATGACAACAACAACAACAACAGTATAGCAATAAAGTCGGATAGTTAGTCAACGTCCTCCTGTAATCATGAACCGTAGTTTTCAGAGACCAGCGAATATCGGTGAAGATGATGTTCTTCTGATTGAGGGCCTGTGTTTTGCTCGCGGATTTTGCGCTCTGACGGAGCTGGCTGCCAAGTTCTATGCAGATACTCATTCTTTTCAAGGACGCCATTGACGGTTACGTGAAATTTGCGGAACGGAGAGCCTCAATCCAAACATTCTGAAGCCTTACTATTCGTGTGGAGCCCAAACCCGAAACCTCGCAAGCCTTGCTCAGAAGTGTCTGTCTTCTGGCAAGCTGAGAGGTATCGACAATCACAAGACTCTAGGTTCGAATCTGAACTACTTGCCCTGCGAGCTCCTCTCGGGAGCACGAGATCCGCTCCCTCGCAGCCCTCGCATACGGAGCAGCATAATATAGGAGCTTATAACTAGTAACTAATCAGTATTATTCCTAAGGGCTCCTTAGTAGAGTTCAACCATGATAGTGAGCTGTGTAGGCACCACATGTCCACACCCCACAATACGGGCGTTGGAATCAGAATCAGTAGTTCAGTAGTACTAGTCACCACCTAGAGTACCTATTTATTTACAGACATGCTTGCATACATATATATATATATATATATACATACACACACGATATTGCATCGCCCCTGTGGAGGAGACTATGCGCTTTGGCCGGAAGAGGCACACGGACCTGCTGCATCCCTTGGCTTTGCGTTCTAGGTAAAGCTGCTGGAGCTGCCATGTTCGTGCGGTCTCAACGCGGGCTCTAAAGCTAGGGTAAGCGCAAAAAAAAGGTTCGGGTTTGGCATTGTTCTTGTTGTTTTTCCGGTCGTGGGAATGCCAAAATGCTTGATTTCCACAGGACCCGAGGCTTTCAAGTCCCCAAACCCTAAGCCCTAAACCCTAGAGGCTCATGGAAGAGATGGAGCTGGAAGCTGGGCATCATCGGACTGGAAGTCGCACCACACTGCGCTTTAACGATCCTTGGAGTGTGATATCTTAGTAGCTGAGTGGATACACTCTACACGTTTTGGGAGAATATTACCCGCCACAACACTAAAAGTGTACACTTTTACTTATGAACTCAGCAACTAAGATACAGGGGCCTAAACATTTACCAATACTCTTTTGGGGGCTACTTGCTAAACTATAGTACAACGAACACCAAAACCCTATTCCAAATATTAAGGCCACTATATTAGGTGCTGAGTTTGTGGGTTCGTCGCTCTACCCATGTACCCTAGACCCACACCCCCACACGACATTCTAAACCTCCGGCTGCACGGGCTTCGTGTGATTACATTCGGTTACAAACATCGAAGCCTCGTAGCAGTGATTGTATGGTGAACAATCACTAATTAACTGCTAGTGTCAACAATGCAGCTCGGATAGAGCAGGGAGTGTGCATTCTTTGGCTGCTTCCGTCCGGGTCTCCAACACCAGTCGAAGCCTACCCCTGTGAGCCTGCGTTGTCGTCCCAAGCAAGCAGCACAAAACTCCAATAATTTTGTGGAAGCATCCGAACCTATACTATAGAGCAGGGAATAAATATAAACTCAAACACTACAACACACTGGGTTTCTGACCTCTTCAACATAGTGCAACACTCAAGGCAGTAGACTCTAAGAGTCTACTCCCAAGACTTGGGATTCCCAGATTGACCCTAATGTAGGGGCTTCAATACTTAGAATAGGGTTTGGGGGGTTCCTCAATATATAGTATTTTGGACCCCAAAACCCTATTCTCATCATTAAGGCCCCAGGAATTACACCCGGAGAGTTGATCCTCAGGACACCTTCATTGATGAGCGGTCCTGCCTTCGACACTTCGTGGTGGGACCTCGCAGTAAGGCCTTTTTCTATAGTCTCCTTAGGAGCTATGTTATATATATATATATATATATTATATATATATATATTATATTATATATATATATACATATATTATATATATATATATATATACAAAACCCAACAGAATATAAGACAGGGGGGCCTTGGATGGGGGGCTTCCAGGGAGTTTCAGGGCTCGGGTTGAAGGAGTTTCTAGGAAGAACGGCCCTGCACAAAGTTATAATATAGTTTCTATGTAGTTGTAGTTTGGTCATAGTATAGTTACTCTATATGTATGTGTGTATATATATATATATACAAAGTTATAATGTAGTTGCTATATAGTTGTAACATCGCTACTACATAGCTATACTATAACATAGTTGTTATCGAATGATATGATTCCATGACGACCGTGCAGTACGCCTCGGAACACTGTTTTTGGGCCCCAGTCTCGTGGTGTGCCTCTCCTGCAGATCCAATTCTGCTGGGCATGTCTGGCAACGATTCTCATCGTCTGGGACATCATGACGCTTCCGCTGGCCTCTTGGCCCCCGATCCTTATGGTTTAGGGCTTCTGGGTTTAGGGTTAATTAGAGGACACCCTGAAGCCAAGCTTTCCACAAGCTCAGGGCTTTGCCTTTGTTTGTTTGAATTTGGGGTTGATGTCTTGCGCCCTCAAGCCTGAACTCTACTCGTAACGCCATTGTTAAATGAGGGTTTTTCAAAAACGATGGTTTTTAACAACCCTCAAAAACCATCGTATGTCAACACCCCCATCTGTTAAAATGTAGCCGTAAGTCCGGGCCGAAGATACATGTGCCTGTAGATATTGGAGAAGCACAATCTTTCCGTGTGGTAGCCTGCGCCAACAACTTGAAATCGAGTCCTTAGGCACAAAAGTTTAGGATGCCGCAAGGGAGCTTAGCAGTTGTTCAGACGGGAGCAGAAACAAGACGACTGAGATGCGTCGGTCGTAGACTTGAATGTAAACTTGCCCAACTCGCTGTGATGCTCTTGTCTTGCATCGGCATCATCCAGGATTATCTTGCTTCAATAGCTCTTGAGGCCTGTGGCGATAGGCAAAGTGCTGGCAGATACGGACGATGACTTTCCGTTATGAGAAGAGCTCTTGGCAACAAGTTGACCCAGAGCACGTGCCACTGCGAGTGATTGCCCTGCTGAGGAACTGTTTCCTATTCACGACTTCGTGCGAATTGTGGACGCCATGGCAGTTGTTTCTTGTCCTTGTCCTGAAGCATGATGTTCGACAAATTTCTCAAGGGTTTCCAAAGCATGCAGCAGATCTCCTTCGTTGCAGTTGAACCTCTCAAACTGTCTGCTGTTTTGGAAACATTGGCTTACAACTTTGCAGGGGCCTTGGCCGGAGCTTGATACACAGCCGATATGTAGCCGACGGGCAGCTTGTCTGTTTCGGAGAGCCAGTGGCGTCCATCAATCGTCTGTCGTTTGTCAGATCGATTGTTCAAACGCTTCTTTCTTGGTGCAAAAGCTTTGCTTCGAACTCGCCATCGTCGCAATGAAAGCTCGTTGCCCACCCTAACTAGGTGGCGCCTTGGAGAACTGTAAACTCTAGACTTTGCCTTGTGGTTCCTAGAGAGGTACCTACTCATAAATACTTTCAAGGGCACACAATCGCAACCCAACTAGTGGTCTGCTCCGAATAAATTAGCTTTCCTGCATGAGGTGCAGAGCTCACAGTGCGTGATCTCTGGACAGCCATGTAAGTGAGTTTTGTCACTTGCACAATACTTGTATGTGGTATACAGCCAGTTCTGTGTTCCTGAGTGCTACACTTTCGCACTTTTTAGTTTATAGTGGCCCCCTTCTTAACACCAAGTGGTAGGAACAGGGGTACCAGATTACAAAGGGGCTACCCAGGAACCTGGAGCTCTATGTAAGTTCAAGTCGAAAGTTGCCGAAAATTAGGGCTACCTTACTTTAGGGTCTTAGAATTAGGATCCTACTTATTTTGGGAAACTCCCATATAGTCCAAGACAGCAACAAAGTTGTATCCTTCAAAATCCGCCCTTCCCCTGACGTCCAAGACTCTAAGGACTCTAAGGTTTATGGTTTCGATCTGAACTCCGATGTCAACGCGAAGCTGAAACTACCCCGCATTAAGACCCTTAAAATTGTCGAAATACTGCGTACCCTTTTTCTCCACATTTACTAACAAAAAACTACTACGGTCCTAAGCCCAAATGTTCGAGATGATGATATGCTCTGAAACCGCGAAACCCCTAGAACGCCCTATAAGACCTTTAACACCATGGTAACCCCTTACTACCTGAAGCTAAAGCAACCCACCGTTCTGAACCGCTAAACCCGAAACCCTAAACACTGCTTAAGACCCCTACACCCTAAACACTGTTACCAGAAACCCTCAACTTTCAACCCTAAACCTTATAAGAGCTCGCCCACACGGGCTTTCGCAACGCACTCTGCAGATCGAAAAGGAGCCCTAAAAAAAACACCTTATAAGAGCCACTGCTTAAGGCCTCCTGGATCTTCTGGCTTATCGACATCCCCTTGCATCTCACCTCACACGGTCTCCGAGGGGCTGTGCTTTTAATGTGGTCATGTCGGAGGCTCTTAAAGGTAGGGTTTCAGGTTTAGGCGCGAGTCACAAGGTGTGCATGGGATTCTTGTGGGATTCCTGGGGTATAAAACTTATCGGAGTGATGTCATGTGCTCGGATAGACTTCTTGAAGGGGCCCAAAGGGCTCTGACGATATCTCACTGTTTGCTACACCTCCAATGGGATTGCATCGGATTGTTTTAGGAGTACCTACCCATAGGCCCCATAGTAGTTCCTTCTTGGGATTACCTTATAGAACTCTAAATATGAGCCCCCAAAATGGAACTGCTTTGGGGCCTTTGGGTAGGCCCCAAGGTTGAGGGTTCTCCTAAGGGAGCTTGAGGGTATAGCGTAAGGTTAGAGTTACGGAAAACCCTCAGGGCCCTCATTCGCTACAGCAGGTTTGAATGAGAATGATTAGAGGGATGCTATGCGCTTTTCGTCCATATGTACATATTGTACATAATCATGTAGTTGCCGCGGAACTGTGAACTAACACCCTACAAGACATGACGCACAGCTCTGCTGTACAACCAGTCTTCACTTCTCTGGCCCCTACATTACGGTGTCTACTTCCCGACCCGCTCTCCAAAGAGCCATTGAGGCATCTCTTCTTCGGCGTGCAGGTGGCCGGCACAAACGAGCTGAGGCCTCATACTCATAGGCTCCTATGACCCCACCCAATCGCCCATATCTTAGTAGCTCTCTGTGTTTGCTTAGACTTTGCAAGGCTTGCTGAGGGCTAGCGAGGCTTGGTAAGCGTTGCAAAGGCTTGGCGCCGAAGCTACCGAATGCGCATGGTCGAATAACATGTCGCCTCAGGGCTATTAAGTGAGGGGGAGGTTGGAGGGGGCTAAACCCTTTAGGCCATATGCCCGGTTGAAAGATCGTCGCTTTGTGCAGGCCTCCGGTGCTTTGGTCCTTATACCTCCGCTCCTGGTGCCTTGTCAGCCCTTTTGTTCACGAGTTTGGGTGCTTTCGGGGGGGGAGGCCTTTGAAGCAAAAACCAAGCTTACGTCAGGCCATCCAAACATGTCAGTTTGGGGACATCGCCTGCTATGTTGCCGCATAGGCTGTAGGGCTGGATGATGCGCATCGTTCTGCTTTTGGGGCCAGGGTAATTGCTAGTAGCCCTAATCTAAGGGCTCTCATAGGCACATGGACCCGTTGGGGTTCAGGATTGGAGGGTTTGGGATTGTCGTCGCTGGCCATTTGGGCCACTTCAAGTCACCTATATGTTAATCCAAAGCCTGACGCCTATAAGCCACTGCCAATCCTTTCCCTCTCCCAGGTTTGTAGTCGACTTCCTCGTCGTTGCCATTGATGCAACCGTTATCGCGCTGGATGGGCTGCCAGGACGAAAATCCTTTTGCTCAATGGTTCCAAAGAACCTACATACATAACATATCCCGCAACGAGAATTCGGCCCTAGGGAGAGCTTGAGGGGTTGGGGAGCTTTACTATTAGGGGCCTTCATCGTTCCCTATACCATTTTGGGGGCTCCCGATTGAAATCTATTATAGTATAATGTACCCCAACATTCGAATATTTAGGCCACTATAGTAGCCTCCTGACTCCTCCACCATTCTTGAGGCTGCAGTGCCATAGGGTTCGGGGAGGGTCAGAGCTCTCTTGGTTTAGAGCCCAGGGATTTTGTATATCGTCTTCATGATCCCGAAACCACATAAAACCTCAACAAAGCCTCCATAAACCGTTACACACCGTAAGCCCTATAAAGCCCAAACCTCAAACAAACTCTCTAAACCGTGAAAAACCTTGAGCCTTAAACCTATAAGCGGTTATAACCGTTAAGCCTTAACGGCATTAAAACCAAGAAGCCCCGAGCAAAGTGAGGCTCCAGGCCGGCAGCGTGTCCAGCCCGATGTTCCGCTCCGCTCCCGAGCTGACATCTGGGGTCCTCAGGGGCGGTTGAGTCTTCACGGTTTAGCGTATGGAGTTTGGGGTTTCTTGTTTGTGGTTGTTGCGGTACGTAACATCTGGGGATATTTCCCGCAAACCGTAAACCCGACAATATTCGGGCCTAAACAATCGCCAATACTATGTTGGGGGTTCCGTATGAAAAAGGCTCCTACATTACAGCGCCGAAGCCTCAACCCCCAGCCAAACCCAGGCCCGTCTCATCCGGGCGCTCCGGATGGTCCGCCTCGTGCGCCTCATCCGCGTTGCGCGGCTGGAGCGGACGTTGACTCTGCTTGCAGCTTGTCGGTGAGGGTTCCCAAGATCACGGGATGCTGTTCGATGTTCAGACGGGGACAGGTGGACGACGTAAGTCCCCTGTGCTTCGGTGTCTTTTTGCGCCGCCTCGGCTCAAGGATTCTGATTTTCGAGGTTCGAGACGTGCAGTTCCCTGCCAAACCCTCAACCCCTAGACCCTATACCCAAACCCCTAAACCCTAGACTCTCGAATGGGTGTTTATTCGAACAGGTGTAGAGTGTCAGTACTATGTCCCTGCAGAGTAGGCCTGCAAGCTCCAAGACATTTATCCGCTTCATCCCTGACGAAGTTAAGCAGAAGTCTGAGTGTTCCAACTTGTCTGCATAATCGTAGGTTCGTGGGTGCAAGAGGTTTAGGGATTAGGGTTAGAGGGCCGCAGCTTCCTCCTCTGCAGGGTAAGGGGTTCGAGGGTTTCAGGATTTGTAGGACTTGGGGTTTAGGGATTCTGGGTATTAAGGAGTCATGGCCGCTCTAGATGAGGCGAATCGATTCTTGTCCACCTACTCTTTCATGGTGATGCCGCTCGGCATTCTGACATTACCGCCTCTGGGCGTCGCACAGAGAAAGCTTCATACTCATTGATACTATTCCTGAGGGTTCCGGATTGTATTCTTGGTCTTCATATTCACCACCACCACCATTTTAAAACTATAGTTAAATGATGAAAGCAGTTTTAGTCCATAGTCTATCGTGGCAGTTATAGTCTATAGTAAGGCTCGGGGATTCGGAATTGGATCTGCTCTGCGAGCCACAGGTTGGCGGGTCTGAACACGAGAACTGAGCTCCTCGAATGCTCGAACCTCCTTGAGACTGGAAGGAGCCCACGATAGACGACTGTCCTGTAGGGTTTAGAATTTCATGGTGCCTTACTGCAGCAGGGAGCATGGCTCTTAATAGCATCATGTCTGACTCGGACTTTACAGCAGAGGATCTTCGATCTGCAGGGCCGTTGTGATTATATGGGAATCAAACTCTGCGCCCTGGATTCAGAGGCGTTCCACGATACATTTGAGCCTGGACAATGTAGAGCCGTGCTATTAGCTGCGACCATGGGCAAAACACCCCGAAGGCCCCGAGCTTGCTTCCAAGGAAGGTTATGGGCTATCTCCTTCTTCTCCTGGCCGTCAACCATGTAACAGCGCTGCTTACCTGCAGAGACACAGGATGCTATGCAAAGGGGGTTTGCGGCGCTCAAGATTTAGGGATTTTGGGTCGTAGCTTCAGGCTGTGTGGGTTTCAGGGTTGAGGGTTTCGATTGTAGGCTCGATGTTAAAGGCAGGAACAGGATTGCAGCAGACGAGTTAAGTAGTTTATATCTGATGGTGCACGACTTTCCCCACCTTCTGTGCACCAAGCCCTTTCGTCATGTGAGCTTCGTATTCAAGCCGGGATTGAGGCGTAGGCACAGTGATGCTGGAATGAGCCTCAGTGCGTTTACGTAGTTGTGAGCTTGCAGCGATGAGGCTTTGGTACGGGTTCGCTATACGCCTGCGAGGCGTTCAACAGCGTCATAAGTCTGTAGTTGCAAGGCTCTAAACCGCCTCACCCACGCAAGGTGCTGCTGGTATGGTATTGGCGTCTGGAGCGGGGATCGCAACTGGATGCAGCGGCTGGAGATCGAGCTGCTAAGTCGCTGATATTTAGGGCTCACCGGTCGGTCGTTAGACAATCAGCAACGCCGAAAACCTGACGCCGCGTCTCCTATCATATTAACAGTAACTGATCCGAAAAGAGTTGCAGAACCAGCGGCTGCAAGGTCTGTAGACCCCACACCATCAACTCTAAGGTCGCATCCCGCATTCCTACATCGATTCTTTGCGAAAGCACTGCAGCAGCTTTAAAAATGCCTGCCTCCATCCCATATTGTCGCAGAACTCTGGATTGCAAAGCCCTTCGACATGACAAGATCTCGTAAAAGTCTCTCATTCAGCTTTAGGGCTCAGACTTCGTGACGAGAACAGAGTTTCGGGCTATACTATAGTCGAAATACACTACGGAGTTGACAGAAAGAGTGTTCCTACGATTCAGATGGGTCCTACTATACTTTCAGGTTCATTCCTCAATTAAGGGATATACCTTAAATCAGATTATGGATCCTACTAGATTTTACGGTATATTCCTTAACTAAGGGATATTTTATAGTCTCTGGGATCCAGCAAGCGCCATCGGAGCCGAAAAACCGTCCCAGGGAGGCCAGTTTCCTGGACTCCTACGCCTCCTGGCTCCAAGCGGGCTTTGGGTTTACCCAAAGGCCCCAAAGAAGTAGTTCCTGTTTGGGGTTCATATATGGAATCTCAAAAGGTAATCCCAAAAAGGAACTACTTTGGGGCCTCTGGGTAGGGAAGATGGTTCCGGGAATGATGTTCAGAATACGGGAGGAGGGTCTCAGGGGTTGAGGGCTGCTGGCTTCATGAAAGGTTTCGCATGACATGGTGGCTAGCACGGGTGCATGTCGGGGAGCCTCTGCAGACAACAACTCAACGGAAGACGGCAGCATGTGGGCGCTGGCATTGTTGATAGGTTTCTGCGGCTTTCGCTCCAAAGAAGCCTCAATATTAAATTGCCCACGTTATGCCTTAGGGTTCCATTACATGTATAGTAGATTACCCAATATCCAGCCTCTTCTGCTTACTGAGGCCCCTCCGTTACGTAGTGGTATTTTGATATGTTTTTGAGGTTCTGGGTGGTCTGGCATTCTCCAAATCCAAACACGCAAGCGGCACATTGCCCAAGAAACTTCACCAAACATCCCAGAATCCAGAGACGATGTTGCCCGCCATTTTAGTTCCATGTTTGTTCTGTCCCATGGTGTCCGTTTGGGGGGGGGGGGGGGTTACACTCTCATCGTATGGGGGTTACACACATCCCACATAAGTCAGTCTGTAAGCTGCGCGAGCAGTACACATGGTCATTTTACAAGGTTCCGTACGGCTTTGATTGCCTAGCTGCCGAAGCTGCACAGTACTACAACTATCTATGATTTCGCCCACTGGAGCCCTATAGTTTTTTTCTGCCTGTTGCATGATATGGTATTCCTGTCCGACAGCCTCAAGACAAGAGTTCAAGGACATAGACCTAAGCTTATGTTTCTTTTTGGATGTCCCCATCATTCTGAGCAGGCTGATCGCAGAGACAACTTTGTACATATATATATATATATATACGATGTCCTCAGGTGAGCGCTATGCACTGGGCCCTGACGCAGTTCACGCCTTCCACCAACAACATTGCACCAGACACGGGCATCGCACAGTGAGGGTTTGGTTTTGTTTTGTTGCGGAGCGGCTTTTTCCAGTTGAAGAGATGTCAAAACTAGGGTCATGTTTTGGGGTACCGTAAATATTAGGTGCCGTACTATATTGGGGACCCAGAAAGGGACCATAATTTTGACAACCACCCAGTTGTGGGTTGTGAGGCTTGGGCTACGGAGGTTTGGGATTTCGCTCGGGTTTGAGGTTTTCGCCGAGGCTTTGCTTCTTGCTGTCAGAGGACCGGGCCGGTACCCCGAAGTCCTCAAGTTCTTCTGCCCGTACCCGAAGCCTAGTATTAATACTAATACTATAATGCTAATTCCAATACTGATATAAATATCAATACTAATATTATCATTAATCTGCAACCTAAACCGCACATGAGCCGTCAGCCCTGCAGTGTATGCGGCTTGGAGGATGTCAGACTCGTGCTTATGTACCGGATGGAGGCCGCATAGGACCGTCGAGGAGGGCCATGTTCAACATCGAACCCTGCACTCCGGCCTGGGAAGGACGCCTTTGAACACGCAGCCCAACGACCGAAACCTAGCATGTCACATAAGCCAACACGACACCTACAGGCCCTACGGTGTTCAGTGCTAAACCTGTCCCTACACCCCAAACCTGGATGCCCTAAGAGTACTTAGACCAACGACTAGTACCCGTAAGCCTCTAAGTTCCAGGCCGTGAACATCTAAAACGGCTTACTTGTGGTTCCAATTTCCTACTGTCTTTAGGGCCAGACCGTCCAACCCTCCTATTTGCAGGTATCGCTGCTGGCTGTACGCTCTAAGCATCAACCCAGTCAACACCCGACCCTAAGCAATAAAGCCCCAATGACCCAACAAGCTCAAGCCCTCTTTTGCAGAGGGTGGGGAGTTAATCAGTCATGAGCATATCAGCGAAAGATAAGGATTTACAGAACTGCCCTAAATTAAGGGTTCAGGGTTCTTGGGTTCAGGATTTAGGGTTTAGGATCCTAAACCCTAAACCCTGCACCCAACCCCAAAAAGCTTCTGTCTTCCCCCAAAAAAAGCCGCTCAGGAAGAAAAAGTAGATCTCTTAATGGGGGTTCCTATAAAGTACCCTTAGTAGTATAGGGCCTCAAAACCCCTCCCCCCCCAAAAAAAAAAATGCAAAAGCAGCTCAGGACAATCCCTGGGAGCGCTTCTTCGCGATTTGGGTGATTCTCCTGGCGATGGGCGCCTTGGCTCTGCTTTCAAGCCTATGTGGGCGGTTGTCAGGATTAGGGTCCCTTTTTGGGTACCCTAAATATTAGGTGCCTATTATATTAAGGACCGCAAAAGGGATCCTAATTTTGACAGCCACCCATATAAGGTCTAGGGGTTTATAGGTTGTTTTTGTGGCTGTACAAAGTCTTAAAGTCTAAAATAAGCCTGGGACTTTTTCAAGATGAGCTTGAGGTTTTTGTTGTCTTTTGTGGATTTTCGCCCGGATAGGGTTTACAGGTTAGGGGCCGGGGGCTGCCGAAGTTCTTCTTCTTTTTTGGGTCTCCAGGTCTTATCAGTTGGGGACCCAAAAAAGCACATAAGCATAAGCATTTTGTAGGGATATACATCCCTACCATATTGGGCTTCTTTTTCAGGGGGTTTAGATGGGTCTTCAGGTGTGTTCTCCTCCTTCATCGCCTCCATCAGCTCGACGGTGAATTCCATGCGACTGGCACGGGCAGAGGAGATCAAGCAAAAGGCCTGGGTTGATACACCTGGGCGGTTGTCAAATTATGGTCCCTTTTTGGGGTCCTTATTACAATACGACACCTAATATTTAGGGTACCCAAAAATAGGGACCAACATTTGACAACTACCCACCTGTATCACATCAGGTAACTTTCAGCCCCGTTCGGGGTATGCACGGCTCCAGTGTTGATAGTGTTGATAAACATGAACTTGAACAAAGATTTAAAATTATAATGCCATCATAGCATAGTGGTTATTGCATTAGTCTCGTAGTTGAGGGTTCAAGGGTCTTGAAAACAGGGATCTCAACACCAGGGCTTATCGGGCTTGTGTAGTTGTTTGGCTTCCGGGGTCAAGCAACATGCAAGGCTGGTTGTGTTTCTGAGTCTTTGAGGCTTTAGCCGGGCATTCGACATTGGGATACCGGTGGGATTCAGGGTGCTGTAGGGATTAAAAACCCCACAAGTTGACCCCTAAGTTCTCCAGGTCCTACTACCCAAACTGGAGACAGAGAGCGTGCAGTCAACCCTTGAGGCAATCTCGAAGGCAATCTGTACTTCGCAGAAAAGAACTGCGGCCCTCCCTCAGGGGCCTATGAAAACATGCTTTTCTGGGCATCTCGTGGCCCAGAGAGACCTCCCCGAAGAAAGAGTTCATGCGCGGCCTTTCGTCGGAGTGGCTACAGCTACCGGGCTCCACCCGCAGCACCCCAAGAACAAGAGCACAGGCCTGCAGTTGCCAGAATTGTAATATAGGGCTTGAATAGTTACCAATGTTATTCCTTGGGTTCCTTATTATAACTATAGTATAATGGGCCTCAAAGCCCTATTCTAATTAGTGAGGCCCCTATGTTAGCCTGTGGGGCTGTGGATGGGCTCAACACACAAGACATCACCAGACCCTGAAAAGACCCTAAAGCACCAACCCCTTCAAATCTCCAATTACAGCGGCATCATAAGACTGTACCGAAGACTTTCGTCAGACCCTTATTGAACCCTAAACTACATAGCAACATCTGAAACCCTTCTAGAACCGGAATAGACCCCTCGTACATCCCTCAAAGACCACATACAACTACCCCTTTTGGGCTTAACACTCTCTGTCAGGCCGATTTGAGGCAGTTCTTCATGGATCGATGCCCGGCGAGGGTTTTTTGAGAGGATTCTACAGGTTTGATTCTGCTGGTTCTAGGATGTTGTGGCGTTGAAGCCGGGTCGTTGGGGCTTGCACTGATTTAGGATGTGTTTCGGGTGCCCGTGCCTTCCTAGGGCTAGACTTCTGCTTCGGGTCTAGGAAGTGAGACATGAGACCTGCTAGTAACACCGGACTTGCTACTTGTGAATATACCGATATACCTAATCAGTTCTGATATGCTCAGACGCCACGTGGGCACTAAGTACTTGCAAGCAGTGTTTGGCTATACATTTCAAGGTTGTTGTTCACGGTTCGGGATTTCGTATTTAGGGTTTACGGCCTTGGTCGTTAAGTCATGCTTTGGCATCCAGGATGAAGCGAGCTCGTTGGGTGTGGGGCATGTGGGTGACGTAGAGATATTTGCCGAGGCTTCCTTTTAAGAGGGCTTCAGACTGGAAGTGCAACGAGCGAGTTGGAACCTTTGTCGATGACGGGGCTGGCAGGACACAGTGACCAGGTGTTTGTGCTGGGTCATGTAAGCTCGATCTGGCGTAAGCACCGTCTCGGACGCCAAGGAAACCTCTCCGTCGAGCTCTTTGGTGCCTCGTCGATGTTCAGGGTTTCCAAATAGGATGGTAGAGGCTACAGCGAATCGTTTGGCGAAGGATGTGTACTCTGTCTCACCTATGACCTAGACTCTATCACTTAAGCCCAAGCTCTGTATAAGCCCTTTGGACTGCCCTAGCACCCTTAAACTTCAGGTTAAAACCCTGTGCGCTAGGGAGGCAGGTGTAGAAACGGGTTTTGGAAGTCATGAGCTTCATATTGTCGATTGAGCTTTACATTGTCGCTTGCTGATTAGACTATGTGGTTCAGAACTTTGCCCACAGCTGACTTACGACATCACACACTCGCGACTGCAAGTTACGAGTCAAAATACCCGAAGCCCTAACCCTGAACCCCACGAGTAGTCTGCGAGCATGTGGGTGGTTGTCAAAATTAAGCTCCCTTTTTGGGTCCCTATTGGACTACGGCACCTTCTATTTAGGGTACCCAACAAGGGACCCAAATTTTGACAGCCGCCCATGTGCAAGCGCGTGTGCGCGTTAAGCATTGGCAAAGCTCTCGAGGTCGGGTTTGCAGAGCAGGTCCCCTCTACGTGAATCCAAGGTGTAGGCTTTAGGGTTTCTCCTTCTCTGTCCTTGCAAATCTGAGCCCCAAAACAGTGGTTTGCAGCAGTAGCAGCAGCAGCAGCAGCAGTAGCAGCAGCAGTAGCAGCAGCAGTAGCAGTAGCAGTAGCAGTAGCAGTAGCAGTAGCAGTAGCAGTAGCAGTAGGAGTAGGAGTAGGAGTAGGAGTAGGAGGAGTAGTAGGAGTAGTAGTAGTAGTAATAGTAGTAGTAATAATAGTGGTTGTTGCTTTTGTTGTTCCTAGCAAGATGGACAACCCCACGCCCTCACTTCCAAACCGTTAGACTGATAACCGATATGGTTCTCCCTACGGTGAAGTCCAAGCTGAGGCAAAGTGCAGGCGGTGTTGGCCAAGGAAGGACTCTTTGAGGTTCGCCACTGGGCTTGGAGGGATGTTCAGGTTTTGTCCAATACCCTCAAACCCCGAGCCCTAAACCGTTTAGTTTGGGCCTTAAACAGCTTAGAGGGGCTCACAGCCGGAAGAAGACCGAGATGATGTAAGGGCGTAGCGCGGGTACCACTGGGATAGTACCCATACAACCCGGACTGTTCCAGACCGACCACTTTACCGCCAGCACAAGCCAATGCCCCTCCAAAGCCTTAATAAACCCTGAACTACACACACGGACATACAGACGTCGATTTCGACACCCTGCGTAGGCTCGCCCACTGCGGTTCGTACCGTGGAGCTTCGTAATTATCTCGCTTCGGTGGTTTAGTCTTGTTTTCAACTTGATGAACTTCATATCACGGAGGCTACATTTGGGAGTTCCCGAAAATTAGGGGCCTACCGCATTTTAGTTTGGGGTCCTTATACTAGGGATCCTACTTTTTAGGGTACTATACTAGGCTCCCCTATGTTCGCTTAAACCCCTAAACCCTAAACTCCCATTTAATTTCCGTAAAGCCCTAAACCCTAAACCCTAAACTCCTTTTTCATGTCCTTAAAGCCTGAATCCTTAAGCCCCCAGAGGCCTACTCGCCAAAACCCGGGTTTCTCAGACCCGTCCCGGTGAGAAATGTGGTGGAAGCCCAGGGAGCCTTAAATTACGGAAATTATTGGGGTTTGGGGTTCGGGGGTTTAGAGGTTTAGGGTTCAGAGGTTTAGGGTTCAGGGTTTTAGGGGTTGAGGATGAGTTTAGGGTTCAGGGGTTTAGGGGTTTAGGGTTCAGGGGTTTAGGGTTGTAGGGTTTGGGGTTCAGGGGCTTAGAGGTTTAGGATGAATTTAGGGGTTCAGGGGTTTAGGGTTTTAAGGTTTTAGGTGTTTAGCGTGCAGGGGTTTAAGGGTTTAGGGTTTAGGGGTTTGAGCCTTTGGCCTCATATATCAGAGGTCTTATAGGATAACATTATTTATGCTCAACTCAGGAGTGCTCCTTAACTCCTTACATCATGTATCTGAGGTCTTAAAGGATGACCTGATGCTCAACTCAGGAATGTTCCTTAAAAGCGAGAGTCTTACAGCATGAGTAATTACCAAGTGGATCTAAGGGATAATCCTGGCTTTATGGAGCAGGATCTCGGGTTCCCTCCAGCTGCACTGACCCAGGAAAGCTCGAGAATCAGGTTCAGCTGGTGAAGACCATACCAGAGAGCATCTTGCACGTTTTAGGGCTTGTTAAAGGGTGTAAGGTCTTTCGGGTTTGAGACTTCGGGGTTTAGGGCCGAGGGCTGTTTTGGTTTAAGCTTTGGGTCGTAAGACTTGGAGTTTAGGTGTTTGGGGTGTGCAGGATTTTAGGCCTGCGGTTGCGGCAGGTCTGCAGAGAGCTCTAGTGTTCTTTTGCAAGATTCGCTGCTTTCAGGTGTGACGGGGGTTCCACGGAGTGAGTTGGTGTATATGAGCCGGAATTTCCAACGTAATTACAGCAACCTTGTGAACTGAGAACTTGATGAGACTCGATGCCCTGTCTGCACGGATCGCTGTATCATCTCCAGGCCACTTCTGCGGGGCACAGTATACTTTAAAACTTTACTGAGTATACTTACTATTACTGCAGTTCGAAGAAACACAACAACGAGGGTTTGTAAGGAATAGTATCGATAGTTATTCGTCCCTTCCCAGGATTCAAGGTGCAACTTCACCGGGAGATGTACATGAACTCCCTGACCAAGCTGGGTATTTGGCCGAAGACGCTCGCCGGTAAGTTCTTGGGTGCGTACGGCTTTTGTGTTCTATTCGGGACCCCAAAAGCAATCCCTACCTTATTGGGCTTCCTTTTAAGGTGCTTTATCTTTATATGGGATATCCCTGTCCTCATTCTTGCTTATGTGCTTTTTGGGGCCCTGTTCGATCGGGTTCAGGCTGCTGTTTTAGGGCTTTGAGGGTGCAATCAGTGTTCTTGTGAACACTCAGCAAGGTCGGGAAGTTTCCCAGCCCCAGTCAGCCTTCGGGATGTTGCGATTGAATCATGGCGGCTAGGATTCGAAGGACCTCAGTGTCGTGCGTGTTAGAGTATGTTGTAGTAGTATACTATTTCATATTTGTGTATATACTATAGTCTCTTTATTTTCTACTGCAGTATATTAGAACGTTTTCTCGGGGCAGGGGCAAGGGAAACCTCGCGATCCAGCTTCGAAGTCCGCATGCCTCATTAGTTAATCTTTTCTAGGGTGTAGGGCTTAGGGAGCACTCTGCGACGAAGTGAAGTCCTCTGTCCTGTAGCAAGCTCAAGGCTTCAGACTACACGTGCTCCAAGCCGGCCTAATATTCAGACGTGAGCTTTCAGACCCAAATTGTCAATATTGGCGCACGGGGCTAAGGTCTTGCCGGCCACGGCTACGCAGAAGCCACAACTCGAGTCCAAACCAGCCTTGATCCCCAGCTTATTTCTCGTACTCAATTATTTGCGAGACCAGCAATTTAGTAAGCATTACACGAAATCTGAAGCCGGGAGACTGAGGCAGTGCTTGAATTTGTACTTCCAACTTGAATTAAGGCGGCTTTTTACCATGTGAACCGGCTTGCTAAGTCCGAAACCCTAAGCCCATCTAAACCCTAAACTTGTAAACTAAGTCCCCGCCCCTAATAATAATCCTTGCAGCAGGTGGGGGCACCAGGAGGACGCGCAGTTTCTCCTCACCGTGTGCCACCACGGGATGAAGGAGTCTTTGGCACACCGAAAGCACCGAAACTCAAAGGGTTTAAGGGTTCAGGGCTTAGGGATTAGGGGTGTGAGGGGTCAGGATTTAGCATTTGAGAGATTAGGGTGGAGAGATTAGGGTGTAGGGCTCTGGTTCCAGGGATTTCCATGCAAACTGTGATGCTTTTTAATGCCCTGGCTGGCGGGCAACATGCTGTAACGAGACCTCTTACGAGAAATAGGGAAGCGCCTGGCAAGCAAAGTCGGGCACCTTGACGTCGAAACCCTGAACCCCTTCAACCCTACATAAGCCCTGCATGAGTATATATACATCCCAGAAATCATCCCACATATTGGATCTCGAAGGACGTGTTCGGTGAAAGCCTCTCACACAGCGATGGATGCGAAGACTGGTGCAATACGAGCATGATAGAACTGACACACACACACACAAGCATCGACATCACGAGCGATTTCTGTGTATTCGATGCTTGCCGGTGGACAATCAGATTGTCCAGATTCTGTAAACTTTCAGCTTGTCACAAACAAGTTGAACCTTGCTGCCCGACAAGCGACTGAACTTCAGTTGCGAGGTGAGTGCGGAATGTCTATCTGATTACAGTTTTACAACGGTAGCATGTATCACCGCAAATCCCCTGAGTTCACCGATTTATACTCGCAGTGGCGAACATCCTGGCATTTCGAGCCCGACCACCAAAATTAACAGCGCTCCGAGGGTTCATGCGCACCCCCGAAACCCAACTATAGGGGACTTAATAGTTACCTATACGATTTCGGTGGTTCCTTGCTATGGTTATAGTATGATATACCCCAAAACCCTATTCTACATTTATTAAGGCCCCTAAATTTAGACCCTCGAAACCCTACACCCAACATGTGCGGGCCCGGCAAGGAGCACGTCTCCATGCTGGGGCAAGATGTGTTCATGCCCGGTCGTGACTGCCGAGAGGCCGAAGCAGTCGAAGGCTTTTTAGAAAGAAGTTTCTGGCTTGAACCCTAAACCCTAAACCCCTAAACCCTATAATGCACTATAAGCTGCAATTCAGACTGTTACTGCAACATACGACAACATATACTATAACATGCTAGTGTGAGGTACAGTAACTTACCTTAAACTTCAAGATGTAATGTGACATACGATCATACACTAAAAAAGTCGATAAAGCGCTATAGTGTACTATCATATAGCTCTTTGCTGAGAGGCTTTCGCTTGAGGTTCTGCAGAAGCTTGGGGCTGGTTTGGAACAGGACGAAGCATCGCACGTTTGTAGTGCATGCTCCTATTATATCATGTAGTCGTATGTCATAATATACTGTAGCATACTGTGGGATAGAAAGGTATAGTAGCATGCAGCAGTACATTGTAGCCCACATCTCGGGCATTATGCCCGACCGACGGAATTTGTGTTCGTGGTTCACTTCCTGGACCGTGCTAAATCTCTCTTCCCACAGGTCGCAGGAACGATTGGGGCCGTAAGAAGCTGTCAGACTGCATCGTAAGTATCGTCTATGCACGCTTGCTCACTAAAGTCCAAATCTGGCCACGCCATTCTTGCATACAAACTTGGCGGCGTTTCGGAGGTGTCTTGAAGGCTTGCCAGGCGAATTGCCTGTTGTGTTCGTACAGTTTGTGCACCACGTGGGCGAGCATCATCGGCATCATCTGGGGTATTGGCAGGGGCAGCGCGCGATGCAGCGAGACATGGTCGGGTGGCAAAACAACTCAAAACGCGCGGTGAGATTATTTTCTGGCTGTTGCCGAGCAACCCTAGACCCCTAAACCCTAAACTCCTAATAAAACCCGAAACCGCGTTGAAGTCAGAAAGGTGTCAACACAGGGCATAACCCCAGGGCTCGAAACCCTAAGCCTTCAGCAGGTTTACATCATCGATAGCGGCTCTTTGGAGTACTCGGCCAGCGGACAGATGCCCTTTGAGTGCACAGCTTCGGCAGCCGACTCTGCTCCCCAGCTGGCAACACAGGGTTTATGGGTGCAGGGTCTAGAGTCTAGGCTTCATATGGGAGTTTCCGATAATTTGGGGTTCCTTATTTTGGGGTCCTTATGATAGCTCCCATATGAAAGGTTTAGGATTTAGGGTCTAGTGTAACGTCAGAGAGAGAGATGGTCTAGTGTGAAGGCATGGCTTCATGGTGCCATGTTTACTTCGGATTGTAGGGCTACTTGGGACAGGCCCGTAGTAGAAGGAGCTTTTGATGGGCCGGGCCTTTTGGGGGCGGCTTCATGAAGATTGTCCTCGATCTCTTCTTCGCTAAACCCTACCACCGAACCCTTAATCCGATGTTCCTCTTCCAACACGATACCCAAAGGCCCCAAAGTAGTTCCTCTTAGAATCCTGAAAGGTAATCCCAAAAAGGAACTACTTTGGGGCCTCTGGATAGCCCCAAAGACTCAGGGTATTCTTGTACATCGTGGTCCATCTTCGCGGCCCCATTGCATGAGCTAAGCGAAAATGCGGCCGACAAGTACCTGCAAAAGAACCGCCATGTAGTTTTAATCCGAAACCCTGAACCCCCAAACCCAGACCCCAAGAGTTATAGTTAGGCCCTGAACCCTGAACCCTGAACCCCCCTAGCCCCAACCCAAACCCCATAAGCCATATAATCTATAGGTCTTGTTTTGTAAGTCGACCCTAGACCCTAAACCCCTAAACCCTAACCCCTAAACCCCTAGCCTCTAAACCCCTGAACCCGAAACCCCTAAACCCTAACCCCTAAACCCCAAACCCTAAACCCCAAAACCCCTATCCCTGAACCCCAGGTCTTGTGCCTGCCGGCCCTCTGGGCTGAGTGGACGCATCGCGGACGTCTCACGGCGAACTGTGGCCTCTGTGCCTCGGACCAAGGCATCGGTTTTTTTAGCGTTTTTTTCCACACTTTTTGGGAGTTTCCGAACATTAGGGGTTTAGGGTTTAGGCATCGGTTTTTTCTCAGGTTTTCCATACTTTTTGGCAGTTTCCGAAAATTAGGGGTCATAGTATTCTGGGGTCCTTCCGATAAGGATCCTACTATTTAGGCTGCTATATCAGGGTCCCCTATGTTCGGAAACTACCATCTAGAAAATTTGTGGTTCTCGTGAACAACCCCAAACAGTAGTATCCTATGTATCGGGATCCCTGAACAAGGCTATTGTCCCGGAGTTTTCAGACCTGCCAATCTCATGCCCTCACCGCCGCAGGGTGTACGGTTTAGATACCACGCATGGCTGCAGGTCAGGCACTTGGTTAGATGCTATGTGATGTCTAGTTCCCGGGTAGGCTGTGCCGTGGTCTAGTGTTCCGGGTACCTGCTCGGTTTTGATGCGTCGAAGGGTGTGAGCATGCTGAAGATGACCGCATCTCAAAGCCGAAAACCGTCCACTGCAGGTTACTACAACGGCATCGACTGCGAACAGCAATTTGGCCCAACATCTTTTCTCCTCGTTCAACATCTGGACTTTCAAGACCACTCTGCAAGCAGGTTTGTTTCAGGCCCCGCGCCCTCGAATCTACGCGGTCAAGTGTGTTTTGAAGGCTTAGGCAAGGCTTTCTAGCATTGCGTTGACAAATTGGAGTTTCCGAAAATTAGGGGTACCTTGTTTGGTGGCCCATATAATGCAGATAGCGCCGTTAGCGGGGTGGGGGGGGTTCGTTCTCTCGGACTATTGAGGGGGGGGGGGGTCCTTACTCCAGGAGTATTGAGGGGGGGGGGGTTCTTAATGCGGGAGTATTGAGGGGACGGGAGGGGGGTCCATACTCCAGGAGTATTGAGGGGGGGGGGGGTTCATACTTCAGGAGTATTGAGGGGGGGGGGTCTATTCCAAGACTATTGAGGGGGGGGGGGGACTCGTACTCTTGGGGAGGGGGGGGGTCTCTTTGGGAATGGTTGTTGTAGTATTTTGTCGGGTGAGGAAGAAGGAGCAGGAGAAGGAGTAGTAGTAGTAGTAGTAGTAGTAGTAGTAGTAGTAGTAGTAGTAGTAGTAGTAGTCGTAGTAGTAGTAGTAGTAGTAGTAGTAGTAGTAGTAGTAGTAGTAGTAGTAGTAGTAGTAGTAGTAGTAGTAGTAGTAGGAATAGTTCTAGACTACTACTACTACTACTACTACTACTACTACTACTACTACTACTACTACTACTACTACTACTACTACTACTACTACTACTACTACTACTACTACTACTACTACTACTACTACTCCTTCTCCTGCTCCTTCTTCCTCACCCGACAAAATACTACAACAACCATTCCCAAAGAGACCCCCCCCCCTCCCCAAGAGTACGAGTCTCCCCCCCCTCAATAGTCTTGGAATAGACCCCCCCCCCTCAATACTCCTGAAGTATGAACCCCCCTCCCCCCCTCAATACTCCTGGAGTATGAACCTCCCCCTCCCCCCTCATATTCTTTCCCCCCCCCTCCCCGCCTCTGGGGGGGGGGGGGGGGTTCAATACTCCGGAAGAAGTAACCCCCCCCCACCCGTGTCCTGGCGGCGCGGTCTCATATAATCAGGATCCAATTTTTTTTTTCTGTACCATATTTGGGTCCCATATTTTCGGAAACTCCCAAATCAAGCCGTTATGTCCACTCAATTCCTTCGTTGCTTAGGAGGTATCTCGTGCTAGGTTGCACCGAAAGGTTCGGGTCCAAGGGACAGCACATCGACTGAAGAGCTGACGCTGACAATATCGGAAGGTTTGTTGGCACTAAGAGTAACTACTATGCGTTTACTTGGTTTGTTTGCGGTCTTACGATACTTGAACTTGGGCCCTTTGGGATGTACATTCAGAGGAGTTGGGTTGTGGAGGCCGAAACCCATCGAATCGTCCACGTAGCTCCAGATTCCAAGTAATCGTACGCAGAAAGGTGTCCGACCGCAACTCTCAAATTCGAAAGCCCAATGTCGAAATCTTGTCAGAAAGGTTCTGCTCCCTTGCTATCAACTTCGGGGGCGTTCTCTGCCACTACCTCAAGTGCCTCGCATGCCATGGATTTTCAGCCTGGAGCTCGAGGTTTCAGGGCATCGGACAGATCTTAGGGGTACTTAGAAATAATTTTTAGTTTTTGTTATTATCATCCCTAAGAAACAGCTATTTTTGTTTGCTAGGGTTCTAAGTTCAGTGTAGGTTCGTCGCATCCGGGTCGTTGAGAAACAGGAGAAAAAGAGCACTCGTAAAGTTTGTACTCGTAGTGCTTGGTGGTGCAGTGTTAGGACTGAGAGGCAAGGCTTGGGGAGTTAGGAATTTCGGATTCAGATGTGAGGGTTTGTGTGGCGTAATCGGTCGCAGATCTAACGAGCTGCATCCCTGATGGATGCAGGCGTTTTCCTCTTGAGGATGGTTTTCCCGGTACAGGTATCAGTTGCGCTTGAGGGACATTGAAGGAGCTTTGTCACGTGGCATGGTTGCAGATTTGGATGCAACATAGGAGCCTTGCTAACCCTATTCTAATCACGAAGGCACCTACATTACATCCTTATAGTAACAACCCTTATATAGGGCTCTTTAAGGGAACCCTATGCTAATTACTAAGGCACCTATATTATTGTGTTGGCCAGGGAGCTTCGGAAATCGGCACCTACTACCCAAGGCCCCAAAGTAGTTCCTTTTGGGGGTTCATATATAGAATCCTATAAGGTAATCCCAAAAAGGAACTACTTTGGGGCCTCTGGGTAGACTGCGAGACTTCTAAACCCCAACCAAACTTGAGTCCCAAATCCGCGTGAGCGTGATTCTGGCATGCCCACCTCCGTAACCTCGAAGCTTGCACCAAATATGGAGCTGAGAAGCCAGCGCAAGCCCCAAGTCAAACACACCATGGTCCGGTTCGGTATTGTGATTAGAAGCGGGCTTTCAGATGACTATGGCTATGCTTTCACCTGTCCGAAAGCTGTTTACTCTTGATGGCCCTTGGGGCTTCTTGTTCTAGTTGTAGCATTCGCAGACCCCGCCAAAAATCCGTACTCGAAGCTTATAACGGCCACTACCTAGACCCCCCCCCAAGTAGGTAAAATAATGGCCCAAAACCCATACATGGCTATTATTCTACATACTTTTAGGGTCCAGGTACCAACCAAGTATACATGAGCGGACTCAAGAATATTCATATCATAGATATATTAGGACCTCAGTAGCCCCATTATAGACTCTAACTGTATGGGGGCAGTACCTAACATACGTTAGCGGACTCAAGCAGATCAGGATTCTTGGAATCCTCCTGGTCGGAGCTATCGAATCCCTGGATGAAGAGGTTCCGGCTCCAAGGGGTGAATGCTATGTGGATAGTTCTCAAAATTATGGCCCCTAATTGGGTACCCTAAATGTTAGGTGCCGTTTCACAATAAGGACCCAGACAGGGACCCTAATGTTGACAACCACCCATGCACCCAATGCTTAGGTACTTGGGTTGGGGATAGTATATAGATTTGTCGGGTAGTATTTCGGGGATTCTGTGATGAGTATAATGATTCGGCACTTGGACCAATCGGGCGAGGGGTATTCCGTAGGGGTTTGGGAGTTTTGGCACTTGGGGGTGTACGCCGGCTTTGGGGACTTCGAGTTTGGGGCTTTGCCTCAGTAGCTGTTGTTGCAGAGGGTACTTTTCGTGTGGATTCGCAGCCATAAAGCACCTATAATAGAAGCTTGTGGAACTATGTCAGGCCATCCATGTGACTGACGTGTCAGTCCAGACCCACGTTCCCCTCGGCGGCTGCTTGTCCGTGCACTGCTGGTAGGATGTACTTTGGGCTTTGGGGGATAGAGTCACCCATCATTCAGGGACTCTAGGATCATGGATATCTTGTGGTCTTTGCGTGCAGGTGGGAGTCGGACGTCGTGTTGTGTTTCGAGGTTTGGCGCTTGGAGGCATGCCTCTATCACAAAAGCTCCGCACTGAGCCCAACTCGCACACGCAACATACCCATGCTCCAGAGTCGACCCCCGAAGCCAGTACAAGAAACTCCTCATCTTTTTTCACTGAAGCTCCTGTTCCCAGCCGCCACACACAAAGCAGCGCGTGAAAGGCAAAAGGACCCCCTTAAGCTAAACCCACACGGTTCACGTCTAAGGCTAAGTACCAGCCTTGTGGATATTTTGGCCGTTGGCCACTCCATCGGTACTTAGGACCCCTTGAAAAATGACCGATAATTCAGGTATCGTTCACCGAGCTACGCAGTTTGCCTCGATTCAAACCACGGCCACGGCGTTGAAGCAGCTTCGCCGCCTGCCTAACCTTGGGCATGCCCTGCAGAGTGCCAACATGTACCTTTGTAGCTATTGGGAGTTTCCGAGAATACGGGATCCTAGTATAGTACCCAAAATAGTAGGGTCCTTATTATGAGGAGCCCCCAAAATCAAGCACCCCCAAACTTTCGGAAACTCCCCTATCGATCTCTGCCTATCCATCCAGCTACCCAGCTGCCCCGTCTGGCCTGGCTTTGTCTGATCTGGCCTTTGTCATAGTTGGGTAACATTTTGCGTTTTTATGGGTACTTAAACCCAATAAGGAACAAGAGTTTGAATATTTAACCCTATCCCAACCATGAACTAGTGGCCTTGTCTATCTGTCTGTCTGTCTGCTCTGTCTAGTTATCGTCTATGCAACTATCTGCTACATACACCCATAAATTGGCCCATAAACATATATACAGATTTACATCTACAGCTACACACCAACACCAACACACTCCCATCCAGACACCCGCACGCACACACACACACACACACACCCACGCACACACACTCACTCACTCACTCACTCACTCACACGAAAACAGTGTTTACTTGGAAGTTGTGCGATCCTTGCTGGGCACGAGTTTCCCAGGACCTAGACTGGTTGACATGAATATTCAGCCTGAAGCAGTGAAGCCGAAAGGCTTGGATTCGTTAAGCGTGCAACTTGCCCAGGCCATGCATATAAAACCACAGAACAGGCATGTAAGCCTTTACCTGGTATCAGAGTTTCCCTGTGGCCCATGTGTGCTCGGTTTCGCAACCCGTCTGCAGTTCGAGGACCCCAGCAGTGTGAAAGCCCTTAGAAGCAATTTGCACCGACATCCCTCGATGGTTGGAGTTTCAATGAATTGGGTGTGCCTTCTTGAGGGTCGTTATGTCTATTCATATATGTACATATATATATATATATATGTATGCATATATGTATATGACTACATTATACTACATACTACAATATAGTATAGTATACTATAAAATACGATATTAGACTATATTATGCGACTATAATATACTATGATCTAGGGTCCAAAGCTAAGGTTCCAAAACTTTCTGAAGTCTCGCGTCCCCTTCGCCTATCCGATCATCCTTACTTAGATATCTCCTGGAATCCTGCATTCAGATCTCGGACGTTTTAGAAGCCCCCGTCTAAACCAACACCTAATCGCTTCACCCTGGAACCGATCTTTGCTCCCCTAAAAATCCCCAAAAACCCTCTCACCTCTGGGCCTCTGGGCAGGGGAGACGCCGAAGACGAAGCACCAGCTTTGAGTCCTGGGTCTGCCCTCGAAGAGAGTCAGACCAGCCTACGGTTTGGGCTCCTGTCTCGCAGCTTGACGTGCTTTAGTAATATGGGGGCGGGGGGGGGACATAGAACTACCAGTGCTATGTTGTGGGTTCCTTCTTATAAGTATATAGCCTTCTAAAGCCCTATTCCAATTATTAAGGCTGCTATGGTAGATTTAGGCTTCAGGGTCTTCAGGGTTTGTAGGGCTCTAGTGTTAGCGGCTAGACCCAAAGCCATCCTAAACTTGCCCGATACACTTGAAGACTCTGATGTGCCCCAGTGACTGAGCCACAGCTGTGTAGATCTAAGCTAGGGATCGTTGATAGGGTTCGGCATCGGGCAAGTAGACAACTCCCAGGACATGCACCAGGCAGTAGTTGCAGCACGGATGTTGCTTGCTCTCTTTCCCGAAACCCTAAACCCTGAACTAAACATTGCAATGTTACCTTTCGTGACCTTCACTCTCCTAAAGAAAGGAGTTCCTAAGCTTTGCACGTCCTCTCGTGCTTCCCCCTCAAACCCTTAAAGCCTCGACACACCCTAAACCCTAAACGGTTATCCCGAGTTGCGTCGCTTGCTACTAAGGGCCCCTCTACTACCCCTTTCCAAGCACATGGCACGACCCGGCACTGTAGAAAGGCTATCTTAGTATTGCTGATCCATCCATCTATCTGTCAGTTTGTCTATACAACATCGAAACTCTACACAAACACTCATACAGCAACTAGTATGATCGAGCATGTTGTACAAACATTGTGTGTATATATATATATATATATATATATATGTGAATACTTTTAATTCCTATGTGAACATGTACATAATGCGCATGCATATATACACATTAAACTATATAACTGTGTACATACTTACACACATGGACATCGAGCGCTTGCAATACTTGTTTCCGCTCGTGCCCATCGCTGTTTCGATGCTGCACACGTTGCACGGCCTCATCTTCCGGCACGACGATAGATTCCTTTACACATGGTACGGTTGATGATAAAAATCCAGCATTACCCATAATAAGGAATATACCATAATTCCCATAGTCTAGGGTCCTTAAGGTAATGCAGGATTTGTATCATCAACCGTACGAGTACCATCTTGCAGTCGCTTTATTGCTCGCCACCTGAATCAGCCTTCTCTACCCCGCCCACCGCAAGAGCAGAGAAGGTGCCAATGTCCCAGGTCATAACTCTCCGCAAAGTGGAGAAGGAAAGTGAGGATCTTCGCCATTTTGCCGTGTGTGAAGATAAAAAGGACGTGCCTGGGAATTACGGCCATGCTTCTAGAGAAGCCATACGACATACCTAGACCAAGACACCGCCCATTCGGCATAGGACAACAGCGTCATGTTCCGGCGACTTGCCTTCTTCTTTGCCCGTCCTCGATAATGTTGTTTTTGCTTACCCGGTGCATCTTTGTTCGCTTTGCTTTGTCTCTCTGCTGTTTGTCAAGCTTAACAACTGAGAAGAGGATAGCAAACTAGTATTTACCAGGCCTCAGGCTGGTGAATCAAAGGAACAGTCTTCAACATAAAGGTGCCTTAATAAATAAATAGACTAGGGTTACCACCAAAAATGTATTGGTGATAATTTAGGCCCCATTATTAGATGAAGGGTTGCTAGTTGGTAGTTATCAGGGAGTGGTCGGAGATTGCTTTCGAGAGTTTCGGGGTCCTGAAAACCGTCCTATTATACTACCACTGTATTACTACAGCACCACTTTACCAGGCCTCAGGCTTTGTCGACGGCGGAGGAAAGTGTAGGACGGGATATTGATGCCGACGCTGATGTTGATGTTGACGCTGATGTTGATGTTGTGATTGTGCTGGTGCTGGTGGTGCTGCTGCTTCTGAAGCAGGCGCCCATGAGCTCAGCAAATCCTGTGTCAGGCAGAGCTGCGCGCAAGACGCGAGGCAGCTCTGAAAGTGCTGCAGGTCCGGCGCTAAGCTTACCCGCTTACCCCGTACACACCAAGCCCCACATGATAGAATTTCAACACCGCAACCGCAGCCTCACAGTTGGTGGCTTCACAATTGTCATAATCCATAGGTGATCTAAGTAGCATCAGCTTCGCTTCAGGACATAATTTGGAGATATGATGTTTCTGGATGTGCACTGTGCAGCTGCTTAAATGGTCTAAGTCTCTACAATTTAGTCGATATCTTGGCCTCAGACGTGGAAGCATATACTATTTTGGTACTTGGACCCTGCTGCGTATGATGTTTCAAGGCTCCGCAATCGCAGGCGAAGAAACTCCTGGAGTTGCGACTCGCACGCATGTTGCCAGGAGCGAGAAGAAGAGCGGCAGAAAAAGAAGCAGGACCGGGATGCCAAAGGCAACTACAATTAGGGTTCAGGGCTTTAGGTTTCGAACTTGAGGGCTGTTAGAGTCTAACTATGGCTTTATGTTGTAGGGTTTAGGGCAACGTGATTTCGAGACCGTTGCCTCATGTTTGGGACTTTGGGACGTCGTGCAGATGTCGGTCATTATGTTTCTGCCAGGTTAAGCCGGCTAAATTGATTCCGGTTCTATCCAAGGTTGTGTTCTTGTTACGGGGAGGAAGAGTGTGCGAATTGGTGCTGAAGTTGCTGTGGTTCTGTTCAGTGGAAACTCGATGCACGCACAACCATGGGCCCGAACGCTTTATAAATGTATTCTCAAGCCCTCAGTCGTAGAATCCTGGTGTCCCGAGCCCCAGGCCACAGGTTCTACCCTAACCCCTATGTCTTTGAGGACGTAGAAAGAGGCCTTCAACCAAAAAACTAGGATGCCCAGTAGTACCCTTATTCCCTTTTTGTAGTCCTAGCATCCTTATAAAGGTACCCTCTACCAAAAACGGAGCCCTTTTTATTCCTAGGTTCCTGGGCATCCTAGCAAAACAACCTCTCCGCCTTCAGTCACAGGAGTTCAAGCAGGAGATGCTAAAGCAGGGCGAGCACGCGCCGCCCGTCTCCGTGAGCCTCATTGGGGGGTGCCTTAATTAGGGTTCCGTTCTCAGGGGTGTCGGGGCTGTGCTAAAGCCTACACTCGAATCCTGACCGCCAAACAGCACACCCCAAACAGACCCCAAGCCGAAACCATCAACATCAAACTCCACGTATGTGTCGCTTGATTGAATACCCCCCTAACCGAACTCGGGTATGCTATGGGCTGCTCACAGCACGGACAAGCCCTCACACCCCAAACCCGGCTGAGATTTCCTTCAAGCGCTGAGGCAGTGGAGATTAGATTCGCAGAACCGAGAGACCATTGAGAAGTGGGAGAAAGAGGCCACTCCCGCAGACTAGATTTTTCTTTTCCCCTCTTGAAGTGTGCAGGGCAAAGAAGCCCTGGGGTGGTGCTTTCCGACTGCATCTAGAGTTTCGGGATATAGAGTTTCTGGGTGTGGGCCGGGTTGCAACGAGTTCTCGGGCTTCAGGTCTACTTGAATAGAATGGAGCGCTTTGTCCTTGTCTTGGATATATAAGTTCCGAATCGGACAATTGGGCCTCAAGAATTGGAATAGGGTGAGGGTGAGTATATTCTAGTATACGATGTAGGGCCTCTGCGGGGATAGGATTACTCATTATTCAGACCCTTGTATCAGGTTCAGGACAAGTTTCTTGCGCAGCTCCATAACTGTCCACGATCGAAGCATATCAGAATGATTGCGTTCATGATGGGATTTCTCAGAGACAGACGGAGACCAATTACAAAGTAACAAATCCGCCGCCAAATTATGTGACATCTACAGTATTTCTTGTCAGGGTCTTGGCATCGGATTCTTTGGGTCTACAACCCAAAATAAGCAAACCCCATATTCTTTGGGTCTGAAACCCTACACCCTAAGCCCTTTCTAAAGAACACCCCAAATCAGCAAGCCCTATGCAGGAGAAGGACAGGTGGGAAGAAGAGGTTTTCCGGTCCTTCGATGAGGACATCTCCTCTGCGAGGGCTCCGGTCTGGGGCGTAGGCGGCGTAGGATGCAGGGAGGAGGGCTTTGGGTCCCTGAGCCCTAAACCCGCGTTGTAGCACTGTGGCATCATTTCGTGAACGTCTTTAAGAGGGGTCGTGAGCAACTGGGCGGATGCGCCAAGTTCTTCTTCGGGCCAGTATCCAGTCACGATAATGCGATGATTCGCATGAGTGTTCCCAGAGTCATGGCATGCGATAAGTATTCCCCCGAATCCTACTCCAATCCGGAGGTCCCCGAAGTACCCAGTCGGCCACGAAGTTTCCACCCCAGGCTTTTGGCATTCAGGTCATGTTCTGCGGTCTTTAAGGTTTCAAAGGATTCAATGCCAGCTCCGGGTTTCGGGCGGTAGGACTACCCATAGGCTCCATAGTATAGTAGTTCCTTTTGGACAACCCCTCCAAGGAACTACTGTGGATCCTATGAGTACAGCGGAATTTCCTAAGAACTCCCAGCGCCAGGAGACTGGAGCGCTTCTGCCAGAGTCGGAGCCGACTCTTGGATGGATTCCTCTAATAGCGTTATATTGCAGTAGAAGCCCAAGAGTTGGAAACCCAATAGCCTCGATCCTTAAGATTAATATATAGGGAATAGCACTATTTGGCCTTCATCCGGTTTCCAACTTTTCGGGGTTTTCTGTTCTTTTGTCGGGCGAATCTCCACCTTTGTAGTTGTTTGGCATGCCCTGAATAGTTTTGTCGCGACGACTTCGAGTGTCTCGGGTATAGCGGCTGCATCCTAGACTACCGTTCTCCTCTCTGGGCCTGACCCTCGCGAAGTCAGCAAGATTTCCCAAAGCAGAAAGGACCATCGAGGACATCACAGAGCAGGATGAACGCTCTGCAGACAGCAGAGAGGCATCGGCAAAAGGGTTCCTTTCTGTTGTGGGTATCAGGGCTAAAGCGAGGACATTCCCAAGAGCAGTAAACACCGTAATCGGACAACAGTGACTCCCACGGTCCTACGGTACTTCACGCCCAAAGCACACACATTCCGCGAAGCTTCCTTCTCTTCTGCACTCAGCTCCGCCCGTAGCCCTAAACCCTAAATCCTAACAGGCTCCTGCTCCGGCTCCGCCAGTGGCTGCCAAGGCCAAGAAGTCCGCCAAGGCTCGTTGAGATTCCCGGACGATTTCGGCGTTTTGGGTTTGAACACGTAGCAATAATGCAATAGTAGTCTGTCATAGCCGCTGTATAGTTTTGAGGACAATCTGACCCAAAGCCCCGTTGTTTCTGCATTGGCAAAGTCCATAAACCTAGCAAGGATCTAGTCTGTAAGAGCAGTAGCTCTTGCTTTGATTCTTTGCTGATTTCATATTTCCTGAGCCCGCAATCCTTACGTGATTCTAAACCCAAGCTCCCCAACAGATTGACTCGAATGTCTACTATGGGGCCGAAACAATTGCAATTTCCTGAACAATTGCAGTTTGTTCCTAGATTTCTTTATCATAGTGATAGTATAATGTACCCCAAAACCCATTTCGAATCATCAAGGCTCCTTTATATACCAGATCCTTATAGTAGCCGCTATAGTAGCCCTTACAGACTCGACCCCTGAAAAGGCACCCTTGTCTAGTTATTCAGGCCACTCAAGGCTCCCGCATTTTTAGCCATGCAAATCGACCCTCAACCCTAAACCCTAAAGGGTCTTCCAGCTGGGTTCTGGGCCTCGGTGACTAAGCGAAGATGAGAGTTACAGTTAGGGTTTGAATAACTAGTATCCTCGGTTAAGCCTAGGTTCCTTAAAGGGCTCCATAATTGCGGGATCCTTAACAGGTTCTACAAGGGATCTGTTGGACTTTAGGGTCTATTAGGTGCCTGAGTGGTGCCCTTTTGCCCGTTTCCTTGTTGGATCCCCTAGTTAAAACAGAATAGAAGAAAAAGGCTACCCTTACTATTGACTAGGCCAGTAACAGTATCCCTCTGTAGTCCCCTGATAATCTTAGAGTGATGTAACCCGAAAAGGATTCGAACTGAGTAACAATATTCACAATCAAGATTACAAAGCGGTCCACGAGGTAACATGATGAATAGCACCATGAGCATTTTCAGAATATAGGGGCGCAAAAAAATTACCAATACTAGTTTGGTGGATGCCTCATTATAAGTATAGTATAATGGGCCCCAAAACTCTATTCTAGTTATTAAGGCCCCTATACTACTACCTTATGTGATTATTCAGGCCCCTAGACTGCAGGACCCGAGGCCCCACAGTGGAACACCCAGAAGCAGCGTTGCCCCGATCAGTGGTCGTTTAAGATAGAAGCCAACATAATCCCCTATGTTTTTGTTAGGGCTCATTATAACTCTACTATAACGGAACCCCAAACCCCATTCTAGTTATTAAGGTCCCTCTAGGAAGTACAGCTTGATTGCATAAAGGCCTTGCTCTGTTGCTTAGAGCCCTTATTGTAGCGGATCGAAGCCTCACTCCATGCAGTAGTTAGGAGTTCGTGGCAAATCCTATTGTAAACCTTTCACGTTCAGCATGGTTTACACGTCGAGCTTCTATTATGACCGCTGAAACTCAAACTCACCCATCCTCCCGATCTCACGATTTCTGCGCAACGCACACCTACTGTGCGTATTTGTTGTCGCCCAGGCAGCGCCGGCGGAGGAGGAGCCCTTGGGTGAAGATGGGTTTTGGCTTCAGGGACATGAAGGCAAGAAGGGTTTAGGCTTCACCGTTCCGGCTGATAAGACGAGGTACTGTACCTGGACCCCATAAGTATGTAGAATAATAGCTGTTTATCGGTTTTGGGCCATTATTTTACCTACTTTTGAGGGTCTAGGTGCCATCACGATGCCCCCTCGGACCGGTTCCATCGACATGATATGCTGCAAAGAAGTGCAAAGCACTCTCATAGTTACTTATGCAGCTCATGGACGCCAACTATTGGGCATGTCCATAAAGTTTCAAGATTATGGAAAGGCCTGAGTGAGCGGCGAGGCGCGCTTCGTGCGTGCCTCACCGGAATCGCCGTCATGTCGTCAGCGTCTTCGCCATCTGAATCTCTTGCAAGGCTAGGTCCTTCTGCAGCTCTGGCGCGTCCTATCGCCTACAGAAACGCTCACATGCGCGTTGGACACCGAGGTTTTGGATGTTACGGGTAGCGTCTGTTTGCATGTTTTTACACTCACGGCTCAGCAGAAATCCATAAAGCCTACAGAGACTCGGCCTTGAAAAATAATCCAAAGCCCTCTACCCTGGCTTCCATAGCCGCTTAAAACCCTCAGCCCCTGAAACCTCACTCACCGAGAGGAAGCCTTCGGTAGTAGTGCTTTGATAACTAGGTATGACGACCGATCCCAGAACCCTCTTCTGTTCATTAACGCCTCTACATAGAGGCTCCATAGTAGTTCCTCTTTGCGGTTTATATATAGAATCCTATAAGGTAATCCCAAAAAGGAACTACTATAGAGCCTATCGGTACATTTCCCGAGCTCAAGTCCAGGATCTTTCAGAGGAGGAGCCTCCGAAAGAACCTGAGCCGATCGTCAAGGCCTGCAGCACGAAGGTATCCAAGCACTGGCAAGGTTTACACAGTAGAAGCCAAAAAGTTAAGCCTCAATCCCGAAAAGGAATTTTTAGGGAATCCCAGCTCTATTTGGCCTTTATCTGGTTTCCAACTTTATGGAGTTTACTGTAAACGGTTATAAACTCCCCCAGGAACCTGAAGCATTGTTTATAAACCTGAAGTATTGTTTACAAAGCTGTATAAATAGCACTTCCGGGTCCTGGGGATTACTTCTCCACGCAAGATCACGGGTTTCTAGTGCCATTGAGAGTCGTGTGTATTGGAACTGGTAGCACTTCTCTTGGAGCGATGTCAGGCAGGCTGCTATCTGTCTGTTATCTATCTAGCTCCCTATCTGCCTCGCTCTCTCTATATGTATATATATATAGAGAGAGAGAGAGAGAGAGAGAGAGAGAGAGAGAGTTAATATGTACATACATCCTTCAACGCCTCAAAACCCCCGGCAGGGGTGGGCCTTCAGCTAGATGATGTTTAAATGGACAAAACAAAAACAATCCGAAGCCAGAGCCGAATCAGGCTCAGGACTGACAGCCCCCTGTGTGTCGAGGTTACATATGGGAGTCTCCGAAAATTAGGGGTTCCTTATTTGGGGCCATTGAATAAGGATCCTACTATTTAGGGTACTATATTAGGGTCCCCTATTTTCGGAAACTCCTTTTTAGGACCTAAGCTTTAGCAGCCTAGACCTCTACTTTGGATTAAGCCCTCAACCACTGAACCGCCTATTAAAACCTACACCCTGCTACCCAGACCCTTCCAAAATCCCAATAAAGGCGGAAGAGCTTCAACGATGGCACGACGAGGAGGAGACGGAGGAGCGCGGTGCCCAGCGCTCGATTCGAGCGACAAGCCCATGCTGCCTTTGCCGTTTGTGGGTGTTCCGGATGTTTGCCGTCTCTAGGACGAATATGTATACCCATAGGCCCCAAAGTAGTTCCTTTTGGGATTACCTTATAGGATTCTATATATGAACCCCCAACAAAAACTACTTTGGGGCCTTTGGGTACAAGAAGCTGTCAGCAGAACAGGATAGCAAAGGGATGTAAAGGGAATCGAGGGACCCTTAATGGGGACCCTTACCCTGTAATGGACCATATAATGGGTATATACTAGCTATATTAAGGTTCTATACCTAGGGGTCCTTCATGCAGCAACACGACCACCTTTTCCGGAGCGCCGGCCATCGCAGGGGCATGAACAATATAGGGGCCTGAATAACTAGCCATGCTGTTTTCGGTGTTCCTTATTTTAGTTCTAGCATAACGGGCCCCGAAAATCCTATTCTGATTATTTAGGCCCCTATATGAATGTTATGGCTGTTATGGGCTTTGCAATGTTAGGCCCTCAGCCCCGGAACCATCGTGTGCTCTTACAGCCGTGCTTGACGAGGCCTTGTAGCCTCTTTGGAGAAGGGTCTCTCGAGAGCGCACATCGCTACACTCACTGTCTTGAATTCCGGTTCCTAGCAATGGCCTCCCTCTGACTGGAGAGGCGTCATTCCACTAGATTCTACTAGATGCTGAGGGTTCATTTAAGCTGTCGCCTCTGTTTCGTGGCAAGATTGGATCGCAGCTTTTGTGGGGAGCAGTTGCGAAGGGCCAGGGTTTGACCGTGACAAGCTTTGATGTCCAGCACGTACTCACGGGTCGGGTGCTAGGGTATCGACAGTATGGAGTGCAATCCCTCCGAGGCCAAACGCTAGATCCCGAAGCGCCAGAGCCCTAAGGATTGAATCCTCAGCCCGGCAGTTGCAGCTCTATACGCCTGAAAGTGCTGGTGTTGCGAATCAGCCGTGATCCTTTCAAAAACCCAAACCCAGAGCCCCAATCCGAGGTATGAACCCTAAACCCCCACAGCCCTAAACCCCCAGAGCCCTAAACGTTAAACCAATCCGAGGTACATACCCCAGGTGCGCGACAACCCCGGGAAGATCGGCATTCGCTTCACTGCTCGGCCGCGACCAGGCGGAATGGGTCGCAAGGCAAAGGTGTCTAACACGAAGGTTAATATAACAACAATATCAATAAGAATGAAAATACCAATACTATGGCATATAGTATGAATAATGGCAATGATAGTAATGGTTGTCCTTTTCATCATTGCTTTGTGTTGAATTTTGTACTAATCTGTGATGCCTGCAGCGTTGCTGTCAGTTGTTCTTTGTCATTGCGGAAGAGGCAGGTATGGGGTGTGCCGGAAACGCACCCTTGGAGTCCGTGGTTCTAGTCGTTCCGACGAGGGTTGTACGGTCCTCTTCATATTTGGGTCGAGGGCCGAGGCGGCTTCGGGCAAAGAAGGAGGTTGGGATCCTCCAGACCCCTCAATGGCCCTTTAATGGAGCTCTGATGGTCCTTTATAGTGGGTATTTAGGGTATATTAGAGGGTAGTTGGGGGGGTCTAAGTTGAGGGTTTAGCATTGAGATTCTTCCGACTGTACTTTTCAAGTTTGGAGCGGAGGAATGGGTTGTCCTTTGCTGCCTAAACCCTAAACCTTAAACCCTCCTTCGATAGTTGTGAAATCGGGCTCAGTTAAGAGTCTCAACCCAGGGTGATGTTTTCGGGTCTCCGGGGCTCGTTGTTTGAAGTTTCTAGGTTTTTCACAACTCGTTTTGATGTCGCCGCTACTTGAACCAAAGATGTTGGAGAAGCAGAAAAAACCAACTACGACTACAAAACGGCAATGTATCATAAAGCCGTAGCGCGAAGGAAGTTGGCCACGCATTTACACGAAGTGCTAGAAACAGGAGCTGGTCACGACATCCTCTAAGAATGTGTCAGAAGGTATCCGCTATTTGAACAGCCACTTGTGAAGACGAGAAATCCCTTGCATGCATCACACTTGCGCACCATCAGATGAGAAGCCCCCCTTCATCCCGATAACCGGGTTCAGGGTTTAGTTTTTAGGGTTTAGGTTTTTAAGGTTTAGGGCTTAGGCTCTGAAACGAATTAGCCTGTACCCCGTTGCAGGCGTGCCAGTGCGTGACCGTGGGCGCAAAGCGCCGCCATTTCCCAAGGACGGATTAGTACTGTTCCGCCGTTAGGGTTGCTACACGGAGTTTGCGGTAAACCCTGACAGATTTCATGCAGGCGAGGAGGGATCGTCAAGTGTTAGTGCTGTCTCAAACACAGCTCCCTGGGTGTTCGTAAGTAACTTTACTTTGCTCGAGCCTCTTGGGAGTTTCCGAAAAAAGGGGACCCTAATAAAGTACCCTAAATAGTAGGATCCTTATTATAAGGGCCCCAAAATCAAGTACCCCCAAATTTTCGGAAACTCCCTCTTCTAGAACCAAACTCCACCAGGGCCCCGAGCTCTGGACTGGACATCACTTCCAAGGAAGTTTATCGGTAGCGGTTCTGGGGAGATCTCTTGGACGTCTGGGTCTGTGACTGGATACGGCTTCTGAGGCTTCATTGGGTTGTCCATGGAGCTATACTCCCCATTCTTCTGTAGGGTTCCTTATGCTAACTATCGTCTCTTGTGGCGTATTAAAACCCAGCCCTAGAGCCAGCCGCGAAACACTTGCTTGCCACCTGCAGGCCCATGTCCTGTCGACCGTGGACCCTTTCTAACGCGTTTCTGTTTCTAACATATGTATATCGTATCTGTATATCTAAGTATTTCTACTACTGCATAATGTTACATGTGTTTACATGCTACATTGTGTCATATATTTACATGTGCATCTGTTTGTATATGTTTATACATGTGCACATACCTATACATATATATATATATATATATATATATATCGTACCATGATACAACACACTGACTGATACAACACGAAACACTACGACTGAGCGTACCACAAAAACAGTGTAGATTGAGTTCATGATAGAGTCTAACATGGCACGATACTATTGATATGCAATCTTGAAGATATGCAATGTATGCTAGCGTATGAGCCCATGGTAGAACGTCATACTGTAATATGGTACTACAGTCTTGTATAATATGTGGGCGAATATGCTATTGTCATATGTTGATGTCGTATAGTATGTTGTCGTATAATAGTATCGCAGATGTTAGCATAGTATATTGTGATAGAACACATTACAATATGGATATGTGGAGCCATGTAATATTATGTAGAAGAAGACAAAGAGAGTGTTATATACAACGTGCCTAGCAGTTTTGTATGTTATTTTGAAGAAGTTAACCCAGAGGTCTTCGCAGCCGCAGGAAGACCCTACGATATCCAGACGAAGTTCCAAAGCCCTGCACCCCGAGCTAGCAGCCCGAAGTCCACAAAGCTCGACTGAACCCTCGAACCCTTAGGCTTCACAGAGTTTAGGGTTTAGGGGACCCTGGTCCTACCTTAAACTTTAAACTAGACCCTGCGCTATCCCAGCTGGAACTACTAGTAGGATGCGCCGAAGAGCGATGCTCCGCCTATGATCGCGCGGAAGCTCAGAAGTACGTCGAGGGTTAGACCGTGAGCTACCACGACCTGCTTCTTGTAGAGTCTGCCAGACACAACTAATGGAGTCATGGAATCTGTAGGGTACAGCATAAAAAGGAGCCCTGCAAGACGGGTCGAAGCTTTGTCAGGTCAGGCCATTAGGCGACTGGGGTTATTGGTATAGAATCCAGCACATGGCTGTTGAGTTGGTTCCGGCTTGTCGTGGGATTCTCAGGATTCGCTGACTGATGGACTTGGGTTTGCAGCTGTTGGCCTGAAAAAGCGTGACTTGACTGTTTAGGTCTGTGTTAGGCTCGTTCAATTCGTTTTGCAATTTGTTTTGCAGTCCAGTTGACAATCCTCTGATAGACTAGCACTCATACGGACTCTCTTGCAGCCGAAACATACAGCTTCTGGAAACCCTAAGACTGTTAGGTTAGGCTAGGACGACACTGAGCCAAAACCTTAATCGCTGAATATAGAAGCCTCGCTAATTGCTAGTTTTATTCCTTTGGGTTCCTGTTTCGTGATGTATACTATAACAGACCCCAGAAAGCTATTCTCATTATTGAGGCCCCTAAATGAGTCACTTGGTTCTGTCTGGCTGACCAAGACCTAGGCTGGTGATGAGGAGGACGAGAGTGACCCAGTCTGGCTGAAGGACAAGGCCTCGCCGCCTTCCCTAAACTGGAAAGCGGCTTAACCCTGCATATCACTAAGCGCTCAGCCCTAAACCCCTAAGCCCTAAACCCTGAACACTGGCACCACGCACCTAAACATGATTGGACTTGGATCCAGAGCAGCGATCTGTTTTTGATTGAAAGTTAAAGACAGATATCGTTGGTTTGCAAAGGAAGGGAATCGAACTACATCAGAGAAGCTCCTATCTTCATCCCTCTATCCACAAGTTTCGAGGTTTCAGCAGCAGTAGGATCGAGGTTTCATGGGGACTGTTTTGCTTAGAACCTTAGAAGCTTGACTTTCCGGAGAGTGGCTCTTCGGGTCAGTGTTCTTTGTAAGCTGCAAAAATGTCGAATGGAGATTGTCGCAAGATTTTCCGTTTCACGGGGTTGGGTTCCTTTGTTTCTTAATTTGAGCTCAGGGCTTTCAGTTTTTAGTGTTTTGATGTCTTTCGATGTCGGCTTGCCCTTAGCGAAATACCAACCTCGCGAGGGGGACAAGCTCATGACCCTCGGAGACTACCAGGGCGCCTACACCGCCTATACCGAGGCAAGGGGAGGGGCATCAGCATTACCCAGAGGCCCCAAACTAGTTCCTTTTTGGTGTTACCTTATAGGATTCTATATATGAATCAACCCCCAAAAGGAACTACTTTGGGGCCTTTGGGTAGATGGAGGCTGCAGGCCCGTTGAGGACCCAGAATAGGAGGCTCTAGAAAGTAGATCCCCTGATTTTGGGGCCCTATGCTACTAAGGGTACTTTATAGCAACCCCCATTAAGGGATCTACTTTTTGGATCCTCCCGGGGGTCTGGGGAGTCTGAGGACTCACACGCTGCTGTTGGGTGTGATCAGTCTTTCGGAATTGGCACCGTCAGGGTCGGTTACAGTTTTGCAATCTGGGGTGCTGCGTCAGGAGGCTGCAGACACTCAAGTCACGTCCACCTCTTGGAATTGCGCATTTATGCCGGAGACGACCGAGACCACTCAGAAGCTGTATCTAAACAAGCAGTCATGAAGTACGTCTTAAACCCGTTCTAGGCATCTCCATAAACCCTATACTCCTTTGGCCCAAACTCAAGGTTTTCTCTCCCCAAGCTCGAAGCCTCCCTGAAGTAACATGCGCAATACATCGTGCTTTTTGTTTAGTTAGTCTCACTATATATGATTTTGCTGTCCCCCCTCTGTACTTATGTCTCTCCGTCTCCGCTGCTTTTGAGTATTTCTGCTGTTAGCCTGCTGGGTACTATGTGTGCTGCTATAGTTCCATCTGTTTTTGACAGTCGTACTGTTCTTGCTAGTAACTCACGACTGATATTGATATCATTGACCTCCATATTGCTAGTATAGTCAGTCTTGCTACTACCCCCAAAGCCGTATCAACCATAAGCCCCGTAACCTTAACTTAATTTAATGTGCCTTCAGCGCGAAGCCTTCAACGCTAAACCTTAATTCCGAAGCCTTAAGCCCTTGCGACAGAGTATTGCTGAGGGAAGGAGCTCAGCAACACCGAAAACTGTTGACAGTACTGTCATGTTTGCTAGTATTGTTCTTCTTCTTACTTACTAACTTTATACTCGTCTTATTGTTGCTATCATGACTAGCTGTTGTTGCTGTTGCTGTTATTGTTCTACTTATACCATTGTTAATTGTCAATAGTATTATTATGATTCTGATTCTTCATCTTCTTCTTCTTCTTCTCATGATTTTTTGTTAGTATCATAGTATTGTACTATATTTTTAGTAATAGTATTCATTCGTATTGGTGCAGTTGCCGAAAGGCCCTGAAGTTGGCCTCGAACGCGCGATGCTTTGCGAATCGCGCCGTGGCTGCTTTGCCCCGGCCTCGGATGGCTGCACGCCGCTTCGGCGGAGGTACCAGGATCTAGAATCTCCGCCCGAGTGTGGGGTACTGAGGGCTGCAGGTCTTCTCTGCACATTCTCGGGCTGTCAGCAGATCATCGTTTACCCAAGACGGACGCCTGATCCCTCTTACAGTTTTCTCACCCAAACCTCAAAGAAGCCTCTCGATTTCAACCCCCCCCTCGGCCCCCCCCCACCATCTGTCAAGTTTCCCAAACGTCCTGTCCATCTTTCCATCTTTTGCCCCTGAAAAGCCTGCCACCTGCAGGCCCCAAGCACGCCATTTATGTTTTGTTTTTTGATGAGGTACCTGGGCAACTTCGAGCAGTGCTTGGAGGAGAAGCATCGTCCATAGGCTAGCGCCACTGCATCGGATCCTCGCGAATGTCCACCGCAGTAGTCTAGTCGTCGCCGTCGTCGTTGTGTTAGTGGCAGCTGTATTTGTAGCTTCTTCTTATTCTCCAGCTGCCTCATGAGTGACAGCACAGAGAATCACAGTGGAAGCGCTGAGGCCATTGCTTGGAAGTTGAAAGCAGCTTTAGGTACCTCAGTGCCGCCTGATCCCGATTCTTACAACTAGCTAAGTGTTGTGGCTCGTTCCTAAGCAACAGCCCTACCCAGAGGCCCCAAAGTAGTTCCTTTTTGGGATTACCTTATAGGATTCTATATATGAACCCCAAACAGTGGGGCCTTTGGGTAGCACCACCCTAAACCCTACAACCCATAAACCCTGAACCCCTAAACCCTCAACCCTAACCCTAAACCCTAGCGGTCCCCAGATCCAGCCCCCCAACTTTGCGTTCTGAAGCCGAAGTTCTGAGCAAGCAGGACTGCAACCGATCCATCCAGATCTTGGACTTCAGGCTGGTGCCAAGATTGTTTCAGGGTTGTAGGGTTGAGGGTTTTAGGGTTTAGGGTTTTAGGGTTCGACAAGCGACACTTCATCTTCACGACCACTGCGAAGACACCTATACAGACCATCGTCAAGGCCAGCAACAACACTATCAACACCAAACGAGGCAACGACGATGACAGTGCTGGTGACCACAGTGCCAGTTACGACAGTCATCCTGGTTGTGCAGGGTGCTTGTCAGGCGACGGATAAGTACTCTAGGGTTTCCATGGCTGCGGCTTCAGAGGTTTTGGCTTGAGGCGTCTCTTTGGGATATGAGATTGGTGAGCTGGAGGTGGGGTTTAGGATTAGGTTCAACCTTTAGAATACAAGGCATGGGTTGCATTCCCTGAGGGTATAAGCTGTGGGAATGCAACAGATCTTCCTTCTAACCCTTCGTGCAGGATGTCCAGGGTTGCTGGTCCAGCGGTGGCTGTATGCACCCCGCTGGCTGGCCTACATCCCAAACTTCCAAAGCCGGACACGAAACGAACCCCGAGATATTGCCTGCGGGAAGGAACAAGGCTCGTCCGGGTGAGATCTCGCATACCGCCGACCCTGAGGACGAGAAGGTGGGACGCTCTCTGTGGTTCTGGTCTGCGTGGAGGGACTTGTGGGTGGGTACTGTAGAGGCCGAAATAACTACCTACACTATTTTGGGGGGTTCCTTGTTAATTATATGTATGGTATAATGGCCCCAAAGCCCTTTTCTAACCATTAAGGCCGATATATTAGACTGATGAGCTGCTTCAGCTTCAGAGTCTCGAGGTGAGTAGTTGTTGCCTTTGCGGAATTCTACAAGCTATACGCTAGACCCAAACCCCCCAAAGTAGGTAAAATACTGGCCCAATACCTATAAAAGGCTATTATTCGACATACTTTGGGGTCCCAGGGAGGGGCTTGAATCTCTGGCCGGGATTGCGGGGGGTTCGTGATGCTGGGTGGTAGAGGCCAACATCCGGGTCGAAGCCGGGTGCACGCATCAGGACAAGCACGGTATGGGACACATCCGGGGTACTTGGCAGCAGATTAGTCGCTCCCTAACCGCCCTAACCGTGACGACGGCAGAGGTTGCCAAAACTCTGCCAGCCGCACATGAACAGAAGAAACTGCGAAACCAACGGTCTGCGGATTTTGTTTGCACCATGCGGATGCTGCTAAGAAGGTTTGGACCAATCACTTGTGCTCGGTATCGGAAGGTGCCGAGAACTACAAGAGCACATGACCGGCACGAGAGCCTCACCAACATGACTCCGTTTCGTCAGTACCGGAATGGCTTATTATAATGAGTAGTTAGACCCTGAAAAGTAAGTAAAATAATGGCCCAAAACCTATTAAAGGCTATTATTCTACATACTTTGGGGGTCCAGCTTGGCTCTACACTTTCTAAATAACCGCTAGGATGGGGATCTTGCTTCCCGCGAGCAGTTTCAGCAGAAGCTTCCCTGAGCCGGAAACTGTATTCTGTCAAGCCTGGCGACTTGACCAACCCTTCTCCCAAGATCACGTCGGAAAGGTGAGGGCCCGGGTGGAGGTCAGAATGGGCGCGGCACCTATCAGAAGCAGATCCTCCTCGGGGCCATTCACGGATCGACCTAGTAGAGACCCTTTACCTCATTTCCCAAGGGCTCTAAACCTCGAAACCCCTACACGGTCGAGTTCTGCTCCCAAGGTGTGGCATTCCTGTGGCTGGGAGCCTTCCAGAAGGTCAGGCCCTCTTGGTTCAATCGTTTCAGTGGGTTTCCAGAACCCAGGGATTGAGCGTAGCAGCAGGTAAGAAGGAAGCCTAAAGGTGGAGGGTTCGGGATGCAGGCAGGGCTTGTAACCATAAACCTGTGGCTATGAGTAGTACCCATTTGCCCTCTTTGATTTGGGGTCTCCTTATTCAAACCGAATACTAAGAAAATGGTACCCTGATTATTTCGGGATCACTCAGGAACCTAGGTGGGAGCTAAGCCTTTTTTCGGGTTGTTGTCATAATCATGAAGACCAACCAGGATCCTGCATCCGAAGATTCTTGTGGCTGCAACAAAGCAAAAAAATGGGATCCGTAATTGCACGACCAATCAGTAGTTGTAACTAAGAATTCCAGGTGGTTTCGGCTGCCCATGCCTTCACCCCAGATCCGCCTGCATCCAAAACCACGACTGCAACCTAGGGACCCAGTAAGCAAGTCAGGCCTTCAAACCCTGAGCTCAACCGTGGGCCCGTGCGTGTCAAAACCCTGCCTTTGTTGCTTATGCTGTACGGCTGACAAGTTCAAAGCCCCGGTTTAGGGTTTAGGGCATTCAGAACCAGTTTGCAAACCCGTATTTGCGCCAATGAAGCTTAAAGCCCCTTAGCAGCGAGAGCACGAGGACACCGAGGACCCACACAGTACCACTGTCCAACAATCCCCATAACTAGGACTTCTTCCATGTAATATCAAGTTGCTGGGCTGTTAGTTGTTTTCAATGAGTACGATAAGCTATCTTGACTGCTAATAAATCATCATGGTTATGTTGTCATTGTTACCACTGCTGTTCTATAGGTCCCCAGAACCCTAAACCCTCAACGCTTAGCTGCTGGTTGGTTGTTGTCAATGAGTGTGATAAGCTTTTTCACCTGCTATTAACATCATGTTCGTCACCACTGCAGTTCGATAGGTCCCGAGAACCCTAAAACCCTAGAACCCTAAACCCTTAAACCCTAAAACGCTAAGAACCTGAAACTCTAAAACCCTTAAGCCCTCAACCCTGTAACTCTAAACCCTTAAGCCCTAAACCCAGAAACTCTAAAACCCTTAAATCGGTGTAACCCGGACCCTAAACCCTGAAACTCTAACACCCTGAAATCGGTGCAACCCGGACCCTAAACCCTGAAACTCTAACACCCCTAAATCGGTGCAACCCGGGCGCTCATGTCCAGGCTGAGGCTCATTTCGAGAAGGCGCTCGGCAGCGAGGGGCTCGAAATGGAGGAAGCCAAGCAGGCGCAGCGCAGGGTCCGCACTGAACAAGTAGTTGTATCCCCGTTACCCAGAGGCCCCAAAGTAGTTCCTTTTGGGGATTACCTTGTAGGATTCTACATATGAACCTCAGAGAGTAACTACTTTGGGGCCTTTGGGTAATGTAGAAGCTGAGTAGATAACCCTTATAACCTGTTGGGGCTCTGACCTCTAGATTACACCCTAAACCCAGCCTGAATCCGTCGCCCTGGCCCTCGCGGAGGTCCGCCTTGATCTTCAACGAGTCCAGGCGGCGAAGAAAGCACTCCAAGAGAAAGAACAGGCACCATGGCTTGAGTATGTGCCCCGTGAGTGGTCCTCTTTCTGGCATGAGTACAAGGCTTGAGTATGAACAGTGGAAGGGATCTCATGGAATTACATCCAATAACTGGGGGTCTGCATATTAATTAGGGGTCCGCATGCTGAGGATGCGACTATGGTTCCATATATACTAGTAGGTCTCTTGCGTGTATTGTCTGACTGTCAGACAGCTCCATAAGTTGAACCCTCGGCGAGCTTGAGGAGTTTCTAGCGGGCCGTGTACCCGTCAGAGAAGGGCTGGGCCTGGCACCCTGGGTTTTCCCTTTTGGGACATACTCTCTATGAAGTACAGCTCTGTGATTTGAAGGGCCCCGAATTCCGTTTGCCCGTACCCGGATGAAGGAAAACGGGACTTAGAGCTCTGTGGAGTTGGAAAGTACCCCGAAGTCCCCTGAAAACCGCCTCCGCCTGCCCGTTGGGCTCGTCAAGGGTGCTGCGTGGAGGGTGCTGGACCTGGGATTTTTGGGACGGACCTCGGTTTTGGGATTGAAGGTTAGAGGGGTCGAAACACCGAAAACTCTCAGACTTAGAGTTTCCTGTAGGGTCAGAGCTACGCATGGCAGCCGGATGGCAGTCTGCAGACCTTCGGGGCTTTGGAAGAGCCTGGTCTACTTCTCCATCAGGATCAACAACTAGCGTGTCTTTGAACGCTTCTGCTGTGAGTTCTGTTCAGACAGTATTAGTATTGAGTATCACAACTGTTGCTCACCACATGGTCATGTCATGGTTACCGCTAGCAAGCTGCTAGTATCCTTCGCAGCATTGCTGGTCCCTGGTTCTTGCGGATATCATTCTTCCGGAAATCTAGGATGCCCAGTAGTACCATTATTCCCTTTTCGTATAGTCCTAGGTTCCTTTATACCGGTACCCAATTCCAAAGAGGGAGCCCTTTGAATTCCCACGATTGATGGTATAAATCCTGCACTACCTTAAGGACACTAAACTATGGGAATTATGGTATAATCCTTATTATGGGTACTGCAGGATTTGCATCATCAACAATAGTAAACAGATTGTTAAGGCCCCTATACTAAATCCTTATAGTAGCCCTTATTACCCCCCTTTAAAGGATTCCTATTCTAACTATCAAGGCCCTATACCCAGACCCCGGGAGGATCTCGAAAGTAGATCCCCTAATTTGGGGCCCTATACTACTAAGGGTACTTTATAGGAAACCCCATTAAAGGATCTCCTACTAAGGATCCTTTTTATAAGGACCCCAAAGTACGGTACCCCTAGGTGCATCCTAGAAATCGGCCATTGCTGGGGAAGTTGAGGCCGACCAGACCCTTCGGGGAGCCCACGGCGAAGAGAAGGAGGCAACAGATGAGAGTTTCCGAAAATTGGGGGGGAGGGGGGGTACATTTAAAGGGATTTAAAAGGGTTCCTTTAAGGGATCTATAAGGGTTCTATAAAGGGTTTAGAGGGTTTAGAGTTTCCGAATATTACGGGGGCCGTATTTTGGGGTCCTCATAGCAAGAATCCTACTGTGGGAGGCTGTATTAGGGTCCCCTATTTTCGGAAACTCCCATATACTTGGTGCTTGAGGGGTATAGGGCTCAGGATTGTCACTGCGCAACATTTAGGCTTTCGCACCTTGGTTACGGGGGGTTGCGGCTGTACGGAGCTTGGTGTGTGAATTTAGGATTTCAGTTCTTGCAGGCTTCAGTTACTAGAGTCTTACGCTCTCGAAGTATTCCACGGGTCTTAGGTTATCGAGATACACACGGGTTCGGTATGTTGAGATTCGAATTGAGGGGAGATTCAGATTCAAGTCTTCCGAGTCGGGCTTGTTGACTGTCCCTAGGGATCTACGGACTCATATATTAAGGCTTTTGGGCCCAAAGACCACACTATATACGGCTTTTGGGCCTTTTTACATCCAAAGGGTGTTATCGTTTCAGGTCTTGGTTGTCCTAGGCCTAGGATCCCTACCTACACCCCCCTAAACGTAGGTATAATCATGGCCCAACAGCTATAAAAGGGCTATTCTTCTACATGGTCCAGGTAAGCCCTAATAGCTAGGATGCCCAGTAGTACCCTTATGCCCTTTTTGTAGTCCTGGGTTCCTGCTGAATGCACCCAATACCAAAAAGGGACCCCTTTTTATTCCTAGGTTACTGGGCACCCTTATAGGGTGGTAGCCTTAACTTTTGATTTTGGGGAGTCTCCATGCCCTGAAGCCTTCAGCTCAAAAGCTCAAAGGCCGTAAGACCCCAAGCCCCAACACTAAACCTACTATAATACTATACTACTGGTACTATGCTATACTACTCTACTACATTACGATAGTACTATACTGCTATACTACTATACGACTATACTACTATACTGCTATACTCCTTCCTACTATACTACTACACTACTATACTAAACCCTGAGAGCGTAAGTCTTCAGACCCTAATACCCGGCACCCAACTCGGCCGCAGGTGCTCGAGAAAGCGCTTCAGCAGTACGGTGAGGCAGATGCCACATCCCAGCAGGAGCGAGCCATGCAGGGGTCTCCAAATATGCAGGTTTAGGGTTTAGGGGCTACGCAGAGGGGCTCGAAACATTCAGGTTTACGGCTTCTTGTAGGGACCTTTGCTGCTTTCAGGTCAACTGTGCTATAGTTGTGCCACTGCTTCATGCGATTGTCATGGTCTCGATTTTTCCGCATAAGAACTATCACCGGCATGACCGTTGTTGATGGGATCAGTGATGTAATAGGCACCTGTTCGGTACACCCTGAATCCCTGCATCGGATTATACTTGGGATCCCAGTATCAGGTTCTTTGCAGTCTAGGGTTTAGGGTTGAGAGTTAGAGTCTGTTCCAAGTTGTCTGTGTTTTTCTCGCAGAGACAGCTTTAAGATCCAGACGGCTGCAAGGAGTGCGCTGTCGTCTATGCGAATCGCTGCCAGGTCACTTTGCGCTCATAGAGCTTAGGAGTAGGTTGTGTTTGATGAATAGTAACAGAGCATGTTGCAAGTTGCAAGCTTCGGAAAATTGGTGCAAGGATTGCAGGTTGGGTTGGGTTGCGTCGCCACCTTTAATGCAAATCCTCTCCCTTCAGCATGCCTGGGCGGCTAGAATTTGTTTTTCGCATGCTTACTCAAAGTGTCTGCAAGCAGCTACCGCCCTTGTACAACACCAGTACCACTCGTACATACGGACCTACATGGAACGATAAACACGCCAAAGGTACTGCATCCGAGATGTAAGATCCGAGGCATTTCCACGAAGGAAGGCGCCCTTCGACTCTCCTCAATCGCAGTAGCAGTAGCTTCAGTCGCACTCGCATTCAGTTGCAGTAGCAGTGGCAGCAGCACCAGCACTCCAACTTAGCACTGGCACCGGCACTGGCCCACTAGCATTTGCACTGGCTAGGAGTAGTAATCAGTCGTAGTAGTAGTCGTCGTCGTAGTAGTAGTAGTCGTCGTCGTCGTCGTAGTAGTAGTAGTCGTCGTCGTCGTAGTAGTAGTCGTAGCAGTAGTAGCAGTAGTAGTAGTCGTAGTAGTCGTAGCAGTAGTAGCAGTAGTAGTAGTCGTAGTAGTAGTAGTAGTAGTAGTAGTAGTAGTAGTAGTAGTAGTAGTAGTAGTAGTAGTAGTAGTAGTAGTATTTAGTAGTAGTGGTAGTGGTAGTAGTAGTAGTAGTAGTAGTAGTAGTAGTAGTAGTAGTAGTAGTAGTAGTAGTGGTGTAGTAGTAGTAGTAGTAGTAGTAGTAGTAGTAGTAGTAGTAGTAGTAGTAGTAGTAGTAGTAGTAGTCGTACGGGCGTAGCCCTAGGTTTGCCCCGCGCACCCTTCCTTACACATGCAGCGAAGTACAAAATACGTGGCAGGCGCAGTACTTTCGAGGGTTGGAGGGTTCTGATGACGGGAGACCATTTCCGTGTAAAATTTAAAATTTTACGCGCAAATTCGTGTTTGCTGCGACACCCAAAACCTTATAATACGTGGCCAGCGCAGGACTTTTGAGACTTCGAGGCAAGTTGCAAGGCTCAAGACGCGCGGCCTTTTTTTGGCTATGTTAACGCCGTCGAGCACAAGGGCAAGTGCAAAATACGTGGCAGGAACAGTACTTTCGAGGGTTCGAAGAGTCTGACGGCAGAAGTTGATATCAGGAAAAAATAGCATTTATGTCGCGCACATTGGTCTCTGCTGCGGCAGCGGGAAGCTCATAATACGTGGCCAGTGGTTGGATGGGAAACCCTCAAACCCTAAAAGGAGTGGGTGGGTGGGAAACCGTCAAACCCTAAAAGGAGTGATTGGATGGGAAACCCTCAAACCCTAAAAGGAGTGGATGGCTCGCAAACCCTCAAACCCTAAAAGGAATGGGTGGGTGGGAAACCCTCAAACCCTAAAAGGAGTGGTTGGATGGGAAACCCTCAAACCCTAAAAGGAGTGGGTGGGTGGAAAACCCTCAAACCCCAAAAGGAGTGATTGGATGGGAAACCCTCAAACCCTAAATGGAATGGATGGGTGGGAAACCCTCAAACCCTAAAAGGAATGGGTGGGTGGAAACCCTCAAACCCTAAAAGGATGAAGCCCTAAAAGGAGTGGTTGCAAGGGAAACCCTGAAACCCTAAATGGAGTGGTTGCGCGGGAAACCCTCCAACCCTAAAAGGAGTGGATGGCTCGCAAATCCTCAACCCTAAAAGGAGTGGGTGGGTGGGAAACCCTGAAACCCTAAAAGCAGTGGTTGGGTGGGAAACCCTCAAACCCTAAAAGGAGTGGGTGGGTGGGAAACCCTCAAACCCTAAAAGGAGTGGTTGCAAGGGAAACCCTGAAACCCTAAATGGAGTGGTTGCGTGGGAAACCCTCAAACCCTAAAACGAGTGGATGGCTCGCAAACCCTCAAACCCTAAAAGGAGTGGGTGGGTGGGAAACCCTGAAACCCTAAAAGGAGTGGGCGGGTGGGAAACCCTCAAACGCTAAAAGGAGTGGTTGGATTCCCTCAGCGAGACTAAACCAAGTAGAGAAGAGCAAAGTGTTTCAAATCTTGCCTGAGCAGAGCGGTCTCGTTGGCGGTGATGCTCACCGTCTGCCACCGGAGTCTATCTTGGAGTGGCAGGTATTGCTGGACAAGTACTTGCGCTGCTGCAGGCAATGTCCGTGGATCGGAGACGTCAAAAGGTCGCAACTGCAGCGGGAAGTCCATGGCTGGCACCCTGCAGAGCCCGTCTTGCTGCGGCGTGAGTGTGATGTTGGAAATGACGGCCAGAGGAGAGCAACATCAATTCTGGGCGCACCGACCAGAGTACACGGGGAGTCGTGACCGGATCGCACCGACCAGAGTACACGGGGAGTCGTGACCGGATGACAGTTGCGCAAAAGTTCTTCGGGCAAACCCCGGGCTATGCGCGTAGTAGTAGTAGTAGTAGTAGTAGTAGTAGTAGTAGTAGTAGTAGTAGTAGTAGTAGTAGTAGTAGTAGTAGTAGTCGTAGTAGCCGTCGAAGTCGTCGAGGTAATCGTAGTCGTCGTCGTCGTAGTAGTAGTAGTAGTAGTAGTAGTGTTAGTGGCGGTGGCTGTGGTGGTGGGGGAGAGGGTGGGGGGGGGGGGGGGGGGGGGGGGGGGGGGGGGGGGGGGGTGGGGTGTATTGATGGGAGTGCTAGAAGTCGTTGTCGCAGTCGTTGTCGTAGTCTTAGTCGTAGTAGTAGTAGTAGTAGTAGTAGTAGTAGTAGTAGTAGCAGTAGCAGTAGCAGTAGCAGTAGTAGTAGTAGTAGTCGTCGTCGTCATCGTCGTCGTCGTAGTGGTAGAGGTAGAGGCAGAGGTACAGTAGTAGTAGCAGTAGTAGTAGTAGTCGTCGTCGTAGTAGTAGTAGCAGCAGCAGGCAGTAGTATTAGTAGGAAAGCAATGGGATTGCCTGAATACGAAAGACAACAGCATCCTGGAACTTTCCAGATTCACGACGCGAACATGATGTCCATTGCACTGCTCCCGCATCGAGGCCAATCTGCAGCTGGGCAAGCTTCAGGAATGCTTGGAGGATGCCCGATGCCCAGCAGTGGTTTGCATTGTGGGTGGTCAATACTTCATCGCCAGCGTTCCCGAGAAAGAGGTGCTTGCGTGCTGTTGCGGAGTGACCGACACACATGCATGGTGTGTTTTCACAGTCGGAAAATACGAAGTCTTTCTTGAAGTCCAGGGCCACGAGAGACTTCATGAAGTTCGGCGATCCTCGGAAGTCGAAGATGATCGTGATGATGATGGCGATCGTGGTATGCGAAGATGATGGTGGTGGCCATGATCGAAACGACACACCACCAGCTGTTTGTGCTGGTGCGCACAATGACCATCTCAAACGCTGCCATAGCGAGGCCGACGCCGCCCTTCGGTCGCTGCGGCGGTGGCCTTGCGCTGGCAAGGCCTTAAGTAAAGCAAAACTCACCTGTTGGATAGAATGTATGAGCTTTGCGCATTTAAAGGCCATCACTAGCAGTCGATAAAAGACTCCATGATTCTGGACAAAATTGATAAGTCGTGGTCTACGTCGCTGTAGCTATTGGCTGTCCATTGGCTATCCATGTCGATGTTGTAGCAGCTGGATGGTATCGGCTTTTGTGTCCGACCCGAAATCACGAACTTGTGAAGCCCAACACATCCTCGTGGCTGCTAGGGGTCCGAGCTGAGTTGTGGCGAATCGGACTTGGGTTTTGCGTGCAAGTGCATGTAGGTTCTGTGGTAGTCTCCTTGCATGTTTCAACACGATTTCAACTCTAAACGTTGTTGGAGAGCCCCAGGGGTTTTTATCAATGTCTTGAAACCCAAGGAGCCGCAGAGGACGGCTGAAGGGCTGAAAGGTGCAAGGTTTCACTGTGCTGATCGGCTCCCGGAGTTTGATAGCTATGGAGAGGCACCGAAGCCTCCGGCGCGACCGTCTGGGTTGGAGCCACCCTTCCTCGATGCAAGGGCCACAGACAGAGTCTTTCCGGGTACGGCTATAGTGCTGGTATACTTCATTCCCGGATTCAAGAGTTAGAGTTTCATGTCTTTGGCTTCATGATTGAGGAGCCCCTATGCCCTACAACTCCAAACCCTCTGACCCCAAAGCCTTTTACCTTAACCCTTAACCCTAAACCTAAACTGGGATTTCGGGGCGTCAGCTCTTGCTGCACACGGGCTTTCGAGTGGTTGGAGCGCTAGAACCTTGGCGGGGCAAGTGCAGGTGCTGAGACAGTGAATCCTGCTTGATTCAGTTCTTCCCCAGAGCCAGACCTTCCGCCTTAAGCTCCAGAGCTCTTTGACGCGGCAACAGGTCGGTGAACCTAGCTACCTCCCACAGAGTTTCTTCGTCGCATATTATCTTGCGCGTTCCTTGTTGGTTTTACAGTATCTAGACCCCAAAACCCTGTGTTGTGAAGGCTACCCCATTACGATGAACATCGCTGAGTGGTGGCAGCCCAGGACCCCACCTTCGTCCACCCCGACCAGCAGAATCAGGGTGAGCGCGAGTGGCTCATGTCCCTTGACCGATGTATGTGTGGGATAGCCTCCCATTCCCGCGTAAACCAAGTGTGAGTTTGCCAAATTTCAAAGTTGCCTTTCCATCAACCTGCGTCGTACAAGCCTGAAGCCATGCAAGCCCAAAGTTTTAGGCCACGGTGCCCAAGCATATGTCTGCAGATTCCAGGGTTCAGTGATGTGAGCTTTCGAGGTTGTGAATCTTAAGGTGGTGTGAGTTAGCTTTTGGGGAAGAGGTTTTCTGAGCATGGGTTGTATACTGCAGACAGGCAGGATGCACCACTGTGTCCCCAAATTTGCTCAGGAAGCACAATGGCGGGTCCGTCAAGGACGGCTCCGTTTGGTGTCAACTGGGTAGTCGTGGATGGATTGGATCGCAATGCTCTGAGCAACTCTGACACCTCAAACCACACACCTAAACCCTAAACTTTAAACCCCAAATCCTGACCTCTAACCTCCCTAAACCCTAAGCCCTAACCTCCCTAAACTCTAAACCCTATCGTGATCTGAGCTGCATCTTGTTCTTTGTTCGCGCCAGGATCTGCCTGGGCTTCCGGATGAGTACGAGTGGGTCAAGGCACGAACTGCCATTCTAGGTCCTTTGGGGGTGATACTGCAAGGCTTTAGGATTCACGGCTCCATGTAGCCAAGTAGTATATACCCAGAGGCCCCAAAGTAGTTCCTTTTTGGGATTACCTTACAGGATTCTATATATGAACCCCAACAAGGAACTACTTTGGGGCCTTTGGGTACTTTGGGGTTGGAGTTCAGGGACCTTGTGTGGAGCCCCAACCGAAAATCGTATTAGCAGGTTTCTCTGACGTTCCTTTTGTGACGCACCATGAAGTCAATCTTGATAATTTGTCACGGGCTATTTGTCGCGAGCTTTGCAGGTTGTTCCATAGCTGCAGAAGGCTTATTGTTAAGCTCGCCCCTCACCTTTAAATCTATGATATGTAACACCAGCTTATAGTGATCACTCTCAAGTCTCCATTTTTGCAGGGCTTGGGGTTTGGAACAGTTTCAGTCGAAGCACTAAGGACTCTGCAGAGAAGAACGAGGACGCGTGGATTGCCGTGAAAAAGCGGATGTCCAAGGCCGTCAGGGTAGGGATGATGTTTCAAACCAGCCGTAACCTGAGGGTCCATGTACTGCGGCTTTATTGTTTTATGCCAGTTGTATGTCTTGATCATGGTAATGACACCGATGGTCTTTGTCAGTTGTTTCAATGCGGAGATCATTGTGGAGTACAGAACTGAGCCGTGCCCTCACCCCATTGCCCCGACCATGTCCCCCAAACCCGTTTAAATCCTAAACCCAATGGTGAGGGCTATGTAGTTGGGTTCTAGCCAGTGTCTCCTTCAATGATTGGGTGATGTCCGAGCAAACTTCATGTGAAAGGGCGAGAATGGTTTCAAGCTTCAGCCACCCTGGCAGACGCCGTTTCTGACAAAGTCAAGCTGAAACGAAATAAAGTTTAGTCGCTGCACCCGCAAACCTGAAGGGTTTCAGCGCCGTAAGTGTGCCATCGGCGAACTGCAACACAAAGTCTCCGAAGGCCCAAGGCGAGCCCGGCACACTTGGATAGCACCCTCAACCCTAAACCCATTGAACCCTGAACCCTTGAACCCTGAACCCTTGAAACATAAACCCTGAGCCCTTGAACACTAAACCCTAAGCCCTGAGCCCTTGAACCCTAAACCCTGAGCCCTTGAACACTAACCCCTAAACCCTGAGCCCTTGAACCCTAAACCCTTGAACCCTTAAACCCTATAGACCCTAACCTTTTCACGTTCGAGCCTCAAAGCGGAAAAGGAGTGACCCTTAATGGGAACCCCTACCCTATAATGGGGCTGTATAATGGGTACATAACAGCTATATCAAGGGTATATACCCAGGGGTCCTCATTAAGGGTCCCTCCTTTTTTGGAATGTTCTTTCCAGCTTTTTCTCAAGCTATGCCTCCTCAGAGCCCCGATCTCCGGGTTGAACCTAAACCCTGGCCCTGAAAATCCGATATGGGAGTTTCCGAAAATAGGGGACCCTAATATAGCACCATAAATCGTAGGATCCTTATTGTAAGGACCCCTAAATAAGGCACCCCAAATTTTCGGAAAATCCGATATGCTTAGCAGCTATGGTGGGTGTTTTAAAGGGGTCTACAAGGGACCTACCCAGGGTTCCTTTAAGGGATCTATACGGGATCTACTGGTATGGGGTTTAGGGTTTATGGGCGGTTCTCTAAATTGATGGTCCTGTTTTTGGGTCCTTAATATAATACGGCACCTAATATTTTGGCCACCCGAAAAGGTACCATAATTTTGACAACCACCCATGTAAGTAACCCATACCCCTTAAAATACCACCATAATTGAAAAGGTTAACCTTTTCTGGGCTAGTGTACTCAGTCCCCAAGCATGGGAGTTTCAGAAACGGCGGGTCCCTTGATGATGGACCCGCCTCCAAAGCACCAAAACAAAAGACAGGGGTCCATATTCGCCGGGCCTCTGGGGAAGGCACCCGTTGCATACGACCAAAGAATCAAACAACGCCATGACACCCTACGAACCAGGTACGATCGAAGCCGTATCAAAACTCCGATTTTCAATATGCCATTCCCTTGAGGGGAGCCCTTAAAGGCACCCTCAAAAGGAACCCTTAAGTACAGGGATCCCTTATCCTGTAGGTGACCATTGACGCCATCAAGCGCACGACGGCGGAGCTTCAGGATGTGCCGTGGCTTGCAGAATCACTCCAGGCTGGTCTTCGAGGTCGACGGCTTTAGGCTTTAGGGCCGTTGCAGGATGTCGAAATGCAGGACTCCAAGGGTCGACAATATGGAGGGGTTTCCAAAAATAGGGGACCTTAATATAGTACCCCAAATAGTAGGATCCTTATTATAAGGACTCCGAAATAAGATACCATTAACTTTCGGAAACTCCCCATATCAAGATGCCGGTTGTCTTGGCCTTGAATGTGTATGCAATTTATAGCTTTACAGGGACCCAGGCCCTTGGTTTGGGGAAGAGGGCTAGCCGGGCGGCATCGAACCCTGAACCTCAACCCGGGCTCTTTGAAGGCAAAAAGTACACTGTTTAGGACATGACCGTAGCCCAAAGGCCCCAAAGTAGTTCCTTTTCGGGGTTCATATATAGAATCCTATAAGGTAACACCAAAACGCTCAGGCTGATTATTCGGTTCCTGTGCAGGCAGTCATATAATTTGAACCCTATCGCAACGGTTTATATGACTTTGGGGGCCTCTGGGTAGAGCTGTTCGACCCAAGTGGTTTTAGGGAGGAGTAGTGTTCAAAAACCCTCGACTCCCCAATCCCGAAGCTCCATTAACCTCAGCAAGCTACCCAAAAGCCCCGAAGTAGTTCCTTTTGGGGGGTTCATATATAGAATCCTGTAAGGTACTCCCAAAAAGGAACTACTTTGGGGCCTCTGGGTACATAAGCCCCCTATACCCCTCGACCCCAAGCCCCGGAAGCCTCGAATTCGTGTGGGTGTTTCCGAAAAAAGGGGACCCTGGTATAGTACCCCCTGTAGTAGGATCCTTATTATAAGAGCCCCCAAAGTAAGGTACCCCTAATTTCGGAAACTCCCGTAACTCCCGTGTTTACTGCGATGAGGCTCTGTACCTTCGCAACCCTGCGCAGATCCGGCAGCAGATCGCTGTGGCAACGGAGCAAAACAAGGCCCCGGTATCTCAGACTTTCGGGATTTGTCAGGGATCTTTGACGTTTTAAAGCGGATTTGCAGGTTTCATACGGATTGCTGCTCGTGTGGTTGTCTACAAGGTTTTTTCTTTACAGCGTGTCATCAAGGTTTGTTGTCAGGGTTCTGTTAAGGTACTCCCTCTGCTGAGCATGCCCCTGGTTGCCCCTCAGCGCGATCCTCTAGTGTGCTAGTAACTGCTAGTACTTCTGGAAAAGATCGTTTAGATCATCATATCTTAGGCGTGTCTTGGTTAAAGCAAGGAAGGGTCTCAGGTTGGCGACGACTTGTCTACTTTGCGGTCGAGGGTTGCTAGAAGCCTAGGGAGAAACAACAGCAGCAGCGATGGCCTCCTGCACTTCCCGGGCAGATGCATGACCGTGGCTTGCTATACATGCTCTCAGTATCACCACCACAATCGTCGTCATTGTTGTTGCGACTGCTGTAGGCTCGTTGTACACGTCGCTGTCGTGTAAGCAGCCTTGTGTGAGCGCAGGTGTGTCTGTGTGTTTGGGTGGTGGGTGGGTTGGGTGCGTGCGTATATGTCTATATATATATATATGTATGTATGTATGTGTGCACACACACAAACAGTGATGGCGTTTGTGCAGTACTGCAGCATATATATATATATATATATATACATAGACATATATTCACAATGTACATGCAAAGTTACATGCATACATGCATACATCCATACACTCATATTTTCATTGCTAACATGCAAAGCTACATGCATACATGCATAAATCCATACACTCATATTTTCATTGCTACAGCTACAGACAGCAATACAAGTATTACTAGGAGCATATACCAATGCATACATGCAGACATGTACCAGCAGTGCATGCGTGTAGTGTAGTACCCACATTAGAATACATGCATCAGCAGCACGTTACTACAGACACTCATACATAAATTCAGTGGTACACCCATATACACATGCACACATACACACATAGGCACATGCACATACACATACATACATACATCACGACAGAGACAGAGACATACAGACAGACCGACCGACCGACGGACGGACGGAGCTGTGTGCACGTGCACGTTGATGTTGGAAGGTCCGCGAAGGTCCCAGCAGCAAGGCCATCCAGCAGGCCGAGGCGCCTTCGGGTTCAATGGTGAGTTCTTTGAAGTTCGGCGTTTATGGTAAGGGTTGTAAAGGTTGTGATTTCGGAGCCTTCCAAGGGTAGTGGAATCATTTGCACGAGTTTAGGTCTGGGTTTCGGGGGTTGGGCCATGTTCCAGACAGCTGGGTACAGGTGAGAGGTCGGATTTTCGAGATACGACATCGCTTCGTCATGATCCTGACGATGTAACGACGGAAGGATGAATGGAAAGGGACATAGAGCAGCCGGCACGTCTCCTCAAACGAAGTTCAATCCACACTACCGCATTCAATCTACACCATTCGAAAATCCTGGGCCCGACCGCCCAAGCAGTCTTGCTTGACTTTCTCGCTTCTCTGCACCGTTGCACTGTTGTTCACTCCTGGTCCCAAGAAACGCTTGGGGCTCGGGGCTCGTAGTTGACACTATGCCCCTGCTCTGGTCTGGGGCGCCTCCTAGCGTGCCTGAAGCAGTCTCCATGCGCCGATGGCACAAACATCAAAGCAAAAGCCTTGTAATCGCGACAGGACTACGCGCGGAAGCTGGAGGAGCACGAGAAGGCTTCCCTGCTGGCTCCATGAGCTTAGGCTTTGGACATGTAGAGTGTTTCAGCTCGGGCTTAACAATTTCCGAGTGGAGGATTACCCATTTCGGGTTTCGAAATCGGGCGCATCTGGCACCGAGAGGCACACCATGAACTGTGTGCCCTGAAGCCTTCCAGGGGTGCCACAGCGGGGCCGAGATCTTTAAGTATAATTAGCCAATGCTGTTTTGGGGCTCCTTTGTTATAGTTACTGCATCACGTACCCCGAAACCCTGTTGAAATTAATGAGTTTCGGCCGAGTCTGTCACTCAGCGGGGTGGACTCTCAGACCTCCCTGCGGTCCGGACTCTTGGGCTCTGGGGATGCTGTGTTGATCGGAAGGGATCGGATTACGGTTCTTTTAGGTGACAAGGGTTTAGGGTTTAGGGGACAGCTTCGGATTCGGTACTGTGGGCTTTGGTTCAGGGGCTTTTTCGAAATACTCGCTCCAGTTGCAGATGTTTCCAGCTGATGATTCTCACTGCCTATAAGCCGGAAGGCCGGCCGTAAACCCTTATGGGCTCGTTACAAATCTGGGTGCCTCTGCTGTAGTTACTTTCGCAACACCCTAAACCCTCAGCCCGAAACCCTCACCCACCATCCTTCCATGGCCAATCCGCAAGACCCCAACAAGTCAAGCACCGTCTGTGCCCAAAACGCGAGCATTCCCCGATTCTTTTCGAAATGTCGTGAACCAGCCCGGCCACAGACACCGAGATGCATGTCGCATCTTAGCAAGGTTCCCTTCGTACCTATACCCGTGCCTCCCTGTTGATAGCTTCACAACTACTTCCCAAAGGAGTTTGAGCTAATATAGGGGCCTTAATAATGAGAATAGGTTTTTGGGGCCCTTTATACGATACTTATGATACGGAACCCCCAAAACCAGTATTGGGAATGATTAAGGCCCCTATATTACCATTCTGCTTACTTGTGAAGGTTTAACCCTTTTTGGGTAGTATAGCCCCTATATAATCGCTATATAACAAAGAAGGTTAGCCTTTAGTTCCCCATAGTACCGAGGTAAAAGAAAAACACGGATCCTAGAAGACTAGTCCGCGAGACTAAGGTACCCTAAACCCTGCATGAACCCTGAACCCTAACTAAGCCTTAAACCACTAGATCCTTAGCTCTGAACCTTAAAGCCTTAACCTTCAATCACTATAAGATTCTGTAAGGGTTAAATCCTAAACCCTATATAAATCACTAAATCCTAAGCCCTGAACCCTAAACCCTAAACCTTAAACCCCTATAGCCCTAAAACATTTTACTTCAGCAAACACGGCAACCAGGGAGCAGGAGCCGCAGAAGACAGAGAACGCACCTATCCCCACCCGTTTCCTTAGCTGAGCAGGTAACCTTCAAACCTGTTGGGATTTATAAGCTTCGAATTCTAACATTTTTCACAACCAAATGTCAACTTTTTGGGGGTTTTAGAGTTCTGCCATTAGTTAAAACAAGCCCAACCTTTGTTGGGCTAGGGATGGCTATGTTGCTCAGCCTTGAGTTTCTGAAGAGCAGATCAGCCATTATAGGTTTCCCAAAAGCAGAGCACGCAGGCCCAGGAAGCGCAGAGAGACCTGGAGGAGGCCAGATGCAGAGGTTTCGAGTTCAGGGGTACAGGGCAGGAAGAAGTTTTTGATCCCGTCGACAGACCCCACGTCACAGGAGCCGGAGATGGTCTTTCCTTGAACCCAGATCTTCGAATATGTCTTTTATGTGAGGAATGCACCTTAAATTGAGGTAGGATCCGGCTTTCGGAATTCTGCTTGCTAGTCTCATGCAGGGGCTGCATGTATACATATAGGAAGTCCAGCAGGCTTTGCATGCCGCAAGACTGTTGACTTGGATCTTGACCCCCGACTCCCTTGGCCTGGACAAGCCAAAGCCATGGTGCGCTCCACTGCACTCGTTGCATTCTCCGCGAGCTTCTTGCTCCTGGCTGGTTCCCTCAATTTCCTCTCGGTGACCCCACCGCGCCAGCACCAGAAGTCGTTCACACCATCTTCCGCCACGGCGCCCGAGGATCGCAGAGTTCCCAGTGGTGTGCCGGTCGCGATGGCGGTGTTGGCTGGCCTTGTCATGGCTTTCACGGCACCCCGGGCTGCGTTGGCCCAACCGGGTGCACGTCCCGACTTCTCAGTTGTGAGGCCCGGGTACATGCAGGGGATTGATGCTGCAAATGCTGCGACGAAGCCAGGGGAGATTGATTCTGGACTGATCTTCTCATGTTTTTCTGCTTGCGTGTGTCTTTCTGTTCAACCCGAAGCCCGTTTGTTTAACAATTGTGGGCATATGGTCATGTTCGCGGCCTAAAATCTCAGGACTTCGTCACCCGCTCCCGCATTGAGGCCGCCCAGTTTCCGCAGGCAATCAAGGAGCTTCAGAAGGAGAAGGCGACTATCGAGAAGCTTAGTAGCTGAGTGGATACACTTTACACTTCATGGGATAATATAAACTGAAAGTATACACTTTTTGGGGTCTTATGAACTCAGCAACTAAGGAAGAATGCCCCGACCAAGGCCGAGCGCCTCGAAAGGTATCGGCAGCAGGCGAAGGCATACAGCGAGAGCGCGACCCTCGAGTAGAACGGGACTCCTTCCTCTGTCCAGATGGGAGTTTCCGAGAATTAGGGTGTGCCTGTTTTGGGTGTCCTTATAATGAGGATCCTACTTTTTTCAAGGGTGCTGCATTAGGGCCCCCTATTTTCGGAAACTCCTTCGATGCATCATCTCTTCACGGAGCTGGGGAGGTCACGGTAGTTTCAAGCGGTTTCCAGGGCAGTTTCAATCGTTACGTCTCAGGCACAAGTGACCTGAGGCTCTGTGCTGTCACGTGGCCCTCCGAACACCACCGGCAAAAGGGGGTTTAGGGGGTTGAGGTCGGTCCAAAGCCCTATAAATTGAGGATGTTGAGGCTTAGAGGGGTTCAGCAGGTCTTACGTGACCCTGAGTCATCCTAAACTTGGGGACCCAAGAAGCACATACGCATAAGCATGTGAAAGGGATATCCCTACCTTACTGGGCTTCATTATAAGGGGGGGTTATATGGGATATCACTATCCTAATTTTTGCTTATCTGCTTTTTGGGGGGGCCCATTATAAACCCTAAGTTACTAAGAGGCGCTTCGGCGACCCCGTTCCAGGCCGGTATCGGATCTCCGGTTCCCAGAGACTCCAATATCCCTTAATTAAGGCATATACCTTAAATCATATTAGGCCTACTATAATTTAAGGAATATGCCTTAATTAAGGGATATTGGAGTCTCTGGGTTCGGGGACTTTTGGATTCAGGGTCGGGTGGTTTGTAAAAAGCGTGGCCAGCTCTGTGGGGCTTGGGGTTGAGGACCTAGGGTCCCTGATCCCGCGTTTTTGTTGGGCTTTAGGGTTCAGGGCTTTAGGTGGTTTAGGATTTAGGGTTTGGGGTTTTAGGTGGTTTAGGATTTAAGGTTTGGGGTTTTAGGTGGTTTAGGATTTAGGGTTTGGGGCTTTAGGTGGTTTAGGATTTAGGGTTTGGGGCTTTAGGTGGTTTAGGATTTAGGGTTTGGGGTTTTAGGTGGTTTACGATTTAGGGTTCGGGGTTTTAGGTGGTTAGGATTTAGGGTTTAGGGCTTTAGGTGGTTTAGGATTTCAGCTAGGATTTAGGGTTTGGGGCTTTAGGTGGTTTAGGATTTAAGGTTTAGGGCTTTAGGTGGTTTAGGATTTAGGGTTTGGGGTTTTAGGTGGTTTACGATTTAGGGTTCGGGGTTTTAGGTGGTTAGGATTTAGGGTTTAGGGCTTTAGGTGGTTTAGGATTTCAGCTAGGATTTAGGGTTTGGGGCTTTAGGTGGTTTAGGATTTAAGGTTTAGGGCTTTAGGTGGTTTAGGATTTAGGGTTTGGGGTTTTAGGTGGTTTACGATTTAGGGTTCGGGGTTTTAGGTGGTTAGGATTTAGGGTTTAGGGCTTTAGGTGGTTTAGGATTTCAGCTAGGATTTAGGGTTTGGGGCTTTAGGTGGTTTAGGATTTAAGGTTTAGGGCTTTAGGTGGTTTAGGATTTAGGGTTTGGGGTTTTAGGTGGTTTACGATTTAGGGTTCGGGGTTTTAGGTGGTTAGGATTTAGGGTTTAGGGCTTTAGGTGGTTTAGGATTTAGGGTTTGGGGCTTTAGGTGGTTCAGGATTTAAGGTTTGGGGCTTAGGTGGTTCAGGATTTAGGGGTTTGGGCTTCGGCTGAGGTTTCCTCTGAGCTTGAATGTTCGGCGTTTAGCTTGGGCTCAGGGCCCCTGGCCCAGAGTTTAGGGTTTAGGGTTTTAGGGTTTACAGGGACTCAGGGTTTTATACTATATGGTGATATAGAAGTTGAATGGTTAGGGGTGGCTGCCTTGGTTGGTGATTGTGCTGCACGTTAGGGTTGAAGGATGTTGAAGGTGTAGGCAAGAGGTACAGGCGAGGGCGGACGCATGAACTGGAAAATGAACCGTGCCAGCTTTAGCGTCTCCTTCAAGGTGTGCTCTCCAGAGGCGCCGCCGTTTAGTGGAAAACAGCCGTTCGAAGGCGCAAGAGTACAATGAAGTTGAAGCCAACCTTCACTTTCAAGATCCTTTTCGTCTCAGTGTGCACGCAACTTAAATACCACACCATGAGCCCTAAACTCTGCATTGCCACCCGATCCCGCACCCCCACTTTCCCAATCTAGGCACAGACATGTAGAGGAAAAGAGAGAACAAAAGGGACTGCTTGCCCACTCCCCTAAGCCCTAAACCCCTGCAAAAGCTCTGTAAACCCCTGAAGCCCTAAACCCCCGAGAGTCGTCCCCAATGGCAGCGCCTAGCCCAATGCTCGGAGCTGTTCTTGGCGGCTGCCTTGCTGGCGCCTGGGGCTCCTGCCGTGTTGCACCTTGCTTCGACAAGTTTACAGGATACTCAACCGGTCCGTATACAGCTTATAGTTACTGCAATACGTACTAGAAGGGGGTTTAGGGCTCTAGGGTGCAGGGAGATGATGACATCGGGGCAAAAAGTGAGAATGCTTGCGCCAGCATGGGTTTCCCTTTCAGATACTCGAGTCCTCGGAATGAGTTAGAATGCCCTCGTGTGGTCCTCATACTATGTTTTTGATTTCGTTGATTTTCTATAATAAGTATCGTTATATGCCCCAAATTCCTATTCGATTGACAAAGGCAGTTCTACATTCCCTTCCATGTTTGCCATGGAAGGGCGGGGCGGGGGCAGGTGGGGGAAGAGAGGGAAGTGCGCAGCGAGGGCGCGCCACGGGGCCGGGCTGCCAGGCTTCCTCATTGTTTTTGGAGCAGTCGGTGTCAATGAAACCAAACAAAAAAACCAGAAAACACAGCAGAAAGAACACACAGAGAACAAGCAAAGCAAGCAGAACGAATACGGAAACAGACGACAGAAGCAGGTCCTAAATCAGCAATTGTGGAAAACAGGCTTCATTTACGTTTTTTCTTTCTGTTAATCGACTTGCCAAGTTGTGTTTATCAACTGGTGTTTGGGGCGTTTGAACATGAACATGTTGCAAATCGAACCGACCTCTGCCAGCAAGTGCATCGAATTAGTTTTCCCTCTGACGAAAAGAACAGGTTCAAGTTGAGTTATGCTTGCGTGCGGGAAATACGCTTCTCCAGCGGGAAACTTATTTGGTGGGCCACTATGTGGTCTGATGCTCAGAGCGATAAAGAGGAACACAGTCCGTACCGGGTGAAGACCAGCGCAGGAATGTTGAAAGGGAGGCGAAGTGAGTTCGTACCTTTTATGCACCCTACCCGTCCTATACTGCATTTGTTATTGGGATTTCGGCGCACCTTTTCGCAGGCGGCATGGTTTTGTGGTCGCTGATGTTTTTCTGGATACGCTTCTTGACAACATAAGGTGTCTAAGGGTGTCTCTGGCGGCATACATTTTCCGGTGCACGGACATGTTTTTCCAAATGTCAGGAATACAACAAGTCAAGCTTTACAGAAGGGTTTGCTGGTCCTTGTACATAAGAGCAAGTTGTTGACTACTATTTGTTAGAACACTTTCAAAGACCTCACAGCATCCCCACAACTTTTGCCTCCGCCGCACAGAACGTGATTGAGCACTGGCCGAGGAGATGGAGCAAGAGTCCTCTCAGGGCCCCGGTGGCTGCTTCGCCGCGGCCGCCATGACTTGATTCAGAGCGGTTTAGGATTTTCGTGTATATATACACATATATACGTACATACACGCGCAAAACAACATATACACATATGTGTATATATGTATATAGTTATATTGTACATATATATATCTCTGTGTGTGTAGGTGTGTGTATGATACATGTTTGTTCACGCCCCGCACCCTCGCCACACCTCCGGTCGTCGCCGCACTCAAACCCGAACCACACCATACCACACCATCGAGCGAAAAAGATCAGAGTCCATCAACCATGATGATAACACTACACAAAAAAGTACACCAAATCCAAACCCCGCCCCACACCACCAAGCAGTAGAGAGCAGGGGAGGGGATGGAGGGGGTGATATTCATATAAACATACATTATATATATATATATACATATATAAATGTATTTGTATATGTGTGCAGGGTATCCCTTCCTGCCCCTTGACCCCGACCCACACACCCCCTCCCGGTCCTGGTGACAGTCGTCGTTTTCGGAAGATGGATGTTCATCTTTACCGCGAATCTCTCTCTCTCTCTCTCTTTTTCTTTCTGTCTCTGTATTTGCATGAAAACTGACATAAAGATACATGTATATACACGCCATTTCCGGGTTGGAAGAGTTGGTGGAAGAAGCCGAAAGTCCTGAAGCTTGTAATCTTCACAGTGGAGACCATACTTACAGATAGCATCTGTTGTATGCCTTTCTGGTAGAACACAGAAGTCATCGCCCCATACACGTAATGTTGCAACCGTTCCTGGGATTTTGAGTTGGCACCGCATAGTGGTTCAAGGAATATGCCGAAACAAAGGGGGGTTGTGCTGTTTCACGGCCACTGAAACCCTAACCTCATGAAGGCCCTAGACCATAAAGTGGAAGTCTACTCAGGGAGGCGCAGACCTCATCACCGATCCCTTCGTGCAGCGCTCGGTTGGGCGCTAGGAGTTCGGCTTTGCCGGGGCTGAAGGCTTAGGGCCTAGTGTGTAGAAGGTGCATGAGTAAGGGCTGTGGGGTCTGGGGCTTGCTGGTTGCTGGTTCAGGGCCCGGGGTTGATTTTCAGATGCGGTTGCCAGGGAGGATGAATATTCCCGCTGGCACTTGGTCAAGAATTGACTACCACTGATCGCCCGTGTTTGTTTTGTTCCTTGTGTGTGTGTGTGTGTGTGTGTGTGTGTGTGTGTGTGTGTGTGTGTGTGTGTGTGTGTGTGTGTGTGTGTGTGTGTGTGTGTGTGTGTGTGTGTGTGTGTGTGTGTGTGTGTGTGTGTGTGTGTGTGTGTGTGTGTGTGTGTGTGTGTGTGTGTGTGTGTGTGTGTGTGTGTGTGTGTGTGTGTGTGTGTGTGTGTGTGTGTGTGTGTGTGTGTGTGTGTGTGTGTGTGTGTGTGTGTGTGTGTGTGTGTGTGTGTGTGTGTGTGTGTGTGTGTGTGTGTGTGTGTGTGTGTGTGTGTGTGTGTGTGTGTGTGTGTGTGTGTGTGTGTGTGTGTGTGTGTGTGTGTGTGTGTGTGTGTGTGTGTGTGTGTGTGTGTGTGTGTGTGTGTGTGTGTGTGTGTGTGTGTGTGTGTGTGTGTGTGTGTGTGTGTGTGTGTGTGTGTGTGTGTGGGTGGTTGAGCATTGCGTGGTTCCATACCTCCTGGTGCCTCTGACAGTGAGGCTTTGTTGTGCCCGGCATGCTTTGCCCTAAGCCTTCAAACTGTCCTAAAAACCCAAACCAGGACCCCTAAAGCCCAAGCCTCACCCGCACTTAAATAGAAACCTAACCCTCGCCCTGTGAACTGGAGGCGAAGGCTGTCGCGAGTTGCTACATGCAGTGCATGGCAGCCTTCACGATCGAGCAGGAGGAGGCCGCTGGACGGTGCTTCTTAGGTCGCTGACTAATACCCCGTTTGCCCTTTTTGTTTGGGGACCTAATTAAAACCCGAATAGTAGGAAAAAGGGCACCCTGATTATAAAGGGGCTACTCAGGAACCTAGCTTCAGTCCATTTATGACAAGTGTCATAGGAAGGGGTTCGGTCTTGCAAATGAAAACGCCTGAAGACTTTGAATAGGATGTGTGCAGCTAGCAAGACTGTTGTTCGGTCCTGTGTGCACGCAGAACTTGCTCAAAACCTGTCTGTCAGTACATAACCATTCCATCGACTCAGGCGATGGCGGCAGCGGCCAGGCTTTCAGTAGCCTCCGCCTTCCCGCTTGGGTCTTCAAGACCCAAGCGGGAAGGCGGAGGCTACTGAAAGCCTTCGACAGCTGCCCTCAGCGAAGGGACGACTTCAGTCCGTCTCCACGGTCCCTTCGTCACTTGGCGTTGCCAAGTTTGCTTCTCACCGCCCTACCCAGTAGCGGACGCTGTCGCTGTTCTGCGCCTTGTGCAGGGTGTCTCGTCAGGTGACTCCTCCGTGGCCCGCTCGCCAAGTTCTCCTGGCAGGAGAACTTGGCGAGCGGGCCACGGCTGCACTGAGCTGCTTCGAAACGCCTCCACCGTCGCCGCCAGCCAAGAACCGCGTGTCCGCCGTGTCCTGGGCCGACCTGGCCGAGCAGGCGCAGCAGGGGCACCGGGAAGGGTGGCAACAGGGTCTATTCAACTCCAGCATGCGCTTGACTCCAGGAAGAGGAGGAAAGTCTGCACATGGCTGCATCCGGCCGGCAACCAGCCCGGGTAAACTGGGCCTGGTGCTGCTGACCCCGATCAAGATGATGCTTAAGAAGCCCTGGAAGTGTCGTATCAACGACAAGAGTATGGTGGTGCGAATGAAGCTGAGGATAACTTGTGCATCTGTTGAACTCTCCGCTGAACGTTGAGCTGATCCTCTAACTGAGGGTTCCCTCGATGGACGGGTTTTGGGGTATGGTATATTCGGTTATTCTATTTAATTTCTATAGTATTTACATACATACACAGAGTATGCATACATATATGTGTATATTAGTGTATACATATATATATATATATATATATATATATATGTATATATATATATGTATATGTATGTGTATATATATATAGAGAGAGAGAGAGAGTGACATTATAATAAGGGACCGTCGAATTCCCTATATTGTATGCTAAGACCGATTTGCTTAAATGGCAGCTGCGTCTAGTGAGGATGTTGGATTTAGTGTAAGCCCCAAGCCCCATAAGTTCATATGGGATCGATCCTGTAAGGGATCCTTTAGAGGGCCGCTAACTGCCAGGCTTCTGAAGTATCGAAGCCAAACCAAATCGGAGTTTTTGCACAATGGCATTACAAGGTCCTAGGGTTTTTGATTCTGCTGCCCGGATTGGGGTACTGCATTTGTGTTGCCAGAACTAGTGCTGCCTGTTGTTGTAGGATCGCGGCGGCATGGCTCGTGATTAGAATTGATTTTGGACGTTATCCAGTTACTCATGAAGCTATCTGCCCAACCTTGGCATCAGTTTACCAACACGGGAAACTAGTTATATCTCTTGTTCCATAAGCCTGTCCCCAAAACAAAACGCAGGTCTCCTTGGGCAGCAATGGCATCGTGGCTGAGCCCTTACTGTCGGCCTGCGAACACCCAGAGCTGTCGATGACCTGCAGCACTTTGAGGCGGGCGTGCAGGTGTTTCAAATGTGGGAGTTTCCGAAAGTAGGGAACCCTAATACAATACCCCAAACAGTAGGATCCTTATAAAAAGCACCCCTAGTTTTCGGAAACTCCCATGTAGATGCCTTGGGCCTTCGGCCATCATCTAGGATGGCCAGGGAGCGCAAGGCTTACCACGATTCGGACAGAAGCCGGCTCGCTGGCTCTGCCGAGGAATCATTCAAGATCGGACTCGATATTTATCTCTAGGCCTCCCTCTTGCATTTTGCAGGACTACCCCCTAAACCCTACACCCTAAACGCTTACCGAGTTGCGCCCGACCCCCAAGTTCTTCAGCCCTGGCTGAGAATGCGCTGGCCGTCGTGATGGAAGAATGTATATGTTCGTAGCACGGATTGATAAGAATCAGAGTTCCAGTGGATGGTGCTGTCAAAGCCCCCCTAAACCCTGCGCCCTGAAAGACCCCGAACGCTGAGAACCCAGAACCCTATGAACCCTTACCCAAAGGCCCCAAAGTAGTTCCTTTCTGGGGTTCATATATAGAATCCTATAAGGTAATCCCAAAAAGGAACTACTTTGGGGCCTCTGGGTAAGCCCTCAACCCTAATAATCCGAAACCCCGAAGTATCGAGGCTCAGATGCAGCGAGCCTGCTTCGATCATCCCGAATATCTGCACGAGCGATCCCATTGGGCTGGTTAGAAGGCGCCTGGTTCAAGTCTTTAGCGGTTGCCGCAGAGCCCATGCCCCCCTTGAATTCAGGAATAGTTAGTTTGAGTCATGTGGGTAGTTTTCTAGATTAGGTTCCTCTTTAGGGTCCTTGTTACAAGGGTGTCGTAGTACTTTGTGGACGTAAAAAGGGGGACCCTAGTTGAGGGAACTACACATGTGAATAAGCAACGGTTATCATTCAAGGGCTACGGGCCTGTCTGGGGCGGCTACGAAGGTTTAGATTAGCTGCTTCTGGCTCGGGGATTATTCTTCCCGGTTTTTGCAGAGACAAAGATACTATGAATCTTTAACCATGATAATGTTGGTAAACCCCTAAACCCTATATAAACCCTAAACCCCTAAACCCTATATAAACCTGAAAACTATATCAACCCTAAGCCCTAAACCCTATACAAACCTGAAAACTATATCAACCCTAAGCCCTAAACCCTTAAAACCTCTGGGCTGCTCCGACTGTCACCGAGGCCGAGGATGGTTTGGCATGCTGCTTCCCGGCTGCCTTGATCCTTTGGCTTACCTTGGGCTAGTAGGGAACGGAGGAATGCGGTACAATTATAAATTAGAACTACTATTACTACCATTCTTCCTTTCCCTACTAACCAAAGGTAAGTTGGGCCTGCCTTCCCTGCTCGGTGTCTAGAATGGTTTAGGCTTCAGGGCTTAGGGTTGAGGATTTAGGGTTTCAGGTTTAGGGTTTAGGACGGTTTTCGGTTTTGGGGATTATGGGTTTGGGGCTTAGGGTTTAAGATTCAGGGGTGTCTAAACGATTTAGGGTAAGGCGGTAAGGCAAAGCATTATATGAAAGGTAGATGTTACAGCCATGCCCGACAAATCATTGCGAAAGTCACAACTTGAGCGACATGGAACATGCGGAGCAGTCCTCCTTGTTTGAAGCAGGTGTTGAATCTGATTACCTATTACCTGGTCCTCACCCGCATAGTAATCAGTATTCCAAATAGCAAGCCGTATATATAGTAGGTAACCTTCAGTAGCCCGCATAAATACAATCGCAGTAGGCCTCATGGTAGCCGGCAATTCTGAGCTTGTCTTGTTCTTCGAGTTTGATCCAGGTCGCGAGCTACCAAAGTCGACCTCACACTCCTTCTTGCAAGCCCAAATGCCACGACGGAGATGATATCTACTGTACTCTGGACAAGACTACGCCACCCCTGAGCAGATATTATGCGGCACTACATTCTGCTTTGCTGTGCCATAGTATACTTACTATGCCATGGCATGGCATGCGATGTGATGGGATGCGATTCCAAGCTGTATTTTACAGCTTGATACTATACGAAACTATAGTATACTATACTACACCATACTACACTATACTATACTATACTAAAGTACACGACACTTGCTGCACAGTGCCGTACTGTCCTGCACTGTACTATCGGTAATCTGACGATATCCAGCACGCTCCTTGCTGGAGTTGCGCACAACGAGCACAGGATTTCTGGACAACAAGGACAGCGGACCCTGGCCACCAGCAGCGGCGGCTCTTTGCATCAATCTATCAAGACAATGCGTCTGCATGCAACATGGAATACGTGGTCCAGGAGATTGGAAATCTGAGATGCGAAGTTTTGGATTCAAGAGGTAGGCCAGGCTCATCGAAGCCCGCCTCTTTGAAGCAGTTGCCAGTGAAGCACTTGAGCCACTTCCCAAAACCTCCAACAGAGAAGTCATAGCCTGTTATGTGCGCCTTGGCCCTCTTGCATGTTCCACTGCGACCAGAACCACACTACTGTCACAAGTACTGTCACTGCTTCTATCAAGCAACCATCATTACTACTGCTGCCGCAACTCCCAATGCTACTACGACTACTACGACTACCACCACGACGACTACTACTATTTGCGTTTGCAGTCACTGCTACTGCTAACCTACTTTTGTGTCCTGGCTCTCCTCGTGTTGCGGTTCCTACACTTCCAGCCAGCATTGGTGACAACAGCCGCGGTCAGCCTAAGAAATGAAGCCCCCAAGTCAGACTGTTGAAAACCCTGAACCCTGAACCCTCTCATCCACACTGTCATCCAAAGTTCCGACACGAAACTGCGAAGCCCGCCAGGAGGGAATCTGCGTGGGTATCACTGGTCGAGCCGATCAGTGCAAGGTGCGCGTCTGAAGTTCTGCAAGAGGGTTCTAAAGCTGTTGGGCCTTCTGGTTCCTTAGGTTATATTCTCTCAGCAGAACCCCGGGAAGCGCACTCGTTTGCGTCGGCCCCTGCAGAACCACCCAGACCACAAAGCCCGACATTGAAAACCCTGCACCGTTGCCTCTGAGGCCACACTGTTGAACAGTTCATGTCAAGGACGTGGACTTTCAAAATGACAGACTAATTCCGAGCGCTTTAATCCTGAACAGAACTGCTTACTGCCTGTTTGTTGGGGTTCGAGATCGGCCCGACTTTATTCAAGTTGCTGATATGGGAGTTTCCGGAAATTAGGGCACCTTGTTTTGGGGTCCTTATACTGAACATCCTACTATTTAGGGTACTGTATTGGGGCCCCTTATTCTCGGAAACTCCCATATGGGAGTTTGCGAAGATGGGGGGACCCTATTATAGTAGGATGCTGACTACCAGGACCCCAAAATCAGGTACCCCTAAATTCGGATTCGGAAACCCCCATATCGGACCTGGGTTCCTTAATGCAAACAACTCTTCTACACCCGTTCCATCATTACAGCACCCTGACCGCAAGTCCTGAATCCCATCCACTAGATTTTAAGTACCTTAATTTGGGGTGGTACGTAGTTATAGGTATAGTTAGCTTTCTTGTAACCGTAGTTACTAAGTATAGTTGCTTTAGGGTTATAAGCATTTGTAGTTCTAAGTACAGCTACCTTACTTATAACCGTTACTAAGTAACCATGAGACTCAAAGTAGCGTGATTGGGGTTATAAGTAGTTGTAGGTATAGCTACCTTACATATAATCGTGCTTACTAAGTAACCCCATTATACCTTTCTTATGACCGTAGTTACTAAGTAAGCATTATAGATGCTAAGTACTCGTAGTTATAAGTAAAGTTACCTTTTTACAAACTTAGTTACGAAGTAACCATTAGAGTCTAAGTGTCTTGATTGGGGTTAGAGGTAGGCATAGGTATAGTTATCTTCGCTTAGAAGCCTAGTTACTAAGTAACCATCAGATGCTAAGCACTCGTAGTTACAAGCATAGTTACCTTACTGACAGCCATAGTTGCTAAGCTATTGGATGCAGAGGCGAACCTGCTTGGACCGGACCTCTCTGGGCCCGAGACTTGCCAAGGAGCTGGAGGGAAGGACACCGAAGGGCTGGGAGACCCAAACCCTAGGTTTAGGTGTATACACACATATATGCACATACAGAGGTGTATGTATTATGTATATTATATATATATATATGTGTGTGTGTATATGTGGTCTGCTGATATACATATGTGTACATACATATATATATATATATATATATATATACATATGTTCACACGGTTGCACGTGCATGCATCTAGGTAGCTATGTAAGTTTGCATGTATGTACGCATGCATGTACATGTTGTGTGTATATGTATGTTGACATACATACGTACATATATACATATGTACATATATATATGTACATATATATATATATATGCATATACATATATATATATATATATATACACACATATATATATATGCATATGTATGCGTTTGTTTATGACTGGATGGACGCATGGGCGGATGGATTGACGGATTGATGGATGGATGGATGCATGGATGGATGGATGGATGTGTGTGTATGGATGCATGCATGCACGTACGTATGTTTGTTTGTTTTGTTTGTGTGCATGTATGATTGTATGTATGCATGTATATTTGTATCTTCGTATGTATGAATGCAGGCAGGTAGGTATGTATGTCTGCCGGCCCGTACGTGTGTATGTATGCTTGAATGAATGCATGCACGGATGCATATGCTTGTGTCTAGTTCGGGACGAGGCGGTGTAGGGGAGGCAGGTCGAGGAGCCTTCCCTGAGCAGGCTTCCGGAGCAGCGTGCCTGAAGCAGTGTGCGGAGGGCTACTACATCGAAGCACAGGACCATACGGAGCCTCAGGGGGGGTAGGGGGAGGGGGTGTAGGGGGCCTTAATGTCCATAACAAGGAAAAGGCCTATTCAAGGAAGTATAGTCCCCTCCCGCCTACCCCCCTCCAGGGGTCATTATGACAGGAAGACGGTCCCAACATTGCCATGGCCTATCCGGTGCAAAGGGTTTGTACATGGAGCAAGGCCGACGATGTTGACTTCATTGACGCTGAAGAGTGCCCCGATGTGAGGCTGGTTTGTGCCGAGCCTTTTGGCGTTTTCCCCAATGCCTGCAGTGGCACGGCCCATTTGGCGAAGCAATGGTTCGTCTCCTTCTACTCCTTCAGCAAGGAAACGGCTCCTGGCACCTTCGAGACCTCCCTGCAAACAAGGGTTGTGGTGGATCGAGATACTACTTGCGCCGGGACCTACCAGAGCCACCGCTGCAACCCTAGAAACTGAAAGTCCACTCCTAGCTTTAACAGAAGATGTGCTTTTGTTGTTTGTACGTATGCTTTTCAGTTTAGTTTAGGTTCCTTTAATCGCAAGTAGCAGACCTCTTCGTATTTTGGTGTCCTCTTTTTTGCCCAGGATCTCGGAAGGATCCTGCTTGGGACTGGCCTTCGGCTTCCCAGGCGCTAAGGCCGCGCTGGCTCCGCCCCGGCCCCCCGAGATTCCGAAGATGCCAGCGGCCTTTCCCACCGTCGGAGAAGAGGAGGTGCATTTCAGGGTATCTAGAGGCCTAAATCATCACGTACTCTTTTGGGATTCCGTATTTTATAGGTCTAGTATAATTAATGGGCCCCGAAACCGTATTCTAATCATTAAGGAGCTTCCAGAGGGCTCAAAAAGCCATGTTTAGGGAGGCATGGGGCTTGTGAGGATTACAATTTTATGCTTGTGCAGCTTTCCTTCAGAGCTACGTACAAAATATGGTTTCGGGGCATGCTGGCCCACACTCACACCACGCGTCGCGGTTGAGGTTCCATTAATAAAGGCTTGGACCTAGTCTTCAGCATGGGTTTGATCCACAAGTGGAGCAGGGTCGAGGATTGCCTTACTGAGTGGAGCAAAGGCGTGTTTGACAGGCCGGCGGACTGCATCACGGGCTGAACGGAACATGGCCTTGGGCCCTATCTGCCCCAATTTACGGGGCCCTTTGTGCAGGACCCTGCGTGGAGAGCCACGCCACTACTGCAACTCATTAAGGCTCGAACCCTGAATCCCGAATAGTGAAACCGAAAATCCAAGGGTAAAAGGAGGGACCCTTCATTAATAAGGACCCCTAGGTATATACCCTTAATATAGCTATTATATACCCATTGTTTAGCCCATTGTAGGGGTCCCCATGAAGGGTCCCTCCTTCTCCCCTTTGAGAAAATGCAGCCAGTCAGGCCGAGGTTTCAACCACAGCCAGACCGCTCCTGGGAACCGAAGACAAGAATGCCTTCGTTTGGGTGCCTGGGCTTCGCTGGGTCTTCACCTTGATGTCGCAGCCTTGTGGTGGAACTTACCTTTGGTTAGTAGGGAATGGAGGAATGGGGTACAGTTATAACTACTGATACTACCATTCTTCCTTTCCCTACTAACCAAAGGTAAGGGAAAGGGCAGGACGTGTGGTTTCAGGGCTCAGGAATCAGGTTTTCATGTGCGAGCATGGCCAACGGCCCTCGACCCTAAACTAGAAACCCTCAGGCCAAAACCCTAAACTCAATCCCTCAAGCCCCAAAGACCCTAAGCTTGCAATTTCCAAGACATGGAGCCATAGGGCTCATGATCTTCGGATGGCGACCGGAAATTCCTTGAAGCTAAATGTTCCTAAACCCTAAATCCCTAAACCCTAAACCGTTACATGGAAGTTCGAGCCCACTCCTGACTTGAGTCCAGGCCGTGAACCATGGTTCAAATCTCCAATGCCCCTTCATATGGGTAGTTGTCAAAATTATGGTCCCTTTCTGGGTACCTTAAATAGGTGCCGTATTATAAGAGTCACCCAAGAAGGGACCACAATTTTGACAACCACCCATATATTACTCCTAAAGCCCTTGTCCTTTTCCCAAAAACTCTCTTAAAGTACTCCCAATAAAGCCCTTAGCATATCCCCCCAAAATCACTGAACATATTCCTCAAATTAAGGGCTTGGCAGCTCCCAGGGCATCCCACGGCCCGAACGCCAGGTCGTGAGTGGAGTCGTGGTTGTTTTCGTGGCCTTGTCGGCCGTGATCCTTCGCTGGAATCGACTGAGCAATCATAGGTCCTCTCAGGAGATTGGCAGAGAAATCGAGCTGCAAAGTGCCACGCCCTTCTGAGCAAAAAGGCTGGATTCCGCTGCTGTTCGCTCTGCATACGTCTGCTTTTGAACGCCGCATCCGTCGTAGGGCCTTGAAGAAAAGGCTAATGTAGTGGCCTTCATATTTATTTACAACCATAGTATAAACATACCTCCGAACCCTAATCTAAATTAAGGCCCCTACATTAAATCCTTATAATAGCCCTTATAGTAGCCCTTATAGACCCCTTTAAAAAGGAACCCTATTCTAAATTAAGGCCCCTACATTAAATCCTTATAATAGCCCTTATAGTAGCCCGGATAGACCCCTTTAAAAAGGAACCTGACTCTAAATTGCATTATAACCCCATGTAGTGCCCTTAAGGGAACCCTATTCTAAATTCAGGCCCCTACATTGTAACCCTCACATAAAGCCCTTAAGTTCTAATCATTAAGGCCCCTTACGTGCAAGCCCTCGGGAGGCCGAACTGCGACAGGAAGCGGAGGAGCTGGATCTGGAGGAGGCTCAAAAAGGATTTCTTGTCTCAGCTTCTTATCGGCTTGGGATTAATTAAGGTCTTAGGGTCTTTAGGGTTTTGGGGTTTTGAGCTTCTTATCGGTTAGGGATTAAGGTATTAGCTTACCTTTGGTTAGTAGGGAATGGAAGAATGGTAGTAATAGTAGCTATAATTGTACCCCATTCCTCCATTCCCGACTAACCAAAGGTAAGTTAGGGCTTTGGGGTTTTGAGCTTCTTGCCGGTAAGGGATTAAGGTCTTAGGGTTTTGGGGTTTTGAGCTTCTTATCGGTTAGGGTTGAAGGTATTAGGGTTGTTAGGGTTTTGGGGCTGTTAGCATTTGGGGTTTTGGGGCGGGTTTTAGGGTGTTAGGGTGTTTAGGGTTTCGGATTTCGGGCTTACCCCCTAAGAAGCATATACAGAACGATTTGATATCTGGTGGCTTTTAGCTAATTAGGGCGTAGGGTATATGCATCAACCGCCCAGGACAGCTTCACAGAAATCCTAAGCCGTTATAAGCTGTGTAAACTCTCAATCCTGAACCCTAGACCCCCAAACTGCCTCGAAATCTGGGCCGAGCCCGTGTTTGAAAGGCTTTGGCCCAGAGGCGCTCAGGGCGTGGCCAGGCGACCCGAGCAGCAAGGGTGATTATTTGTAATTCCTCACAGTAGTTGTCTCGGTTTCGGTTTGGGGTTTCGGTATGGCAAGGAATTCAGATTATGCTGGCCTTTTTGCATCAAAGAATTGATCGGTTTGGTGAGGGTGCAGAGATCTCGGGTGTTGAGTTTTTTGTTTGGGTCAGTTTGGGCGTTGGGTGTGCGGCTTTTAGGGTTCTGCTGGGGCAGGATGACATCCTCTCCTCGCCCGGCCCTAGTATTGGTACAGAAGAAGCGGCAGTGGTAGCGGTGGTGGTAGTTCTGTTGGCAGCAGTCTAGTAGCAGTAACAGCAGCAGGAGCAGGAGTGGCGGTGCTGGTGGTGTTGTCGTAGTAATCAAAGCTCGAAGTGGAGGCCGGCTTCGGCCCGCAGCATCCGCTCCAGCGAACTCGTCGCAGGCTGTTTGTCAAGGCACCGGGCGACATTGGGGCCATAAGGGCTCGGAGCTCGCAGTTTAGGCTTGGGGTGTAATTAAAGTCTATGTTGTGAGGTTCGATGAGGCCTGGAATGGGTTTTTGATTGAGGTCATGGAAACGGGGGCCCGGTAGTTGTGAGATACAAAAAAGTATACATACGTGTGTGCACATATGTATGTATGTATATATATATATATATATACATATATAGATGCACCGAGGGAAAGAGAGAGAGTGTGTGTGGGAGAGAGAGAGAGAGAGCGAGAGAGAGAGAGAGAGAGAGAGATTGCATTTAGTTTTTCGCAGGGTCTCGATAATTCTGTATTTTTCGACCCTATGAGGTAGTACAAGGTGAGGTTTTCTGACCTTGAGCACGCTCCAGGTTTTGAGCGCGGTCAGAGTGTTCCTTGTGTGTTGCGGTCGTCTTGTCCAACAGCAGTCCGGGTCTTCTCCCCTTGTGGGTTTCGTAGCATCCTGATGGCTACCCAAACCCACCAAAGGAGGTAAAATAATGGCCGAATACCTAAAAAAGGCGATTATTCTATGTACTTTTGGGGTCCAGCTATTGTCCAAGTTCAAGGATGGCGATTGTCTGGTACTAGGGCCACACGGAGTACTCAACTGCAAAACTGGAAGCTCTCAGATCAACCGAAAGAAACAGCACAGATCTGCGGATCAATGTGACAACCATTCTCGACGAGCTAGCAGTTTTTGCTTGCGCCTGGCCACGCAGACCTGCCCAGGCTTTGATTCGGCGAGTGCGCTCGAGTGCCCTTTAAAGCCCTAAAGCACCAGCAAGATGGAAGTTCATGCCTGAAACCTTCAACAACATGGCCGAATCACTTCCCTGACAAGCCCCGGAAGCGCGCACTTCCCTCAAACCCTCAGCCCGTCTTCCCGGAACCCGAAGCAGCGGTAATCCTGACAGTTGTACTTCCCCTTATAGAACCCGAAAGCCTTACAATCCGAAACCCTATAACCTGCATCCGAAACCCCAAGCCCGAAACCTTAAACCCTGAACCCTTAACTCCAAAACAGATCTTGCTTCGTCGCTCGGCGGCCCTGGAAGTCTTGGGTAAGACGGACGAGAGCCTCGACGACCTCAACGCCGCCGGGGCCTCGCATGTCGTGTTCGGGGTTTCAGGAGGGCTTTACGGTGTGGGCATTTCAGGGATTAATTATAAGGCTTCACATAGGGGCCGAAATAATTACCAGTACGACTGTGGGGGGTCCTTATTATACATATAGTATAATGGGCCCCAAAACCCTATTCTAATTATTGAGGCTCCTATATATAGTGCCCTTATGGTAACCCTTATATAGAGCCCTTTATAAGGGAACCCTGTTCTAATTACTAAGGCCCCCTATATTATTCTATTACACCGGGGCGGTAGATCCTGGGGCCTCGGTAAAATTCACAGCGCGGCTTCCGCTGTGGATTACATTGTGCTACTAGGGTTTAGGGTTTAGGGGTTTAGGGTTTAGGGGCTACAAATGAGAGTTTCCGAAAATTGGGGGTACCTTATTTTGGGGTCGTCCTTATAATAAGGATCCTACTATTTAGCGTGCTATGTTAGGGTCCCCGATTTTCGGAGACTCCCACAAATCATCAAAGAGGCGGTGCGACAGTATGATGCTACTAACTAGGTTTGAGGGGACCGGGTCAGCGCAGCCAGAAGTCAATTCCTCTGAGTCCGAAGGCGAGTTCTTCGACCTAAGGTTTCGCAGCTCCAGAATGCTCGAAGACTCTGTCCCCAAATGTCCAAGTAGTCCCTATTTATGGTTTTTGGTACCCAAAACGGACCCACAGTCCTACAATAGGTAGTACTTGGACCCTTAGGGTGTGCGTTGCTTGCCTTCCGTGTTCTGCTTCTTACGAGGGAGGTAGGATCGCAGTTGCGAGATTGCAGCCGATTGAAGCCATCGCCCCTCAGCCGTCTAAACCGGAATGATCTAGTGCAAATACGTTGACCCCTACCCAAACCCCCCAAAGTAGATGAAATAATGGCCCAATACCTAAACTTTCCTAAACGGATATTATTCTACATACTTTTGGAGTCCAGGCAAGACCTTACCCCTAACAGAGACCCTTATGCACCCACCCAGGCCGGAACAGAACTGCCTCCCTTCGGGGGGGTCGTAGCATTCAATGCTCAAAGCCAGCTTCTCCAGGATTTCGGTGGATGGTGTTGCACACGGCGTTTGGTCTTCAGTCGATTCTCTCTTGGCGAGGGGTGTGTGCATGGAAGGGCTGTGGGCAGTGGGCTCTGTTAGGCCAAAGGGTGCAGGATCGATGAGCGATCTAATGACAATGTCGAAAGCCGGCACACGCAGGCCATAAGAGGCTGCATACCTGTGCCCGTGTGGGTGTTCCTAGGCGCTGACGTCTTTTCAGGCGGTTGCTTCGAGGTGTTAGTCGGATGACAGAGCTGCTGAGTCGCTCGAAGCCAAGGGCATGATCGGAGTAGGAACCTATAGCAGTCAGCGAGGCAGCCAGACCAACCGGAACACCAAGAAGTTGGTAGATGCAGACATTCACAATGAGGGCCAGGGCCTGTTCAGTCAAGACGACAGCTGCAGCCAACTGAGCAGTTGCTCTGAATTGCGGCAAGTAGAAAAGCATTAGTCAGTAGCAGCTCAGAATAGTAAGCACGCTGACTGTCCTAACTCGTGCAAGGTGACAGTCCTGCAACATGTCTGATAAAGATACGGTCCATACTGACAGAAAGGCAAGCACCAAGAAGGATGTACTTCTATGACAAGTAGCAGCGGGAACACGAATGCACATGAGCAGCAGTGCTAGTAGAGCACTTTCACGCCAGCAACGCGGCCGCTCGGTCCCTGTGCACAAGCAATGGCTCTGCCGATGCGGCTACAGGAAGCCGCTCGCCTATGAGATCCGAGGACCTCAGGATTTCGGTTCTGGGCTTTCGGGGTTTCAGTTGGGACCATACTTGGTTTTACGACAGAAGAGGGCACAGGAAAAGGAAGGGTCGTTTTGTGATGGGCCCAAGCCAAAGCTCAACTCGCCGAATCCTACAGAGAGGATCTAGTCGTTTTGGCTATTGACTCCTGCAGTGCTGACTAAACGGCAATCTGCTTGAACAGTCCAACATCAAGAGGATTGGTTGCTCCCTTCTCTGAGATTAGGCTCTTATGAGTCTTATGTGAGTATGAGAAGTGGTCCAGCGGCGTCCTCCGGTGAGTGTTCAAGCCTAAAGCCCAAAACTCCTGAAGCTTCCACACACGAAGAGTCCAAGCAGCACCTCGAAACGTCGAAGGCATGACCGAAGCAACAAGGGTGATAATACGGCACCTGATACTTAGGGTACCCAAAAAAGGACCTTCTTTTTGACAACTACCCACAAGAAGTCTTGCATCCGAGGCTCTGAAGCGCTATGACCAAGCGGACCCTCGGCCGCAGTTTCTGGGTGCTCCAACACAAAACCCTGGGTTTTTAGGCTTGAGGGTTTATAGGGCCCTGAGTCCTAAACCCCGAACTCTTCGGAGAACCGACAGAGTGCCTCCAGCCAGAGAGTCCTTGAGGTCTCCCAAGAGGTAGGATATTTCAAACAGTAGTTTGAGCATGTTGCTTGATACTTACACCTCTGGAGAGGTGGAACAGTGGACCCTAGGAACTTGCGCTATCTATATATATATATATATATATATATATATTTATATATATGTATACATTACAATGTCTATACATATATATATATATATATATATATATGTATATATATATATATGCTCACCCCCCCCCCATGACAGACCGTCGTGGGAAGGGGAAGGGTGGCGTGCGTCCCCAGGCAGGATCTGTCAACGGATAGGCGACAGACACTTCTCCCAAACTCAATTCCAAAATGTTCTTTTAGATGGTTTGCAATTTTTGGAAATTTCTTCACATGCATGCAGCGCTCCTAGTCCCAATCTTAATCTCAATTCTGCTCTTCGTACCACTATTACTGTTTGTAGATCTTAATTCTTGTATCAGTGTTAGCATTAGTATTAGTTTTGTGGTAGTATTGATATTAGGATGTTTAGTATTCGTAATAGTATTCGAATTAGTATTACTCTTAGTATTAGCATTAAGTATGTGTATTGATGTTAATAGTAGTAGTCGTCGTACTAGCAATAGTTGTCGCACAGTAGTAGTAGTGGTAGCATTAGTATTGGAATTAGTATTAGTATGAGTATTAGTAGTAGTATTAGTGACTAGTATGAGTATCAGTATTAGTTTTAGTATTAAGTATGTGTACTAGTAGTAGTAGTAGTAGTAGTAGTAGTAGTAGTAGTCGTCGTAGTAGCAGTAGTAGTAGCAGCAGTAGTGGTGACATTAGTATTGGTATGAGTATGAGTATTAGAATTAGTAGCTAGTATTAGTACTAGTATTAGTGTTAGGATTAATATGTATTGTTCTTGGTTCTATTCTTAGTACTGCTGTCATTGTTTGTAGTAGTCCTAATCCTGGTATCAGTGTTCATATGAGTAATAGTTTTGTGGTAGTATTGATATTAGGATGGGTATTGCTTTAGTACTAGTATTGGTATTGGTATTTAGTATTAGTATTAGCATCAGTATTAGTATTAGTATTGAATAAAAGTATACATATCAATAATAGTAAATATGAACTCGTGATTATGTTCGTGCTGGTGTTAGTGCCAGTGTCGATGTCAATGTCAGTAATAGTACTCGTGTTAGTATTAGTATCAGTCTGAATGCTGGTTTTAGTATCTGTTTATTATTCACAGAAGTGCTGGTATTAGTATCAGTATTAGAAATAGTTTTGATATGTGAATATACTGATTGATTCGTACATTTTGAGCTTAATATAATACAGTAATGTATTCGAACAATAGTATATTTGCATAGTTGAAGATTGCGTGAATATATTAGTACGTTAGTGCATGAGTACATTAGTATATTGGTGTATCATGATATTCGTATGTTAACATACTAGTATATTAGTATATTATTATAGTGGTCTATTACTACATTTACTATATTCGTATTCTAACTAATAGCTTATAGGTATATCAATATGTTGGCATAATGGCATGTGAACATGTCAGTGTACTTGCCTTTTACAGTATTCGTATATTAGTACACTAGCATATTTAGTGATAATTAGTGTTAATGCCAGTGCCAATGTCGATGTCAGTTTTAATCAGTCTTAATGATGAATTTAACATCAGTGTAATATTCGCGGACGTGCTAGTATGCGTATCAATACTATAATTAGTTTTGATATATTAGTATACTGATAGATTATATAAACAGCTTAGTATACCAACACATTATAATGTATTCGAACAGTAATATGTTTGTATACCTGTATGTTTGTATGCTCTTAGTATATTAATGCATGCGTACGTTCGTGCATGAGTACATTAGTATATTGGTGTGCTATTATCTTCGATTATTAACATATTAGTGTATGAGTATCCTGGTATGCTACTTCATTTATCATATTCGTATATTATCTAACAACTTTTTTGGTATATCCATATGTTAGTATACCATTGCCATGTGTCAGTGTACTTGCATATTACAGTGTTCGTGTCTTAGCAAGTTAGCATATCAATACACTATAATAATCAGACGTTAACAAGTAGTATATTGTCACGTTGGAAACTGGGTATATGACAAATTAAATACGAATATACTACGTTAGTACACGAATGCATTGATATATTTGCTTTTCAGATAGTGGTATGTATATCTGCGGACATTAGTATACGCAGGTGTCTGTTAGTATTGGCATTAATATCAATATGAATATGACTATTGGTAGGCGTAGGAGTATTAATGTTAATAATAGTATTAGTAATGTGCATATTCGTAATAAAAGCATTAATATAAATGTCAACGTTAGTGTTAAAAGCACTACACAGTAATCTTACTTGAGTCATATATAGAGCAGATTCCAGCATTTCCAAAATTTCAAAAAATTCTCTCCCCTAACTTTCCGGATTTCCAAAATTTCCAAATTTCCAAAATTTCCAAAATTTCCCGACCTAGTCGACAGGATTTTTCCAAAACATAAGGGCGGACTTTTTGGAAATTTTGGAAATCCGGAAAGTTAGGGGAGAGAATTTTGGAAATGCTGGAATCTGCTCTATATATGACTCAAGTAAGATTGCTGTGTAGTGCTTACTATGTAGTGTATCAGCACAACCCTCATCCATACACGTGTGCTCTGTGATTCCTTTCTTGGTAGGACACCCGCGCGCCTTATCGTGCTGCTTTCTGGTCTCAGTCTTTTGGTGGTTCCAGGGATACGTTCGGAGGGCTCAAACTCGATACCCCGGAAAAAGCACGAACACGCCGGTGGGAGCGATGTTTTGAAGGGGATGGTCTGTCATGGGGGGGGGGGGGGGGACCATATATATATATATATATATATGTATATACACACATAGATTGGCACAGCTTTGCACTGCAAGGTGCTTGCCCTACACTAGGTAGCTAGCTCGGTAGATACATACCGGAATACACACATGTGCACGCACGTTCGATCGTTTGTTCAGTCGTGCAATCAGGCGTACGTGCACAGGTAAATGCATTCATGCATACACTCGCGCTACAGGTTCCTGTTTTGTCATCCCGTGGAAGCTTCTCTCAGTGATTGAACCGGTGCGACCTCGTACTGGGCTTGGAAGGCAGAGGTTCAGCTTTCGAGAAAGAGAGCTTTACTATAGGGGCCTCAATAATTACCAATGCTATTTTGGGGATTCCTTATTATAATTATAGTATACTGGGCCCCGAAACCCTACTCTAATTATTAAGGCCCCTACATTAGGTTGAGGCTACAACCCCGAAGCCTTTCGAACTTCATCTCTCTTCGCCAGCTCTCGACACGACCGTTGGCCGCCAATGCGGTCACATCGGCTTTGGTTCAAAGTCTGGCCGAGGCAGGCAGCATAGCCCCAAATCCTAAACGCTTAAGCCTTTATTCTCGTGACTCATAGCCCTAAAGCTACTACTGCTTGAACCGTAGCGGGTTCCGGGTGCTGTAGTTGTCAGCCCGAACCGTGGAACTTCTCGAAACCTAGACCTGGACCAGTGGCACCTTGACACCTCTGGCACCTGCACGCTCTCCTACCCTAAGAGCTCTCCACTTCACAGCAGTTTGGTGTTCGTCTGATTTCGAAGATGTTGGGTCTCGGGTCTTCGATTTGATGCTTTTCATTCATTCAGTCAGAGCGAAAAATAGGCTTTCATCAGATTCCAACAGCCTCATACCCTGGAGGTGTTCCTTGTCTACGCATTCAATGCAGATGGGGCACTTCATGGGCCCGACTTCAGCCAGAAACCCTGAACCCTGAAACGCTGATCTCCACAACCCGAAGCCCAGAAAGCTCACGAAGCAGGCACTAACACCAAAGTCTTGCATACGATAAGGTGTAGCGAGCGCAAAGAGCAGATTTCCGACTTTGCGGTTGTGACTTAACTTCGATTCGTTAGGCTTCGGTGGAGTTTAATTTCGGGGGTTTGGAGTGAGGAGTAATCAAGCCATGTCGTCGCAAGCGCAGAGTAGGAATTCAAGGCTGCCAGTTCGTTCTGGACCTAGGAATTCGACAGTCGGTAGAAAAGCTTGGCAGGCGGATTCAGGGATGCAGGTTTTGAATCACTGTGGTGCTGCGCCACTGGGGCTCCTGTGCAGTCACGAGTTTGTTGTGCAGGCTCGGCAGTGGATTGGGGATACGGTGGTGAGAACCTGCATGTCGACTCGTAGACTGTCTGAGAAAGGTATACGGTGTGATGCGAGGGGTCCACGCGCCTCCTTGAACGTTTCGCAATGCGCGACGTTGTAAGATGAAGCTTAAGGAGTCTTGCGGATGTCATTCAGGTCGTCGTCGAACTTGAGCAACCGAAGCACTGAAGCTCCGGTGTTTGTTTTTTCGTCGACGTCAAGTACACTGCGAACCACGAAAGCCCCCGAGCAGTTTGGGAGTCCTGCTTGATGCGTGGAAACAGTTCAGCTGATCAGTTGCGATGAGGTGTTGTGCTATGGTACGTCTCCCTGACTGCTCCGTGCAGGTAATCCGCCAGCTCCTGCAAGAAAAGGCGCGGGTAAGTCAACTCCCGGCAGAAGAGTGATCAAGTCCGTTTCGGATACGAGAAGAAGAGATGCTAAACATTGGCCTACATAATTAATAGGTAGGGCTTTGGGACATTTCACATTCCCTCTTATTGGGCTTAGGAGGATCTTATTTACTAATGTTTTTGAAGGCTTAAAGGCCCCACCTAGATTCCTAGATTACCGTTACATACCTGCAGCTCGGTGCATGTTCTATGACTGCGAGCGCGAGATGCGCTTACCCCCAACAGCAGAGCTTCCGCACCCTGCAAAGAAAATCAAGCCGTCGTAACCCGACGACAGAAATACACGCGCACACACACACACACATGTGTCATGCAGGACCCTGGTCAGAGGCCATACTGAGGTTTCCTCCCCAGCAACTTTTGTCTTCGGAGGAACGTTGGACACAAACGTGACTGTCTCACCAGACCTGAAGGCCTTTAGCCCCACTCCCACACACCTCAAGGCACCCAAAGTGCCGAGCCTGATCCACCAAATGATCATCGGCAGCCACACCGGCATAGCTGGGGCTTCTCCTCGCAGCTGAGGGCTTGGATGCGTGGAACCTTTTACGGGTTTAGGGGTTTAGGGTGTAGGGGTTGAGGGTTTTAGCACAGGGTTTTTTGGCCTTGGGTTCTCTTCTGAAGCTGCTCGGGGCTGGCTTCGCACTCTGAGGAGGTGTAAGTTGGTGTGTTTCGGACTCGCGACTTAGGGGCTGAGGACTGTGCGTGCCAGCCCGGGGAACCGGCACTTTGTCTGGTACTTGTGTAGCTAACTCATATAATGTATCCCCACCACCGCCACCGCCACCGACACAACCACCGTTACCGCAATTCCACCGCCACGCTCACCAGCAAGGCCACTCCACCACCACCACTACCACCACCGCCCGCCGCCACCTTTCCACGACCTTTCCACCACCACCACCACCACCACCACCAGATCGCGATCACGATCACGCTCACAGGCGCCAGCATCAACAAGCGTTTTTGTTGCTGTTAGATGCATTGCCACTACTCTTCCTGTTTGCGAATGCTGCAGTGTCTTGTTATCACCATGAGATCTCTCTCAATCGCTCCCTGTTGCCTCGAATAGTAACTGACAGATTCTGATCATGGTTGCAGCAAAAACCAATCATATCTGCTATGGTTACTAGACGAGAAGGTTATAGCCGCTATCGAAGCAGTTTATCACACACGGTAAACACAAAACCTCAAACCCTGAGCACCTTAAACACTCTGAAGGGAGCACCCTCAATCTGAAAGGGCCCATTATACTATAATTATCGGTAATTATTAAGGCCCCAAGAGTACCCTTTATCTGAAATAGGCCTAAAGGCTGCTGCATGTGTGCCAGGCTGTGTTGTGGCGCCTCTTTCTACTGCTGCTTGGCTCGAGCTAGGCTTCGAGGGCTTGAGGGCTTAGGGCCAATGGGTGTGGGATTTTAGGTTCAGGGCGTTCCGGGGTCAAGGTTCAGGGTTTGGGGCTTAGTGGGTAGGGTTTGGGGGTTATAGGGCTTAAGGGAGTCGACAGGGCGTCGGCTTGTGCCATACTCGGTTTTGGCGCTTAGGCTTTGGGGCTCAAGCTTTCGATGGCCCAGGCTTTGTCCTGCCCTTCTGCGAGGTGTTAAGCCAAGACCCCCTCCAAATGAATTTCCTATTCTCTTCGTGGTATGAAACTATAGTGTAGGTGTTGCAGTCCTGCAGGTTGGAAGAAGTTCCCGACACTGGCAGTCATGCATCTGCCAAGCTACCTCATATCTCCGGGTCACCAGCATGCCTAGCTCACCCAGCGCCCAATTCCTCACTAGCAGTTGTATAGTTTTTACAATATGGATAGGTAAGGCCCATGATCCTACCCCATTATAGACTACTACAAACCATAGACTATTCTAGACATCAAAAACTCTAAAGCCTAAACCCCTAAACCCTGAACCCTAAACCCTGAACCCCTAAACCCTTGAGGTTTGGTTCTCCTTCCTGGAGGCACGCTTCACATCCTGGCCTCCGGGTAACCTCGGGACCGGGCCTCTCGAGCTTTTATGGGTTTAGGGTGTTTCGGGTCTAGGGGTTTAGGGTTTAGGTTTTTGGGGTTTAGGGTTTGTTTGGGGGTGTATAGGTGTCTAGGCTTTAGGGGAGTTAGTGATGGGACTGTGCCGCGAAACAAGGCTTACACGCTTTGGCTCATCTCTCTTTGCATTGCCCGTTTCTGTGATGATGACGGTGATGACGCAGAATCTGTAGCCAGGATCATTGTGTTCAGTAGTATAACTTTGACATACATTGTTCGCGCGGGGTTCGATATGGGACGGAAGATCGTTTCTGAGCTTCTTCAGCACGGACCCAGATATCCGCAAATGAGGGCGATCTCAAGTTCCTCATTACTACAGCCTTTTGACACCACGAAACTAGAAGCCGCAGTCTTGGCACAAGGACCCTTCAAAAGCTGCATCTCTAGTTTTGTGAAACTCTTACTTCGGGCTGGCGGAGGACGGTGCTGGCGAAGACAGCGTGTGGGCAGGCAGAGCTTCGGGAATGAGGGTGCACTTGGTGTTATTCTAGATTAACGATCGGGTTATCTTAGGATTATTTCCGGTACTGAGGGCAGCAAAAGTTTCAGGACGTTAAGGCTTTGAGCTTGGGTCCTAAACGGTGTAGAGTTTCGGGTCAATGTCCATGCTTCTTATAGATGTCTGAGCCGAAAGTCCGATAGTAACAGTATACTGTTATAGTCGCTATGTAACTGTACCATAACTCTCCCACAAAGACTGTGCTAATCATGCATTAGCAAGCGCTTCGGGTTGCTCGGCTTGGTTCGGTGCATTTTCTTGTGTTGGTACCTGACTAATGTAGGGTTTAGAAGGACGCTTTGTTTTTCGTATTCGCTGTCGCTTCTGCGATTTGCAGACCTTCTTCGCGCCGACCATCAACACCTGCTGCTGGGCATCTTTGTTGCTGCAATCCTGGTAAGAATTGGGACATCTTCAGTTTAAGAGTTGTTACAGGAATCCTGATATTAACTAAGGACAAATGTAGGGTCAAGATTGAGCGATTCTATTCCCACTAACCTTCTCCGAGTCCTTCACCTTCATGGCCAAGAGGACCTTTGGAGAGTGCTTTATAAAGTCATGCAGGGTGGACTTCCCGGACTTTCCGTTGCGGGATCAGGGAGATGTCGAATCCTAAGCGCAACCGCATCAGAAGGATTGGTAGCCAGAGCTGTTGCATTTAGACCAAGAAAAACACTGATAGCAAGGGCTGAAACTTTTATCCTTCCACAGAGCTTGCACGACTGACGACCAGGTGATGCTGTGAACGCTGACAATGCTAGGCCCGCAATAAACCCCTAAACCCCTAAACCCTTAAACCCCTAAACCCCTAAACCCCTAAACCCCTAAACCCTTAAACCCCTAAACCCCTAAACCCCTAAACCCTTAAACCCCTAAAGCCCTAAACCCCTAAACCCCTAAACCCCTAAACCCTTAAACCCCTAAAGCCCTAAACCCCTAAACCCCTAAAGCCCTAAACCCTTAAACCCCTAAACCCCTAAGCCCCTAAACCCTTAAACCCCTAAAGCCCTAAACCCCTAAAGCCCTAAACCCCTAAAGCCCTAAACCCTTAAACCCCTAAACCCCTAAACCTCTAAACCCTTAAACCCCGAAACCCCTAAACCCCTAAACCCCTAAACCCTTAAACCCCTAAACCCCTAAACCCCTAAACCCGAAACCCTTAAACCCCTAAAGCCCTAAAGCCTCATCTTGCCTTCATCATATACCAATTATATAGCCCATTATAGGGTAGGAGTCCCCATTAAGGGTCCCTCCTTCTCCCCTCTGAATAGAGTTCTAAAGCCTCATCTTGCTCTCCTCATCTTCAAAGCGGAAATTGGGACCTGAGCTCTGCTCGAGGCTTCATGGGCTCTCAGGGACTGCTCGAGGGACGAAGGCCCGGAGCACCTCGGTCCTACCTGGGGCTTAGCTTAGTCCTACGCTTTATTAGACCCTAATTAGGCCCCATATTTGGGACATATACCCCTGCTTAGCTTAGTCATACCTAAACCCTACCTAGACCCTCCATCCACGCTTTAGTAGACCCGAATTAGGCCCCTTCTTTGGGACCATATGCCCCTGTTTGAGGGTACTAAGGAGGGTCCTGGTAAACCCTAAATCGTGTGTGTTTCTGTTTGGGGGTCCGTGTGTCTGACGGTCTGCTTCGACCAGCGGTTTGCGTTGATCGTCTGTCTGAGTCCATCTGTGTGTGTGGGTGTGTCGGGTTGGCTTGGGTGGCAACCGGAGTGTGTCTTGATACGGCCTCTTTCAGTTTCCGATCGAGTCCTTTATGCGGCATGCAGATTGAAGCCCCTAAACCCAGAACCCTAAACCCCAAAACACCAAACCATCCAAAACCCTAAACCCCGAAACGCTAAACCCTAAGCCCCCCGTTCCTTGCCTTTGCTGCACAGTATTCAGGGCTTCTGTTCGGACTGGTACTATGAGGTGCTTGGGGCTTAGGGTTTAGGGCTTCGGGTTTAGGGTCTTGGCCTTGGCATAGGCTTTGTCGTGTTCAGCATTGCCTTCGTAGCTTCGCAGGATGTAGGGCAAGCCTAGACCCTTCAGCTACTTGTGGCGCCTTCGCAAGCTCCATCTTCGAGATTTCTGAGCCATCTGAGGACGTTTTTCGTGGCATCTGCGAGAAGTTCTGGACCGTACAGAGAAAGAACATGGCTGTGCCGCTTGGTCGAATTCGCATCCATGGACCATGGGGGGATGTTGGCGCTAAGATCGCTAAGCCTCTCCACCCGGGACCACAAAGCTTCACTGCATTGCACATGTCCGCGATTCCTCCATGCACAATGGTGACGGTGTATGACAGAATCAAGCTGTTTGCCCTCCCCAGGAGTTTGGAGCTGTTTGGGGCTTTAAAGCTTTAGAGCTGTATAACCATGAGGGTTGTTGATCTTTAGGTTTTCCTAGGCATGAAGCGGGTTGGTGAATCTTTCTCATGTGGAAGTATATCAAGCTCAGCACGACGGGCCATCTCTGACTCGTGGGTTTGACTCTGATTTCATTTGAACGCCAGTGCTGGGCCAAGGCCGGAGTGCAGGCGCTTGTGTAGGTTTGAACCTGAAGGGCCACCCATCTCCTCAAGCCTTTCCCGGAAGCCCGAGAGGAGCCCCAATCCGCTACTTGTAGCTTCGTAGATGCTGCGCTCCTCCGGAAGCGGGACTCAGGTGGATCCCGGCGAACCTCTTTGCCTACAAGTTCGTGCCGCCCCGATTCCGCCGCCCGGCTTTGATCGGTGATGCCATGGGGTCGGGAATTTGATGGGCATAGTTGAGTTTTGCTGGAGGACCTGGATTGTTTTCCAGATTGTCTTGTTACATCGGCTCAGACAACCCATGTGTGGAGAAATCCAAATGTTGTGATTCGAGCAGCACACTGTAGGCCCTCAGGCATCATAACCCTAAGCCTTAATCCTAGACCCTACAAGCCCTTGGCCCTAGACCCTCTAAATCCATAAATCCGAAGCATTCCGTAACCCTATAACCCAAATGCGAAGCTCGAGGTAGGTCGTCCTGCTAAGCTTGCAACAAACTCTTGTCTCAGCCTAACCTTCGCTTTGAGTCCTTGAGGCTGCAAGCCTTTCCTGCTCCCCCCCCCACCACCACCGCAAATCTAAATGTCCCGAAGCCTTGGGTGCCACTCCGAACTGGAGAAACCCCATGTAAGCTCCACACCATGTACTGCCCAAAGGCATTAGAAGGGTTTCAAAGGCTCCGACGGGCTTTGGTGAGGTATTCTTGTAGAGCTTCTTCTGGGGTGCAGGCGCTTGTCAAGTTTAGGAGCTTCAGTTCTTCAGCGGATATATAAGATCGAGTTCCTACTGGATTTGGGGGTTACTTCAGCAGGTCCACATGCCAGGTTCCTCCGTTACTCAGCTGGAAGACCCCTTGCCCTTCTGTCGTGGAAAGATCCATCAAGCATGCCCCCCCCCCCCTCGCACATTGCGGGGCCCAATTTGGGCTTTTCGCCTGCATGCTGCAAGGAGTGCTGTTCTCGAACTTTGTTGCCTTGTTCTGGACGCCTCCAGGTTGCACTGGACACGGATTTAGCAGTTCAGGGTTTAGGGTAGCATACTCCACTCCCCAGCAGGAGGTGTAGCATGCCAGCCGGCGCAGTGTTAAGATTGTTCATGGGCGGTTCCTTGATTGAGGACTTCAGTGCTTGGGGGGGTTTGCGTGCAGATTGCCTACAGGGTTAGGAGTTCAGGGTCTGCCCTTCGTTTCGGATGCATGTTGCGCGTGCATGGATGTTGCCGACGCGACACGAAAGCATCCATAGATAGCCAGAGAACTTCATTTGGAAGGTCCGACGTTGAGCAGAAAATCTGCGGCGCGACATGTTCAAACTGTTCAAAGGGTCACAGGCAACAGAACGTCTGCAAATCATTGGGTTCAGAGTGCGGGTGTCATCATTGCCATTCTCCCTACAGAGATTGGGAACTGCACCATCCCAATGGCATCCCCGCTGATAGGCGAGGGAATCATTATGAGTCTCAAAGCTCGTAAGTGCCATCCATACAATCATCACCACCTGACTGCCACCCGAACGATATTCAGGCAGTAGGATCACACATGCTACCCCAGATCATAGTATCTTATAACAGCATGTTATTGTATATTATAGTTTACTATTGTATATCATAATGCAGCTAAACCCTAAACCCTAAATGCATGATAATCAAGAAACAATGCCAGCCGCCACCCCGACTGAGACTGAGATCTTGCTGGGGGTCGCCCAAAGCCCCAAAGCCCAGGTTGTCCCTCATCTTGACGACCTCCAAAAGCACCAGGCTGTTCAGTGGTACACTTGTTTACTTTCAGGTTTCTGGGTTTTATAATAAAATAAGAAACCAAAAAAAGTATATACCTTTTCTCAGTGGGCTTCTGAACACGATGGGATCTCCAGTGTTTAGAGTCGGTCAGCTCGTGAGTTCAGATGCCCTATCTAAGTCCCCTAGTCCCGCTGGCTGAGCCCCCTCTATGAGGAGTTAATTCCCATGCGTTTTTTGTAAGCTCCGTGTCAGGAAACGTGCAGCAATTTGAAAGCGCGGGGCTGTTCGTAGTAGGTGTACTATGCTGTGTCCTGCCACGCACGGTCCTTCACTGCTTTGGCAGGACTGGCATGTTGATTGTCGTTTGATTTTGTCAGTCAACAGAGTCGGGCGTTCCACTCAGCTGAGCCAATTCTACTTGCACCAGCTGCCCTGTCAAGGCAGCCATATCGAATCTTGCAGCCGTTTGCCATAAGCAAACCAAGGCAGTTCGCATCTCAACCTGAACATTGCCAATCTGAACACCCGCTTACCTGTTGATGAAAGGTTCTTCCTTATCGTGTTGATAGGCACCCCTGACTCCTTGCCTTTACAGGGCTTTCCTGTAATGTGATCAGGGATTCGTGGTTTTGGCTGGTTCAAGTCATGGTTCGGAGCCTGCGGAACAGCTGAAGTCGATGCCTCTGCTTTTCGACAGGGCTGAAGGGCTGGCTTGGTGCAAGTGGGTCTAAACCTAAGCAGCTTTTTCCAATTCCCTGTTTCCTGGGTTTGTAAGCTGAGTGCTCGAGCACTTTGTTGGTATCTGTACGCAAATGCAGGCATTCTTCCTTGACGCATAGTTATCCATGTGAAGTAACGGAACACTGGATATGGCCACTCTAGCAGGGAGTTTAAAGAAACCATTATTACTCATAGCAGCCTTTTCGTAGCCTTTTCATACTCTGACAGGACCTTGCCCTAGAGCCTCATCATAACCTTAGCCCGTTGCACTGCCTCTTGATGCCGGTACGGGCGTCGATCCCGCTACCGACAGGCAGAATGGAACCGCTTCCACTGAGGCTCTCGCCGCGAAATGAAGGCCGATGTGGCCCAAAGTACAGGCTGGTCGGCAGAGTCCGATCCACATCTAAAGTCTTAGGCCCCTAGGCAAGATTTGTTGTTGATCTGCGTCGAGTCATGACGGTTCAATGTAAAGTTTGTCTTGCTTGGTGATCATGCCTGAGCAAGCTTCTATGCTTTGCCTGTTCGAACTGCGTGTTCATGCAGCCTTGGATCAGCCAGTCGATCGGTAGACTGGGATTGCGACCGCCTGAGCTCTCAGTTTCGAGAAAATGACAGCGGCGCAAGTAGTTTCAGAAGAACCGGAAGTGTGCGCAGCATCCATCGCTTTCTAGCTTGCAATATCCTTAATACAACGGTGCTTTCGCAAATATATCTGCTTGAACACAGGCCTAGAAAATTCAATGTATGACTAGGCTCGCTCAGGCAGAACATCCCAAGTTTCTTCCGCCTTGCATCTTCTGATGGTCTGTCATCTTCGGGGCTTTTCAATACACCAGAACCCTCTTCGAATTGTAATCATTAAGGCCCTTATCACGTATCAAACCTCAAACCCTCATCATAGAGACCCTTACGGACCTCCTAACTAACCCCTAAACTTCACTTCTTCAAACCCCTACACCTTAAATCCCCAAGCCCTTTAACCCCTGAACACCCAAACCCCTAAACCCCTAAATCCCTTAACCCCCAAACTCTAAACTCTAAACCCGTTGACGCATGAATCCCTAAACCCAGGCACAGCATTACCCTGTTCCTTTGCGTAGTCTTGTTGCGGTCTGGAATTGTTCTGCAAAGTTGACAAGAGCAGCGAGCAAACGGCGCAATGCTTATTTGTAAGTAGTCTTGTATGTCGTCCTGTCAAGCATCTTGGCCTGCTTCTCGCTTGGGTGGTCCGCAGACGTCTTGCATAAATGCCTAAACCCCTCAATCCCTAAGCCCCCGAACCCTAAACCCTTCGACCCCTAAATCCCGAGCCAAGTCTTTAGCGCTCGCTACAACCCCTTTTCCCCCCCCCCCGAGGTGCTGCAGGTGGAGCCCTCCAATGTCGAGGCGAAGCAGCGCCGCAGCCCTAGGTTTAGGGGCTTAGGGGTTTAGGGATCTATAGGGGTTCCGTCAATGGAATCCATAAGGATCGATATGGGATCTATAGGGTTTAGGGGTTTAGGTGTTAGGGGTTTAGGGGTTAGGGGTTTAGGGTTTAGTGTTTCAGGGGTCAAGGGTTACGGGTTTAGGGGTTAGGGGTTTAGGGTTCAGTGTTTCAGGGGTTAAGGGTTTAGAGGTTCAGGGGTTGTCTACTGTGGGCAGAGAGCCTTCGCACTATTAAATTTCTTACTTACTTGATATTCGCTTTACATGTGTTTAGGGGTTTGAGAGGCCTTTAAAGAAATGAGGTTTCGGGCTTGGGGTTTGGGGTTTAGTCATTCCAACCCCCCCATACTACAAAAGAAGCTATCAGCTATAGTGAGAGAAACGGTTCTCTTTTTGCAGTTCGGTTTGAGATTGAGGATCCCGGTTTGTCTTTGCGGAGAGGTTTGCTTTGTGTATGGAACCTTATTACGATGTTTCAAGCTTTAAGGCTTAGACTTGCGGATTCGGGGTACAGCTGTTCTAGGGACTTAGGAGGGAAGGTTCGGGATCTACTGCCCCAAAACTCAAACCTGGATCCCCGGGGTTGGCGGTTGGGGGCGAAGGATTTGTGGATCTGGAGACAATGGAGGCGCAGTTCTGACTCATAGCCTTGATGCCCATCCATAAGTAACATTCTCCTGAGTGGGTTTTTCTCCGAAATTAAGGTCCCTTCTACTTGGGGCCCTTTGAGAACAAGGGTGCCATACTATTTTGGGAACCCAAAGAGGGACCATTTAGAGAACTACCCAACTAGCGACATCTTGGGTGGGCCAAGGTGTTTGCGCTCAGCAAAGCCGCCTCGAGGAGAAGGGTGAGGCGAGACTCCGCATTGAGTTTCGAATCTTACGTTTGGTTAGGGAATGGAGGAATGGGGTACAATTATATCTACTATTATCACTACCATTCCTCCATTCCCTGCTAACCAAAGGTAAGGAATGTAATGGGCTAATCTTGTCAGCAATTGCAAAACTCGTTTCAATATCAACTATTACCTAGTACCTATCGTAAATAGGGTTTGTACATAGGAGTTAAGAATTATATGAATTATGACTGAATACTGAGCAATCAGCCGTAGTCGAAAGAAGCCTCCCGCATCAAAACTCACGCGAAAGGCATGCAGGTTTTGTTTCAGGGCTCGTGGTTTCAAAAGGAGTGAAGCAGTCAGTACAGCTCCTAGGGGCGTACATTCGGGTTTATAGCGGTAGATAGGGTGAAAGGTTTTGGGATATTTTGGGTCGTTCCTGTTCAGTGTGGTTGCATCACTTGTTTTGAGTTTTCGACGTTTCAGTGTAGTGCTACTACGCCCTGTTTTCGCAAGACCCAGCGTTCCCACACGTCTGCACGGATCTTGGGTGGCCTGCTTACATGGGCTCATCAAGTTCTGTCAAGGTCAAGGTTGTACTGAACGCCTCCAAGCTTTAGAGCAGGCTTGGGTAGTTCAGGGGCATCCAGAACTACAGTGTAGGGCTCGGGGGGTATATCATCGTACAGTTGTCGACGATACTACTGATTCAGGCCCCCCATGTAGATCAGCCTCGAACGTTTGATTAACTAGCGCTAAGCCTAAGCTCAGACGACAGGGCTGGAGCCATAAAATACCCAGAGCATCTGCAACAAGAAAGCCATGGGTTTTTGAACAGGAGCCGGGGCTTGAGCAAGTGGTTCTCAAGGTGCTTGGAGTGTTTGGGTTCAGGCATTAAGACAACCGTCCTGTGTCTAAGCCTCTCAGTTTGCACTCAGATCTCAAGCCGGGCTTGTCCACTAGGATTTAGAGTTTTGGAGTTTATTGTTCAGGGCTCTGGGGTATCGGAACTTCTAGAAAAACCAGACCTCACGACCCTAGCCATGTCAGCCCTGGCATCAAATCTGATCTGCTGCTGTGCCTTGGCCTTTGATCCTACATTCAGGCAGCCTTCACAAAAGCCCACTAATGATCTCACTGTCTGGACCTTGCAATGCTTTTCCGTAAACCTAAACCCTAGCTCCCAAGGCCTACCCCTGGACTGGCACCAAAAAAAGCCCCAGGCCCGAAACCTCCGAAAACAAGACTTGTTAAGGTCTTTTGTCGAGAAGCTAAAACTTGTAAGATTGTACGACTTTGGGGTGTAGGTTGGGTACGGCCCCACTCAGTAATAGTTGAATAACATTCATAAAAAAGATATAGTAGGACCTTAATAGTAGCCCTATTATAGACTCTTACTGTATGGGGTACCTAAGGTTTAGTAAATCTTAACCCCTAGATCCTCCACCCGCCACCCAGCGCTTCTTTGGGGAGGATGCCACAAGGGCCAAAGCCATCCTTGCAAATCACCGGCCCTGATACAGGGTGCAGGAGCCGGGGAAGTTTAGGGTTTACGTGGGGTTTTAGGGTTTAGGGGTTTAGGGTTTAATCTCGGTGGGGTTCGAGTACATTTTCTAGCAGCATTGCATAGAACGCGATTCTTGCTTCAGTCGCCCGGAACCCAACCCGGAACACGCGGACCCGAAATGCCCGAACCCGAACCCGGGAGACACCCCGCAACCCGGAAACGGCGGAACCCGGCAACGAACCCGGAACCGGGAACCCCTTAACCCGGAATCGAAACTGGGGACCCGGAACTCCATGACAGGGTTTAGGGGTTTACTAGAACCCCTCTACGTGCAGAGTTGCCGTCCTTCTGCGATGAGTCTCAAAAGAAACGCAAACTTCCCCAAAACAGAAAACAGCTTGGTACTGGTAGCATCCCAGAGGTAGGATTCCGGGATGGGTTGGGGCCTTCCTTGTGGCTACTGCGGACTTAGAAGTCAGAAACTCTTGGCCGCCTCCTCCCATCTCTCCACAAACCGTTGCTATCTCGTGATAAGCTTATATAGGGACCTAAAGAATGACCTATACCATTTTGGTGGTTCCATATCATACTTATTGTATAACGGGCCCCAAAACCCTTTTCTAATTTTTAAGGTCTCTAATTATACTACATCCCGTATAATATCCCTTATAGTTGCCCTTTTTTCGAGCCATTTAAAGGAACCCTATTCTAAGTATTAATGCCGTGGTATTTTGCAGACATGCCGCGGGCTCTGGAGGAGTTAATGGATGCCAAGCTGAGCGGCGCAGGCCTCTCAGGGCAGTAGCTTTAGGAGCTTTACGGTTGATGATATAAATCCTGCATTACCTTAAGGACCCTATTGTAAACTATGGGAATTATGGCATATTCCTCATTATGGGAAAAAAGGATGCATACCATCAACCGTAGGATGCACGCTTTTCCCCAAAATGCACAAGGCAAGGACTGCAGCTCTCCCGATTCAGATGGCTCTTACCCGACCATTTCAAGCCCAAGTCCTTTCAGATTATTCCTCAGGTCGACTTATAGAGGAGTTTCCGAAGATAAGGAATACCTTATTCGGAGGATAAAGATCCTACTATCTAGGGTGCTATATTGGGGTCCCCGATTTTCGGAAACTCCCATAGTGGCGGTTATTGGGTGTTAGGGCTTTTGGGGTTGAGCTAGGGCTTTAGGTTTGCGCGTTCATGGGCTCACAGGGTTTCAAGTTTAAGTACAAGTTTTCTGTCTCATGCCTCGCCGAACGTGACGTAGATATCCAACTGCCAGGCCGTGACAGGCCCGTATGAGCTTTGGATATGGTAGAACCCCCCAACATGTACAGCAGTTCTTGACATGCAGCACCCTTGGATGTAGAGTAACTACATGCCATCCACTCCAAAAAAACCGTGGAATCCACGATTTCCGGATCCCAAGTCTGCAAAGCCAGAGCCTTAACCCTGTATCTGAGCCTTTCGGGAGCCTTGGTGCAAGTTTGGACGCGAATTCGACGGGGTATCCCCGCCGCATGCGAAGCAAAAGGCGTCACTATGCGAACGCCGTGGAGTTTCGTAAGTTTGGGCTTTGCGGAGTTTCAGTCGCGCTACAGGAAGGGGTTGCAGAACCGGAGATTCTGGGACTTCACGTTGGGTGTAGGCTTGGTCATGGGGCTTTCAGGTCATTTTGGGACGTTGGGTTGAGGGTTTCTGGCTGCATCGCCCTCCAGAGCATGGAGGAGGGACTTCCATGGCCGTTTTAGGTGCACCGGCTTGGGAACGCTGGGGTGCGTGTAGGCATTGGGAAAGCCACAAGCCTAAACACTATAACCCTGATCACCGCAACGCTACTTTCAAAGGTTCATGGCTTTGGCGAGATCGTGCTAACGCTGCTTGTTGGCTGTGTCGTTTTCTGTTGGTTGGAGGGGTTGGGGGCGGTTTCCTACGGTGGAAACCTGCTAAGACGCAGGTGTGCACCGGGAAGAAACCAGTAACTACAGCCAGAGCTTTCGATTTAGGGCCTACGAGGTGTTGGACCGTTGTGGGGGGATTGCTTCTACCAGCATTGGGAGGTAGGGAGTCGAGAACTCAGAACACGAGCACTTCACTTCCACGACAACGAAATATGCTCTTGATACTACGTAGCTTCGTTCTGTATTAACAAATTGAGGCTCATTTTCCATATGTATACATGCAGATATATATATATATATATATACATATATATATGTATATATATATATATAAACTATTCGCGGCATCAAATGGATGTTATATCTGGAAGAAGCAGGTTTGGAACTTGGAGGAAGAGTTCAAACGGGGGTTTGAAGGCCCGGATTCCGGCTCTAAAAATAAACCTTCCTAGGCCTTGCCCCAAAGCGCGTCGTCGCAGGCAGAAGGTGAATATCCCGCATTTTGGACCTGTGAAGATCTAGACCCACAAGGTGTCCTATACTGGGTCATAGTGGGTAACACTTCATATTTTTATGGACACTTAAACCCAATGTGTAATGCGATCCTAACCATGGAGTAGGTCTCCTCTAGGGCGTTTATGATCAGGATATAGTTTTGGCCCAAAATTACCTATATAGGGCCTACTTTAAGGTACATGGACCCTTAGGGTTATGATCCTGAGAAGCATTCTTTAAATCATAATAGGGATCTTACCATAATTTACGGCTTTTTCCTAATTGAGGGATCTTGGTTAAACCCCATAGATCCCTTACGGAACCCTTAAAGGAAGCCTAGGTATTCCCTAATTAAGGATCTTGGAGTCTCCCGGCGGTCCCTGCTGGGAGATATGTCGAAACCGACGCAGGCGCTTCGTGTGCGACTAGCCGCTGCAGAGGCGGTCGGCATAGAATAAGGAATAAGGGGTCAGCAATGCTGGTTTCTCATCCTGGCCCTTTAAGCCACACTTTAGTTTTTGCCTACACCGGCTGGCGAACGATCTTGTGGAGGTAGCCTAGTTGGAGACGGAGTTCCACTTTTCAATCAAACGTTCCATCTTGGTCGACTCTGGCCCAACGGCTTGCAGTTAGGGTTTCAGCCTTCCCAACCCCAGTCGTCATGGGAAGGATTCTTTAAGGGGTCCGGAAGGAAAGGGAAGAGGAACCTGAGGCCGGTAAGGCCATGGCTCATGAAGACTACGAGGGTTATCCAAGTTCTAGAATCTGTATCTGTATCTATATTTGTATCTATGGCTGTATGTATGTAAGTACCTATGTATCTACGTATGCATATGTATGTATATGTATGGGCATGTACATACATATACATGTGTGTATATACATACATATATATATATATATGTGTGTAGTGTATATGCTTATGTGTAAACGTATGTATGTAAATCCTGATGCGGTATGCTATCATCCTCGCCACCCCCACTGAACCGGATGTTCTTGCAAACCGTGCCCTTTGGCTCATGCCGGTTCCGTGGCAGGCTGGACGGAACCAGGTCCCCAACCTGGTATTTCAACGGCCCCCCGGAACATGCGTTGTGTCGAGAGGTTTTAGATATGCAGCTCCGACTCACCTGACATCAGCACACAACCCCACACAACCGCACAGAACCCAGCGTCAGCCAAAGTAAGAATCGCCCAAAAGCCTTATATAGTATGGTCTTTGGGCCCAACAGCCTTAAACTATGAGTCCTTAGAGCCTAAGGGAAAAAATCCGTGGTGTCTCCAACTCTTGAAGTCCTCGACGCCATGCTGCCAACACTGCGCCTTTGCAAGCCCCCGAAGAAGCTGGCGCAGCTTATGCCCTCGGAACTGGCGATTCGAGAGGCCGCCAAGTATGGCCACGTGGATGACGAGGGCCATCAAGTATTATTTTGAGGCTACAGTAATCTCTCTTGGAACGTTATAGGATTCCGGCTTTAGGGTTTATAATGTTGATCTTCAGTTCGTCTCGTTCTTCGGGTGGCAGGCTTGAGAGTTTAAGGCTTCCGGGTGGGGGTAAGGAGGGCGCTTATATGGTTCTATAGAAGCCCGATAACCCTCTACAGAAGCCCGATAAAAACGCGAGGAGGCTTACATAGTTTTAGAGAAACCCGATATACCTCTGTGGAGGCCCTCAAAACGTGCTATTAAGGCCGTAGTTGAGAGCATAGGGTTGCTGTTGCTTGCGAGGGGCTGACAAGCCCTTCAGAATCCCGTGTAGAACCCCTGTGGAATTCAAACCATGGTACCCTAAACCCTGAACCGTAGCGGGTACTGACACCCAGGGATGCCTGCTCGGTGTCGGAGTTTTGGGGCGGACTCCGTTAAGCGGTCCTTTAAAGAGGTACTATAAGTATATACAAGGGGCTGCTATAATATGATATAAAAGTTCCTAGAAAGGCCAGATTCAAGCATTAATCGATCTAGGGTTTAGGGTTTAGGGCAGCATGAAGGTTCAAGTTCCGCCTTCGTCCCTTTGGGCCGGCTAAGGTGAAAGCGAGGGAACTGCGTCCACAGCCGCAGCCTCAATCTCGCCGATCTGCCGGTTGGGGCTTGAGGGTTATGGGTTTAGGGTTGAGGGTTTAAGGTTCAGGGTTTAGGGTTAAGGTTCAGAGTTTAGGGTTTGGGGTTTAGAGTTTTTGGCTTTATGATGGTGGTTTAGAGTTTGAGGCTTGCTTCGGAGCATTTCAGGGTCTAATAGTGGCTTAGCTGAACGTGTTGTCACACTGTTATCTTTCTGGTTTTTGCAGCAGCGTGAGAACGAGTGAATGAAGTCGGTTGCAGCCCGACTCCCCACCTAAATCCGAAATCCCCTCAGTCCTGCTAAGCTACCTTTAGACATCCAGCATTTCGAAGCAATGAGCTATCGAGGTTAACGTATAGAGTCTGTTTAGCAACCAGTTGGGGGGTGCCAAAATCTGCACACCAAAAGGGCACATGACTGATGGAATAGGGATCCTAACTCATTCGAAGAAGACAAGGTTTTGAGTGGCTACATGCATCTCGAACCTCTGAATGAGAAAGAGGCCTCCAAGGCTGTAGAACTGCTCGCGGAGTCAATGCTCCGTAAACCGCTTCATGCGGCTTCACGGCCCGCCAGAAATGGGAGTTTCCGAAAATAGGGGACCCTAAAATAGTACCCTAGATAGGATCCTAATTATAAGGATCCCAAAATAAGGTACCCTTCATTTTCGGAAAGCCCCAAATCACAGCCAGGCCCGGCAGGAGCGCGCTCACGCACGCACACACACACAGATGCACACACAGAAACAATCTAGAGAGAGAGAGACAGATAGGAACATGTCACACCCTACCACCCCGACCCGACAACCCCAACCTCGGCCAGCCCTCAGACGAAGCTTAAATCGTACAAGCCCTAAGCCTGAATGAGAAGACAAGTGCTGTTGTTTAAAGCCGAAGAAACCCAAAACCCTCTTTGAGGCCGCCTCCTCCGCCTCCTTGGCAGACTTTGTCGCCCTTACGCCGGGCCAGCGGCGACGAATGGAGCGTCGAGCGAAAATGCAGGCCCCTCCTTGGGTCCCTTTGTTTTTCAGACCTTTGGTGGTCGAGATTTTGGGGTTTTGGAGGTTTCGGGCGCTGGGGTTCAACCAGCGGTTAGAGGTTCTTCACCGTCCTGCGTCCATGCACGTTCATGTGGGTGGTTGTCAAAATTAGGGTCCCTTTTTGGGGTACCCTAAATATTAGGTCCCGTACTATATTAAGGACCGAAAAAGGGACCATAATTTGCACAACCACCCATGTAACACGAGAGTTTGTTACTGACGCGATCAAGGCTATTCTGTCGTGGGTTTTCGGGGCTAGGTACGTTCGACCCTTTTTTTCAGAGACTGCAAGTTTGCTAGACTCCACCCAAACAAGTCTACCTTAATCTACCAAAACCTATACTTCGGGCGGGTTCTTACTATTCAGCCGAAGATGAAATTATCGGGACGCTACGAAATTAGGTTTCGTGGGGTAAGGTAGTTACAAGTTGAACCTTAAGGTCACGAGAAGGCGACGTGCCAAGACTGAAGCATGTAAGTTTTCAGCCCAATCTATACCCTAAACTACGATAACCTACTTTTCTGTATATGTTAAGCCCCAATTCGGAATCTATAGGGGGCTCTGCAAAAAAAATGATTTTTGTAGGTTAAGGTAGGGGCTGCCGAACTAACGGAGCCGATGAGGCCATCCCCTCATGGCCATGACTTTTTCGTTATGGGAGTTTCCGAAAATAGGGGATCCTATTTAATGTGGTACCCTAAATAGTAGGATCCTTATTAAAAGGACCCCGAGATAAGGTACCCCCCCAATTTTCGGAAACCCCCTTTCTTGGGCCCGAAAGGCCCAATAGCAACGAGTCAACCTCAGCTCATAAGGACCCCCTACACGCCTAAAAACCTCCTATGAATAGAAGTACCCCAAACTGTAAATGTAGAAAACCCCGAAGAATCCTGAAACGAAGCCACGGAGCCCCTTGTTTTGGAACCCTAGGCCGGTTCTGAGGAACACTAAACCTACAAACTCTAGCAGATTTCGGTGCCGTCGGTGTTCCAGAAAAGAACCCCAAACAAAGCTTCCACCTCTCCGTGAACCCCGAAATCCCGAATCCCTGAATTCCCTGCGTCAGCAGTTCCCTTAAACCCTAACTTCCCCCAATTCCCTAAGCCCGTTGAAAAGGCGGAGCTGCAGGAGTTCCTAGCCTACCACCACTTTCCAGATGTGCACTCGCCTTGTCATCCAGCCCTTGGGGCGATATTACCAGCTCTTTTTCGGTATTTGTGCGGCTTTCAAGCAGTTTTCAATTCAGAGCTCAGGGAATCTAGGGTTCGGGCGTTCAGGAGGGCACGGGCCGTTTTTCGGGCACTGGGCTTTTTAGGGCGAGAGGGCTTCGGGAATTTCGGGTTCAGGGAATGTTGGGTTTAGGGAGTTTAGCATGTAGAGAACGTGGGTTTCGAAAAATTCGAGAGCTTGCGGGAGGGTACATTGTTTAGGGCTTAAAATAAGGGGTTTCTCGGAATAGGTTGAGGGTCCCGTGAAGTTTTTATGGTAGGGTTGGTCATGGCGACATGGAAGAAGCCCACCCGCCCAGGGCCTACTACGAAATACCTATCTGCCTCTGTCGCCTCTCACTTCCAATCTGATTCAACTTGACCCTCAACCCTAAACCTTATAAACCCTAATCCTAAATCCTAAACCTTAAGCCCTAATCATAAACCCTATAGACCTTAAACCCTAAGCCCCTATCAATCCCCAAGCCCCATCTTCGGATCCCACAGGAAGCCCAAAGGTTGATGATATAAATCCTGCATGACCCATAAGAAGGAATCTACCATAATTCCCATAGTTTAGGGTCCTTAAGGTAATGCAGGATTTATATCATCAACCCAAGGACCCTGAAGACCAAGCGCTTCACTTCGCTCCCAAGCCCCAATGCCATAATGTAGAGGCCTGAATAGTAACCTATAGAATAGGGCTCCCTGAAAGGGGTCTATAAGGGCAACTATAAGGTCTATTATAACGATTTAGTATAGGCGCTTCAACAATTACCTATACTATTTTGGAGGGCTCCCAAACCCTAATCCAAGGTATTGAGGCTCCTATATCAATGTAGAGAGGCCTGTTTAACAGATCTTTAGGAGTTTTCGGTTTTGGGTATAAGGGGTATAAGGGTTACTACAGGGCTCTAAAGAACAGGGTACTGTAAGGGCAGCATAAGGGATAGTGTAGGGCGTTGGGTTTGGGGGTTTGAGAGATTTTATAGAGAATTCGAGGATCACCGTCGACCTCAGCGTCGACCCGCTGGCTGCTTCATCTGGCGAAAGGAGGCCCCCTCGCTGAGGGTTCTCGCGCTGGGCAGACGGTTTAGGGTTCAAGTTGATACTGCGCCCACTTAGTAACAGTTGGAAAATATTCATAATATAGATATATTAGGACCTGTGTAGTAGCCCTATTGTAGACTGTTACTGTATGGGGGCCGTACCCAAGGTTTAAGGTTGGTTATAATCATATACTCTCCGAAATCCTAACCTACGTAACTACTATCCTAAACCCGAGTACCTAATTATTGGGTCCTTTGGACCCTTGGGGTTCAGGGTTTAAAGGGGATTGCCATGGTTTAGCGTGTTATCATACCTAGACTCATTCGATTCGGGGCTGCATTTGTCGGGACCAAGTTTCGAAAGGTCGTGGGTTTAGGGTTTAGGTACCAAGAAGGAACCGGTGCGGCAGTTGACATGGTTCGTAGAGCTTTGCTTCTGTAAGGGCCACTTTGCTTTTGCCCTTGAATCTTGGCCGGTTCCAGGATGTCCCAGATCTGGGAATCTAGCGGGGTTCTACGTAAGATGCAACAGGCCATTCAATTCAATAAAGACCCCGGAGCAAGCGACCTCCGCCATCTGTAAACTCTGCAAAAAACGCACGAAACCCCCTCGGGAAACTAATTTTCGCAGGAGGTGCTCTATCCGATCCATGTGGCGGCCCAGGACAGGGCATGGGACCCATGCCCTGGCGTCCTGAGATCGTAGGGTTTAGGGTTGACTTATAGGGTTGCTGTAGGGTTTAGGGTTCAGGTAGGGTTAAGGGTTCATGTAGGGTTTAGGGTTTAGCAGAGTTTATGGACTCATTCAGCAGTCTTTGTAACGTCGCAGCACCAACGCAAGGCACGAGGCCCGTTCTGACATGTTCGGCGGAAGCCTTTTTTCCTCTGAAACCTCAGCGAAACCGCGAAACCCTTAATATACCTAGATTTGGCCCTAAATGTCTTCACATCGGAAATCTACGTTCCATAGTACCCATGCAGCACACTTGAAATCCTCAACGGTTATGAGGAGGGAAGCCCCCGACTGGTGCGAGCTCTCCTGTTGGCCGGGGCGGATCCACAGCAGAAGCCTGGCAGAGAGCTGTTTCGGGTCGGCGAGCCGGATTTCAGGTTCGAAGACTCTGAATTCCAACCAAACCCTAGCGAGCCTAAACCCTAAAACCTTAAGTTCGAAGACTCTTAATTCCAACCAACTCCTACTGGCCCTAAACCCTAAAACCTTAAACCCCAACCCTAAGCCTGCAACACCCTAAACCCTAGAGAGTTTCGCATTGAGCTCTTGCAGAGCTACGGTGGATGTGGGAGTCGGATCTTCTGCCCCCTGGGATGTTCCAGCGACACGTAAACCTAATATAGGGGCCTAGATAATTACCTACATTCTTTTGGGAGCTCCTTATTTTTATTATGATTATAGTATACTGGGCCCCAAAACCCTAGTCTAACCATTAAGGCCTGTATGTTAAACCTTTGGAAGTTCTTGTGGGAAGCCGAGGCAGACGTCTCGCGGTCGCACAGCACGATTCCTCGCGCTGCAGGCGAATCGATGCTCGCCAGCTTGGGAATAGAGATACTATCAACATGATATCTCCCCTTATCCATCTATCTGCCTGTCTGTGCGTCTGCCTCTCTACCTCTCTGACCTATCTAACGTAGCATCATAGCCTACACGCCAGAAAGCTTTATATTCTCAATCATGGCTCGTGATTGGGACGTCCTGGCATATGGGAGTTTCCGCAAATCAGGGGACCCTTATTTTGTACCCCAGATAGTAGGATCCTTATTACAAGGACCCCAAAATAAGGCACCTCTAATGTTCGGAAACTCCCAAAACGTGCCGCAGCTCCGAGCACCCACCAGAACCCCCCTCGGCAAGTGTCAGGACTGGTTGAGTCCAAACTGCACACTCCTCCGCTCTGATATGGGAGTTTCCGAAAATTAGGGGTACCTTATTTGGGGGTCCTTACAATAAGGATCCTACTATTTCGGGTGGGTTGCTCAACTACTCACTGGTTCTTAGCAGGGCATGGAAGAATGGATTTATAGTGTCATAGGAGGCCAAAAGGGGTTTTAGCCTATGCGAGTTCAGTAGGGATTAGGGTTGCCATAATAGGGTTCATATTCAGGAATCCCTACCCCAAGAATCTTAAACCCCCCTTTTGGCCTCCCATCATAGGGACTGCGAGAAGAATGAATCTAAAGGGGATCCCGGCCCACATTTTCTACTAAGGACAAGGGAGACTATGCTAGGGAGACGCTGGCTAGGACCCAGAGACTCCAATATCCCTTAATTAAGGAATATACCTTAAATTATAGTAGGATCCTTGATATGATTTAAGGAATATTCCCTAATTAAGGGGTACTGGAGTCTCTGGGGAGTCTGTTGCTAAGGTGGTGGCTCTCATGACCAAATCATCCTCATGCTGAGCTTCGACACAAAAGCTGCGGCTCGGCAAAAGCTTTTGGCTAGGGACCCAACAAGCACAAAAGCATGAGCATTTTATGGGGATATGCCTAGCCTATTGGATTTCATTATGTGGGGATTTATATGGGACATCACTATCCTGATTGTTGTTTATGTGCTTTCTTGGGGCCTTATTTGGGTTTAAATACAGGCCCTCAAAGATAACCTCATGATTTGTTATAACTTTTTGTATAATGGGCCCCAACACCCGATTCTAACTATTACGGCCCCTAGATTGACTTTAGAGCTACATACCGGAGCCTGGCAAGAGCAGTAACCCGGCATCTGATCGATAGAACGGCACATAGACATAGACGAAAGCATAGTCGAGCAGAGTTTAGAAGGGGTATATTAGGGCCCTTTTAGTATTCCTATTATACCACTATTACAGGGTGGGGGCCCCTTCTAAAGCATAGTTCTCAGATCCTATTCCAAGTATTCAAGCTTCGTGAGCTGGACTTCTCGAACTGCAGGTAGCAGGGCCTGTTATGGGGTCTCTGGGCTCTGTAGGTGTAGGCTACTCCGCAAGTCGCTTCCGAGCTAGAGACTCGAAGCCCCACACCCTTAAACCCTAAACACCTTAACCCCATTCAGTCTTCGGTCTTGTTTAACCGATGCTGTTCAGTGGTACACTCTTGTTACTTTCAGGTTTCTGGGTTCCTATTATAAAATAAGAAGCCTAAAACTCCGAGCCCGCAACCCTCACACCCGCTGTCAAAGAGCTCTGTCGCCTTCCTTCCATTATCTTTCACTACAGGGGCCCAAGCGACTCCCAGTACTAATCTAAGGTTCGTCACTACAACGTCGGATAATCGAACCCACTTCAAGTATCACTTCGAGTGCGTCCTTTGTTTATGTGGTGCTTCAGACTCTGCTTGGTTCAAAGAAAAACTTCCCTCTAGAACCCTAAACCCTGAATGCGAAACGCTAAACTCACAAGCTTCCCCCTTAGGAAGAGAGGTGGGTCCAGGTGCAGGTCTACGGCTGTCCGGGGTCGGGTGTAGAGTTTAGGGCTTCAGCTCAACAGTCTGTGTTGCGTCGAAGATGTGTTCAGATGTGCCCACTGCAGGCCGCATTTGTAAGCGCCAAGCCGATGTCTGAGGGATTCGGTCCGAAAACTAGACTTATCAGAGGCAGTCCCAACACGAGATGTTTCAACATTGGCCGCAGACACCCCAAATCCATCATCACGAAACCCCGCAGCCCGAAACTCTAGACCGGCGAATCAGTACTGGTTTTGGTGGTGACATGTTGCTACTCAACTCATTTAGGCTCCATGTTGAGTCAGGTCACTCTCCGTGACATGGTATTGATGGCACACGGAGATCTTCCTGCGGAGCAGAGAAGAAGAGGCTGAGGGCAGAAAGAGACATTTTTGCGGGGATTCATAGGATAAGCGGAAGCTTCCAGGTTTTGGGTTTGGGGTCGGTGTGTGGAGGGATTGCGAGGGTTTTTTTTTGATGTGTTGTTAGGTCTACCGGGGGGTCATCTGATAAGCAGAGCTCTCGGGAGCATCAGAACGCCCAGTGAGTCTTCGTAGCAGCGCGGTTTTGGCGACTGCGGCAGGTCTCTGACAATACCGAGAGGGTGGCTCGAACCTCACATGGGTGTTTTTTGGGTCCCTAATATAATACGGCACCTAATATTTAGGGGACCCAAAAAGGGACCATAACTTTGACAACTACCCACATATCAAGCCGTCTTGGCCGAGCTGAACCCTCTTGGATTGGAGAGACCACACCAATATCTAATTCGTGATCGTTGCGTTAGCTTGCCTGGCCTTGCCTAAATCTTCGAAGATCTGCAGAATCTGAGCTGCTTTGCTACTGGCATTGACTGCCAGAGATACACCTAGCAGTGGTACTACCACAAAGTGTTTCACAGTGAGCGTACAATTTTGTGAGCGTACAGCACAAGTTGGAAATTATAGTATTATTGTGCAAGAAGAAAGTCGAGACAACAAGCGGCGTTGATCATTTAGGTCCCTTAGCACTAGACCCTCGACCCTTGCAAAACAAAAGTGTGTGTGTGTGTGTATGAAATAATGCGATACAAAATACTGTATTCGCATAAGATAATCTGTTACCAATTCTATTGCATGATATATGTATCATTAGCATAAACAGAGATCAGCGAGCCAAGAAAGCCTTCAGACAGCGTACATCTGGACCTCTTGTGCCCTTGGTCCAGTGTATTAGGCTTTCAATCGGCAGGTTTTCTAGTTGGGTTCGTGGGCACTCAGGGTCTTTGAGGCCGTTCTGGGATTCAAGACCAGGTTCTACGCAGCCTTACAACTTGCACAGAGGCCAGGGTGGCGAGAGCACACATACATAATTGTGGGATTGGCAATGACCCTTTCACATTCACAGTAGCAACACAAAAGCGAACCTCAAGCGCATATACCTCCATTCGAACTCAACTTGAACTGCGCTGGAATTCTAGATGACAGAATTTCTCGAGATAGGACCAGGGTTTAGAGGCTCAGCTTTTGCGGGACGAGGGGGCTTCTTTGTGTGCTTGCTTGTCTTGAAGTTCGAATACGGATTTACAGATGCTCCTTTGCGCTTCTACTGCATTGCGCCCCACGAAACCACTATAGCACCAAGACGATCGTCAGGACTCCAGCTTAGCCGTGGGGTACTACGGCACCGCCGTTTTGAATCGAAGTGTGGCAAAGAGTCAGCCAAGCCTCGCAGGCAGGGAGGAAGTTTTAGAACACTGTCCTAGCCGCGCAATGGTTTGTTTCTGTCATCTGCCCAGCATGCATCACCGCAGCTGGAGAAGCTCGCAGCACAAAGCCGGTGATGCAACCACCGGCGGTCTTCCTGCGGAGGGTTTGGTGATGCCGGGGCAAAAACGTTTTCATGCCTAGTGTTCGTGGATCTCTTACTTGGGCGGCTCTGGCCCTAATATATGGGCCTTAATAATTAGAACAGGGTTTTCGGGCCCATTATACTATAACTACTAATCAGGAACCCCCAAAATAGTACTGGTAAATATTTAAGCCCCTAAATTCTAGTACCCTCATAGATCCCTTATGGTAACCCTTATAGACCCCTTTAAAGGAATGCTAGGAATTAGGCTTCATCCTGCCCCTATAGTACAGTAGCAGCTACATCCGGAGACCATTGCAGCTGTAGAAGCGAAGCTGTTGGTGTAAGCGAGTGCCAAGCCGTGTCAACCCACCTGAACCTAAATGAGAGTTTCCAAACATAGGGGGCCCTAATATAGTACCCTTAATGGGATCCTTGTTATAAGGACCCCCAAAATAAGGTACTCCTCTTTTTCGGAAACTCCCAAGTTTCTTTCCTGGACTATACCTTACGTGAGGATCCCCCGGAGCATAGGCCTGCGCGGGCCCTTTCTGTTTTTTTAACTTCCCCATAAAGCCTGAACTTCATGAACCCGGGGATTTCGGGCCGATCCCGTTTACGAAGGGTTCACGCGGTTGAAGCCTGCAGTATTTTCAGGCTTTGAAGCAGACTTGTTGAAGTCGTGTAAGTAAAGATCATGATGTTTCACAGATGTTTCCTGGCGTTTCTTGTTGTCTCTGTGCTACTCTTACGTATTTACATACACACATACCTACGTACATAGATGTACATATATATATATATATATATATGCATATATATATATATATATATATATGCATACACGCACTGCATGTGTATACCCAATGCAAATGAGTTGTATGGTATAACAAACCTAAGGGCTGTATTTTCATGGGTACCGCCTTCAGCACAAACCTCGGCAGAAGTCGTCGTGTTTTGCTTTGAGACTCCGCTTGACACCGGGTATCCGGAAGTGTCCTGTGTGGGCCTGCGTTTAGGGTTTATGCAGGGTGAGCCCATGCTGCAGGAGCCAAGTTCTACTTACTCATTCACCGTTGTTCGGATCATTCGGGTGTGTTTCTACCAGTATGTCTGCACAGTACTATAGCAATCATTGTCATCAAATAGTGCAAGCAAATACTGAACTCCAGCTTCAATGTGGTGGCTCCTTGCATATCAGCCTGTTCTGCTGACATTCCCCTCTTCAGGTCGCGACCAGCAACCCCACGTGCACCTGTGAGTCCAGTACTCCATATCCGAGGCTCTGAATCGACCAAGCTTTTGCATGTGTGCCTGGTCGTGGCCCCGATTTTGCGGCACTTGACTCGGCCACTTTTGGCGTTTCCTCCATGCGAGGAGCTGCTTGAGAAAAGCTTGATCCTTCATTTCCGAGCATTAGGAGTAGCCGTAGCAGTAGCGGTAGGAGTAGCAGCAGCCGCAGCTGCAGCGGCAGTAGGAGTAGGAGGAGCAGTAAGCAGCAGCAGGAGCAGCAGCTGGCGGTGGCGTTTGTGGCGGTGGCGGTGCGGAGGTGGTGGTCGTTATTGTTGCTGTTGTTGATGTTGATGTTGATGTTCTTCGTCTCCTGCATTTTATTCTTCTTATTATTCGTCTTGTGCGGGTGCTTGTGATGGTTGTGGTTGTGACTGCGGTTTCAGTTGTGGTTGTGGTTGTTGTCACAGGCGGGAGGAGCAGGCGGCGACGGCTGTCTCGCCTTAGGGCTGAGGGTGCGATCAGCTGCGCTTGCTTGGTTCTGACCTGCAGAATCGTGCTATTCAGTTGCGGTATGCTTCAGTTCTGCGTGGGTTTCATGGTACAGTCATGCTGCAGAAGGACGCTAATTCAAGGATACCACTACATCACACAGAAAGCGAACCGCGATTCTCGAGCAGTTAGGCACAGAAAGCGAACCGCGATTCTCGAGCAGTTAGGCAATCTTGGCCTCCTCAAGAGAGCCACGATTTAAACCCTCGGCACAGCAAGCCAAGCAGAGGGTGCTGTCTGCACTTTTGCAGGTTTAAACACTGCTCCAGTCCCACCTCGTTCTCATTCCAGGTTGGCTTTCATAGCCCCTGCTGAGCACACGGGCCGACTGCCAGCGATAAAACGACAGTACTTAGCAGAAATTTTAACACCAGAACATTAAAGGTTCACGTCTAGTGATGAATAATGAGAGCGCCTACGAGAACCAGTGAAGCACAGCAGTGTTACCTGAGACATAATCTGTCGGGATGGATGTGGTGTAGCTGTAGCTGCTGCTGCTGCTGCTGCTGCTGCTGCTGCTGCTGCTGCTGCTGCTGCTGCTTCTCGCCTAGTGCTAAGCCAAGCAGACAGCATTACAGCGGAAACGGCCTGTAATCATGCTGTGGCTGTGCATCTGTGCTGTACCGTTTAGGGTTTTGAAGTCAACCGCGTAGCGGAGTAGCGTAGGCTTCTGGGGTGTAGCTCGTTCCTATGGAGCTGAACCCAGCCTTGCTCCCAAAGCTGCTGGAAACGAGCAGACAACAAGTTTTTCCCTCTCTCCTCAATTCCACAGGGGCCTAAAGAATTGCCAATACTTAGTGTGGGGGGGTCCTTAATTATGATTATAGCATAACATACGCCAAAACCATGTTCTACGCATTAAGGCCCTTATTCATACTACTGCCAAAACCCGAAAGCAGAGGAATTCGGAAGTCAGCTCGTGCACTCGTTCCAACCTCGGATGCAAACCAAGACTTTCTCTGAGACAAAGCCAGAGACCACTGCTCTTAAGCGAATCTTTTCATTTAGAGCAGCCATAAAGCAAAACTGCGTGTGTTAGTTCCAGTTCTTTGGGCACGACATCACATACAGAAACAATCGAAGCTAGTTCCAGAAATGCACGCGAAGCTACAACTCGTGAGTCGTAAACTTTAAAGCGCATACAACCTCAACCCCTGTGCACGCCCAAATCCGAAGCTGCTCGGCATGATGCCAGTGCTCAGAGTCCAGGCCGGAGGCTAGGACGTGAAGATGAGTTTGAAGGTTGAGGACCGCTTTAGTAGTGAGTTCCCGGGACGGCGGGAAGACTTAGCAGCTGAATCCTGAGTTCGCTCATACACATCAATTTGAGCAAAAAGCTGTAACTGCCACTCCCACTGTCTGTGTCGTAGCAGAGTCGTTTGGTCTTGCTGAGTTATGAGAACTGGTGTTGCTGCACAGAAAGCAAACGTAGGATTCTTGTTTCAGGGACGCGTTGACACAGCCAGTCGGTTTCATTAGCACAGAGGTCGTGAGCAGGCGAATCGGGATTCGTGGTCAAAGCCGGAGAGCTGCTGGTTTACGTTGACCGGCGAAGTACCAATGCCATGCTGAAGGAGGAAGAGCACGAAGCCGAACCCAACAATACCGGATCCGTAAGATATCAAGCCCAACGCCAAGACCATAGCCCGCATGCACGCTCAAATCGAAGCTTCTCGGCATGATGCCAGTGCTCAGAGTCCCGGCCGGAGGCTGGGACGTAAAGATGAATGAGCTTGAAGGTTGAGGTTTGCTTTCGGAGTGC